CTGGGACACTGTCAACTCGGGTGTAACATCATTCCCATCTCAGACATCTGACTTCAGAGGTAACTCAAACCCAGCATTAGTCCTTTGTAGACTTTGTCCTTGAAAGGATGCATCCTCTGAAATGGGACAACGCAACAGTTGTACCAGATCTTCAACCCGTAATTCGTTGATCATCGGCAGTACTTTTTAAATTGGCAGCAGAGATGGACAGCAGTTAGTAATGTGTCAGTCACGAACAGCTAAGCTCTTAATGCTGTCTCTTGTACATGAACAAAACTATAAACCACAGTTTAGCGGCTGGAAGAGCCAGTTTGTACCAAACACCAAATTTCTGGATCAATTAAAAGAGCCCGAATTCCTATAACTAGGCTCTACACTGATGTTTCTCCCAGAGAGAGAAAAAAACTTGATGCAAACAACTTCAACAACAGCATACCTTCTCATGGTTAACTACCATGTGTGCTTATGGTTAACTACTTATCTGAAAAGCAATAAAAGCGTTGGACTTTTTTAATTCTACAGCTACATCACTCCACTTTCTATGTCTAACAACAGCCAAGGTTTTTGTAGAGAACATGTCAGCTAACAAATGTCCTTGACAATTTTTTACAAGTGGGTTTCAAATCCCCAAATATATTTAAGTCGATTGTTTGCTGTTCTTTATCAGCTCTGTTTTGGTCTCCATCAGTAAAATGTATGTCTCTACATTTAATAGTTTTGTTTTCTCCACTGGACAGGTTTTTTGTCTTTGCAAATCAAATCTTTTTCATTGAAAAACATCTGATTGTGATGACAAAAGTGAAAATGAAGTTTCAGGTTGTAGAAAGGCAAAGAAAGTTGCTTTAATTGGGTGCTAATACATTGTGTCACTGCTGATATCAAAGTTTTCAGTTGATTTAAACCTTAATGGCTGCAGTTTTAGGCACAATACACCTAAGTGTTGGCTATTTACATTAAGAATTAAATCACTTCTTACTTTTGGTAATTCACTTTGTTACCATAATTACCTTTTAAGTTACATAAACTTAAAAGGTAATTATGAGCAGTAGGAGGCTGATTGAATGGCTGCATGTTTGTATAAGAGGTCGCTCAATGTGACATTTCTCAGAGGAGCCAAAAAGTCTCATTTCTTCCAACGTTCAATTGCTGTCAGCTGTCAACTCCTGCTGTGTTTCCCCAAGTGACAGCTGATCTTCACCATGAGAGCAGATCAGTGGTTCAAATGTTTTCTTACTCCCTGTTAGCCGTTAGCTTCCGTTGCTCTCATCTTGTGAGCAAAAAACAGGACGGACCAGATCTCAACCTCTGCCCTTACAGGTGTGTGTGTGTGTGCACATAGGGGCACATAATCATACACACAGTAACCTGTTTGTGTGTGTTTGTTCAGTTTGCGTCAGTGTGTGTAGGTGTGTGTGTCAGGTTGCAAAGCGGTCCTGTTCTCTTCTTCTTCTACTCCCCCCACCCCCCCTGTTTTGTGCCCCAAACAGAGCAAGTGCCTCCTGGGCAAATATTTAAAGTCAAAACAGGCTGGGTCCATAAAAAGCTGAGAGGTGGTGGTGGTGTGACTACATCTGTCAGGGGGGAGGGAGGAAGGGGGAAGAGATGAGAGAAGAGAGCTGGGGGAAGAAGAGGGGTGACAGCAGCTGCTGATACGAGTCTGGACACTGCTGACGCCAACACCTGTCCACGCTGGAGACACGCGGCCAGCAAATGTCCTGCCACAGCCCTTTAAACACACACAGGATCACACAAACACACACACACATACACACACAGATTATGCCTACGTCTATATGTCTCTTTGTGGAGCACACTTTGTGACGAAAACACACGTACACATACAGCAACATCAGAAAAAACACACCTAACCCAGCCTTTTGTAGCCCACCACACCCCTTTCCTCTGGCTGACCCCCATCTGTTGCCTCTCTTGGGATTGAGTGCATGCATCTGTGTCTATACGTGTGTGTGTGTGTGTGTGTGTAAGGGTAGAGGGTCAGGGGAGGGGACAGGCAGGCGTTGGCCCCGGCTGCCCATTGATCAACAGCTGCTGGGCTTCTCATGCTGAGCTGGACGGCTGGGAAGGCGACAGAAGCTGGATTGGGGAGAAGGTAAAAAGATCAGGGCCAGAGGCTGGGACCCCGGGTTGGAGCAAAGGGCCTGGTGCCGGGGAGGGGCTGAAGAGGAACTGGGAGCAGGGTCGAAGCCAGGGGCCCTGACATAAGTGAGTTTACAGCTGAGGGAAGGGGGCAACAGGCGAGGATGGAGCTGCCAGAGATGAGTAGAGAGGTGTTGGACAGCAGCCAGATGCTGAGCTGGGGAGGGATGCCAGGGAGAGACAATGAGGTTGGATAAAGTGGAGTTCAGGCTGAGTATGCTGGAAATAAACTCGAAACATAGACATGTCTGCGGAAAAAAAGGTCCCAGTCAAAGTTGGGATAAAAACCCTGCAATCCTGAAAGGTACCACATGTCACTTCACTCACCAGAGGTCTTTCTGAGTATTTTCACAACAAACAATCATGCTTTCCCCAAATGAGAATTACATGTATGGCAGCCCTTGAGCTCTCTTGCTCTTGTCTTGAAATGACTACAGAAAAAAGTGTTTGCTGGGAAATGCAAGACTCATAAGGCCAGGGATGTTTTCAAGGATAAATATGTGTTTATCAGGCCTGGGAACCACTAAATCAGTGAGGCTGTGTCAGGTACATCCTCCTTAGCCCTGCTCATCCTGTGATTCTTTGCATGCTAATACAACTGAGAGAGCGGACCCTTAAACTGTCATGTTATGTTCAATAATAGAATTTGAATTTTACAGACATTACAATAAACTTCAAAATTACCTATGAAAGGTTGGTGATGTTTAGCTTTCGTGACGCTAGCTGTTTGCTGGTTAGCTGGGTAGCCACCTGTTGCTAAGCAAGAGCAACTCTATGTAATGCGATCGCCAGGTTAGTTAAAGGGATATTCCGGCATACAATTAAGTTAGGGTCAAACATACCGTAACACCAAGTTAGACACCCCATCGAGAGACGAATGTTGCGGCCCACTTGCTTCTCTAGTTATACCAACTTTAGCTACGACCGCAAATAGCAATACAGAGAGCCACGCGCTCAACTGAAACGCCACTCTATAGCCACAAATAATGCTCATAACAGCACCTAACTTCATCAACAGTACATATAGGGTCCAAGCCATAGTACTAGCCACTAAACATCTTTTTAACTTTGCCTGATTTCTTTAGCAAAGAGACTAAACACAACTCACCATCTTTCTTCCAGCAGCCGCTTATTTGTACGGAGACCTCCGGGCGAGTCCATCAACTGCAGCGGGGGTGACGCAGCTCAAGTAGGAACATTTATGATTATTACTTCATGGGAATGCAATCAGACTGATATGCAAAGGCAGAAGAACTACCGCTTCCGTAGTGCAAAATGATTAATATGATAATTATTACTTCAAAGAAATGATTAAGTAAGTCTGTATTGCTATCGTGCGGTCATTACTTAAGTTGGTATAACTACAGAAGCAAGCGGTCGGCAACATTCATCTCTCAACGGGGTGTCTAACTTAGTGTTACAGTGTGCTTGACCCTAACTTAATTTTACGCTGGAATATCCCTTTAAGTAAGGACACAATCCACTCTTAACATATACAAAAAAATAATAAAAATCTAAGATAAATGGACATTTCTAGATGGTTGTCTTTAATGCGAGAAGTTTGCACCACAGCTGTTGGTCATCATAGTTCAGAGGATATATTTACTGCAGGTCAGCCGGTGTGAACAGGAGCTGACAGCTGTTAACAGTGTCGGCCGTCACACATCTGCTGTGTTTGGGCGCTTTTACAGAGTGGCCACAGTTCTGGCTGAGGAGGGGGGAGGGGTTGGAAAAAGGAGGGGGGAGAATTGAAGCAGGTGAAGGAGGGTTGGTAGAGATAGTGAGTTAAAACCACCCCATAGACATTTTACAGGCACACATTCCACTCAGGAGTTAAAGCCATGGGTCAGCGGTCAGTGGCAGGTAGAGGGTTTTATAAGTACTGAACTGCAACACACCTTTTAATCACTTTAAGGGATATTTATTTAAACAAACCATACAGTCGGAGATTAATAGGACACATTAGCTGTAAGGACAGTTAGCTGAGTTTAATTTCAAGATGAATTACTAACTTTTCAGAGAGAAAAGTTTAAACACAGACCTGACCTTTTTTTCCCCTGGTCAGTTTTTGTGGCTGGGGTTTATAAGTTATGACCTCAGGTGCAATTTTCCAAGCTCCAGTAAAAAAGGAACAAACTTTTATTGTAATTTTTCTCTGGGGTGGAATTTCTCTTTTATATTTGAACCTCTTAAAACTTTTTTTTAAACTCTTTTGCCCATCAAACTTACAAATTCAAGCTAAATACTACGAGCTTTGCTTCGCTCTCAAGTCAGAGAAAATAACAGAGGCTGACATTGAACTCATCAAGTGAACATTCCCTTCTTATCTGCAGTGAGCCACCTCTTTTTGCTGTTTGAATTTCTCAACATCCATAGTCTTGTTCAAGCTAGATGAGAGGATTAACAACCTCTCAGCAAATCTTCCTCTTTATTTCTACTATCAAAGAGCGGTAAGGCATTCACAGGTTGGCATAGATATTAAATCACGTTCATTGCCACATTGCCAGTTCATTAAAGTTTCTATCTATAAAAATACTTCAGCAGGAAATATCAAATTTTCTTCATCCTGCTCCTCTATCAGCTATGAGTGCAAAAGATTATGTAAAAAAAAAAAAGTCATAAAAGAAAAAAAAAAACAGGTAATCCTGCCATCTAACTCCATCCTTACTGTAAGCTTTACAAGTGGACATCACCATTTCTAGGAAAGAGATGAAAACAGGCTCTAAAATTCAGCTGCTGAAAATAAATAATCAGTTTTGTCTTTGATTGTGTGAATTTGATATTATGCACTCTTATTTCTGTCAGTCTTTACCTTAATTAACGGAGTTGAAGCAGTGGAACACATGCAGAAAAAGGGGTTAGGGCCAGGAGTCAAACCAGTGACCTCTAAGGTAAGGGCTGTGACCCCTGTAGATAGGACATCAGATTTTTTTAGATGTTTTGGGCAAAACTAGTGCCCCAGGTAATAGATTAAAGTAAGTGGTTGTCCTTCACATGCTTCATTTATTAATTTTTGTTTGTTCAGTTTGGTTTATTCTCCTTTCATTACGTTTTAAGTTGCAGCAGGAAGCTGATCTCATTGGAGAGGTGTAGGACATCCAGCAAATACATCAGGTGGCCACAAAGACAACTTGTCTGCTGGATGTTTAAACAGGGTTTTTATTCCCCATAATTGTTTTATCAATTAATGATATGTCTCTTTACGCTAAAAGCATCATCTGTGCACTTACATGGCCAAACAAAATTGAAAGCAGGTTTTGGTAACTGAGATTTTTAGTTGTAAGATTTTAAAAATAAATAAAGAAAAGCAATTTTTAAAAACCACCATCTGCACCACTTTCTCCAGAAGCAGAGCTTGCTGAATGATGGACAACATTATGACAAGATGATTTGTGCGCTAAGTGTTTTCTTTTTTTTGGCATTTTTCAGAAAAGCTTTTGATTCCAGGACAAAGGTCATGGACTCTTGATGAAAAGAGATTCAGTTCAAGAAATTTTTAAAGTAAATTAAAAAAAAAAGGAACAACTTTCATTCACAACTTTTTTTGATATCTTTGCACTGTGTTTTTAAGTCTGTGCATGAAGGTGTGTATGTGTGTGGGTGTGTATGTGTGAGTGAGTGCCTGTAAGTGTGTGTTGGCTGAAGGAGAAAAACTCATTTGCTTGTCCATTTACTCGGCTTCCCTTTGCAGCACAATGCAGCGGCAGCCATCGGACAAAGAGGCCTCACTGTGGGATTCAAATGAAGGAGGGAGGACGAGGAGGAGGAGGGGGCAGCGCTAAAAAGGATGAAGGGGTTGATGGTGGGCTATGGAGTTGAGTTTGGAGGGAGGAAAGGATTGAATGAGTTGTACAAGAAGAAGAGGGGGAGGAGGTGATAGATGATGAAGGGGACAAAAGAGGGAGGGAGGTGACTGGTCACAAAATTAGCCCCGACCCAAATTGAGGGGCAGCATTGCCCTTCAGCCCGCTGTGACGCTGTCCAGCCTCCCATCAAAACAGTCACACAATACTGAGGAAGACTCGGCTCATAGCCAGCCACCACAGTGTGTGTTTTATGTGTTTGCTTCAAGGTGACACACTAGGTAATGTCCTCACCCTGGACTTCAGTGGAGTTTGGTTTATCAGTTAATAAATGTCCAGTTTAAAATCAGGGAAGAACACTTTGGTGCTTGTCCTGCGCTGACACATCTGTCGTTTGTGGGTTTTAAGAGGTTGTTGGTACATGCAGATGTATTCAAATTGGAGCGGAAGCTTGGTGAAGACAGGGAAATGAGCAGCAGGTGAGCTGTGGTCAAAAGCCAACCTGTGGTTTCAGAGAGTATGAATAAAAAATAAAGAAAACAGAGAAGGAAAAGTGAGAGATTTCAACTGAGGTGTACTCAGATATTTTACTGTGGTATCAGGAAATGCAGTGTTAAAATACTTAATTGCAAGAAAACTGAGAAAGTATGATCATGTGAATGAACTACAAGTAGGACAATTTACAGGGCTCTTCTGCATTTTATTTGACTGGATTATAATTCCTGAGGTGCATTTCTGAAAAGCTGCAGGTCTCAACTATATTGCTGCTGCTGAATGTATATCCACTGGTCAAGACTGACTTTATCTTCATTACAAAATTCAAAATTTACTCATTATTTTTACTGTATGGTGCAAAAGCAAATTGAAAATGTATAAAACAATTTCTAAAAATTGACACTGAAGTACAGTTGTTCAGCACTTGTGTAAATATATTAGTTACCTCTAATCACTTGGTGTTTAGCTCTTTCTGTGTTAAATTTCTTTTCTGAATTAATCTCTTGACCTTTGTGTCTGTGGCTTTATCATATTTTCGATAAACAATTTTGGAGCACATAAAAAAAACCCTCAGTGGTCAGTTTATAATTAAGTGGTTGTGCTTCATACTCATTCATAGTCAAATGGCTCCCTCTAGTGTTTATAAAGAAAACTACCCTCTATACTCGCGTGTGTGATAGTACTGTAGACAACAACAAAATATCAAAAACTGATCAATAATCTATTGCAATCTATCTAGTAATCAATCTATTCGTTGAGGCCCGAACCTCAGTTTTATCAAAATCACGTTTGTATATTATTACCTGAATTTTGGGAAGAAGCCACATCAGAGATATTTTGTCCCCATAATGTTATTTGCGGTCCTACAAGGTTAATGTTTTTAGCTCAGTGTGCCCAGACTGTATGAACGCACGTGCTGACGTTAAACGAAATTACCCTGGTTGCCAAGGTGCCCCTGAAAGTGCATCATTTAAACCGAACATTCGAACATAAACAAAATCTCAGTCGGCCAGAAAGTATTTTTCGTGAGTTTCACTCGACGATTTTGACCGAAATCTACCCTAAAACTCCGGATTTGTTCCACTATGAAAGGATTAAAGACTTCTGAAAGTGACCAGAGCAAAGAAATTCAACTTCTGTCATGGAAAATGTAAGATATGAACTTTGTTCAGCGGAATTCTTGCTTTAGCTGTAGGCTTTTTCGACAGATCATTGTAAGGTTATCTATCGTTATTATCAGAAAAGAATAATGTTTTTAGAGAATAAACTTGCACGATGTTATCTTTAACACATCAAATATTTAAATTGCCCAAATAATTTCCCTCAGACGAGATATGAACTATCAGATAAGTCAGGAGAGTGAAAACACAAGTAAAGCTAACTGAGCTAAACTTAAAAACAAAATCTCCTGTTTAATAGTAAAAACTAAACATTAAATGATCTTTTTATTAAACTCCTGGCTTGTTCATATTTACTGACGTTCGAAATTATCGATAAAACTTCAAGTATCTCCAGAAAACAGGCTGTTTGAAGGCTCCATATTCAAATGTTGGCTTACACAAGTGATGGGGTGTATTTATAAAGGATTAATTCATTGGAAAAAAAGGAATCAGAACTGTCAATCATAATTATATTTCCAAATTTATCTCCCTCTTTAACTGGCACAAAGTTTTGATAGCAACTACTACAAATCTGCCATTTGAAATTTGGATTTACATTATGCAATCTAATGTGATCATCATTTCAACACCGTTTGAAAAAAGTTGACATTTTGTAAAAAATTATATATTTTAAATGTCTTTATGCTTCCTCTGCCTCACTGTGAGTCTTTACAGCTTTCAGAAGGTCTTGTAGTGTATTTAGCATGATATCAAACACAAGTTTGTGTCTTGATTTAGACATCCCGAAAAAGTTAGGTTCATTGAGATGGTTGATGTAATTTGGTCGAAGAGCATCCCCATTTCCATTTTGTGTTTATTTATTTTTCGGTTAGTGAATATTTATAAACTCATTCCTTTATTGAGTTCACTGCAGTCAGTCAGCAGCTTATACTGATCCAAATGAACCACTGAGGATGAGCTTGAAGGACTAAAGAGCCATTTATGCTGGAGAAAACAGTCATTTTCCAGCTGTTTGAATTTTTGCAACTGGGATTTGAGATTATTAAGTGTCCTTTTTGATTTACTGGAGCTAAAATTCTAAAATAATTGTGTTTTTTGTTTGGCAGTTTGATGTTCCTCATCGCCCTCAGGGTCATGATTACTGCCAGGCGAGGAGAGTCTAAGTACGTCTGGCAAAGAGAAAGTCCAGAGCTTTCAATCCCTGTTCATGCTGTGGAAGTGACCAGGTAACACATTTGATGTTAATAATCAGAGAAAAAGTCCCAACAGTGTGTGAAACTCTTAAAAACCAGATCATTAGAGAGCTATACAAACCCACAACACAAAGTGGACTATATTTTCAATACTGTACAGGCTCTTTTTATTCCTCAATCCATCTACATTTTCCCCAAAATCCAATCTCAAACATCTTGTCATCAAGTCTCAGCTACATCTTCAGACTTTGTATAAAGTTGTCAAAGAAGTTTTCATACAAACAGCAGATTTCATAATCAAGTCAACAAGTATTTATCCAATCAACTAGCAGAAAAAAGCTGATTTTTGTACCTCAACTGAGAATTCAGATGCTTTATTCTACTTGTAACCTGCACTGGGTTGTACCAGCTGTGCATAAGTTGAAACTTAGGCCCGGACTACACATATATAGATATTTATTTATCAGGATATTTTTGTACTCCCGTCTAAATAAAGACTTTTTGGACTCCCGTCCACATGTGTCAGTTCTCAAAAATATCTGTGTCCACACGTAGCCTTCAAATTCAATCCTATCTGGTACCCTGTGTGTCCACCATCGTTGTTGTTGTTTTTCTTTTTAATCCGCACGCACGAGCTGCGGACATAAATATGTGCGGTTTGAAATATATCTGCATTTGTGTAGTTGGGGCCTTTGTCTAGTTTGACACTAATTCTGATAAAGGATAGAGTTGAAGACTGGAGTCTGACATTTTCTTGTGTGTTGAAATTTTTTCCCAGGGTTCAGAGCACCATCATGCAGCTCCTGCTGCCAGACAGAAGAGAAAGCGTGCCCCTGCGGCACGTCCTTCTGCTGAAAATCATCCTGCAGAGCTGACCCAGAATCCTGCTCCTCAGCACTCCACCAGTGATGCTGTTGCTCCTCCTCTGGTTCAAAGGCCTCAGTCCATGATTCCACCTACTGAGCTCCCTTCAGCTGTCCCTGGACGTCAGCCCTCCACAGCTCCAGTGCAGAACAATGGTCCACTGATGATCCACCACTATTCAGTGCAAGAGTACCAGCAGCTCTTCCACAGTGTGGTGGATGACATGCTTGGGTTTGTTTATGTCAAAAATCAGGAATCTACCATTAGCTTCATCATGACCTGATGTTTTTCAAACTTCTGTGTCATGATTAACAAAAACAATGATCCATTGGTACAGGACTGGCCGTCCTCGTCTGTACAGTCTACATCTGGAATTCAAGAATCAAACGAACAAACAAAAAATAAAAAACCTGGAAGGCTGTAGGCTGGAACCTACAGCCTCCTTCAGCCCAAACTCAAATCTCTGCCATCAACTGCAGCCACCTGCACTTGCTAAAAGCTATTGCCAATTTATCTAAATTTGACCACCATCTGTTGCCTCCAGCTGCAGCCTCTGTGACTACTGTAGCTACCAGCCTCCAACTTTTTCGAACTTTTGTGTCATGATTAACAAAAACAATGATCCATAGGTACAAGACCGGCCGTCCTCATCTGGGACGAGTCTTAAAGCAGAAGCTGTGGGAGCGATCTGACCGTCCATCATTTTCTGAGACTGCAGATGAGAATGGACTCGTTCATGTGGGCGTCTCGTACGGGGTTGGAGTTTTTCCTCCCTTGTTTTATGTGGACACCTCCCTGGAACCAAAACCTAAGGCTCCACCATAAAAGAGACTAAGGACCTAATGTCTTTACATTAGCTGAAAAGCTAAGACTTGTAAATACTGTCATTTTAAGAATCTGACTTGTAAATATCAGTGTTAGACATAAGACTTGTAAATATTACAAAAAGATCCTCCACCTTCAGCCTCTCAAAAATGTCCTGCCTCCCTTGTGTAACATCTGGACACCAGGCATCCACTTCCAGCATATCCTCCAAACTACCTCCATCTAAAAAAAAAAACATCTGACTCCAACATGTTCCACCATTTTTTTCACCATATTGCTGCACATCAACAAAAATAAAGACCTCCAGCCTCTGCATTAATACAGCCTCTGCCTCCACCAGCTCAATGTCAAAGACAGTTGCCTTCACTGTAAACCTCTGCCTACAAGCCGAACCCCTATCCACCAGCCAAGAACCATCAGTTACCTCTTTCAGCTGCAACTTTTAAGGAAAAACCTCTGTCAGTTACTTCACCAGTGACTTATGTTTAAGAGATCTGGCCAACACCTCTATCTACATTAGATGATGCCTCTTACTGTAGCCTCTAATGCCAACTCTGCCACTGCCTCCTCTGCCAACAACCATCAGCTACCTCCACCTGCAGCCTCTGTCGGGAAAATGTGCCAAACTCCACCTTGATAATGTGAAAAAAAGAAGAGTATTTTTTCCAACTAAAACCTCTGTCAGCAACAATGAACTGCTTCTACCTGCAGTCTCCTCCGAAATTATCAGTGTCTAGCTCTATCTGTGCAAAATTAAAGACTGCTGTTTATATTGGTTCTGTTTAAATCCTCTGCCAGTGACCTGGTGTCACCTCCACTAGCATTTGTGGCTTACAGATGCAGCCCATGATTCAAACAAAAGGCTCTGCCAAACATCAGTAGCCAGTGCCTTAAACACAAGCATCCTCAAACCTACAGCCTCAAACTCAAGTTTCTGCCAGAAACTGTAGCCAACTCCACCTGTAGTTTGTGGCTTTCCAAAGCCTTCTCCTCAGACCACAGCCTTTGCAGACACCAACATCATCTAAAGCATTGGTGAGTAATTGATGACAACATCCACCTTCTTTAGATGACATTGACAATACAGATTTGAAATTTGAATCATCATAGTTATGACTATATAAGACTACAAACTAAGGCATAATCAAAATAAAGGGAAAAGAATACAGAACACAAACATACACAAATAATAATGGCAGTAACACAACATCAAGTTAACATAAATATATAAATAGTAGAAAAGAAAAACAAAAGTGTACTTAAGAGGGTACATACTCTCTCCCCCCACTCACCCATTCCATGAGCTAGGTTTGGATTAAAGAAAAAAAAAATACACTTTTAATAATACAGAATTAAAATTCAAATACAGCACTGAGTCCTGCCACATCCAGAAATACTCTGATGACACTGCTATCATGGCAAGTATCAGTAACAGACAAGAAGCTGAATACAGAGATCTGATAAGAGCCTTCAGTGACTGGGGTCACAAAAACTGCCTCCTCCTCAACACCTCAAAGACAAAGGAGATGGTCATAGACTTCCGTAGATCCAAACCAGTGAACACCTGTGGTGTGGACATCGAAGTGGTGACATCATATAAATATGTAGGTGTACACCTGGATAATGAGTTGGACTGGTCTTAGAATATAGACTTCATCTACAGAAGGGGGCAGAGCCGCCTCTTTTGCCTGAGAAGACTCTGATCAATAGACATCTGTATTAAGATGCTGCAGATGTTTTATCAGTCTGTGGTGTCTACAGTGTTCTGTTCTACGCTGCAGTCTGCTGGGGAGGAAGTACCAAACACAAAGATGCAGGACGTCTGAACAAACTGGTGAAAAAAGCTGGCTCTGTGGTTGGATTCAAGTTGGACTCACTGGAGGATGTGGTGGAGAGATCTACATTGAAGAAGGTGGAGACTATTCTAAAGAACATGGATCACCCACTTCATAACACCTTGGTGAACCAAAGAGCCAATGGCAGTGGACGGCTCCTCTCTCTTTGCTGCAGGACAGAAAATTTCAGAAGATCTTTTGTAGCAACAGCCATCAGACTTTACAACTCTTACGTAAATACTAGATAACTGTTAGAGACATGTCAAGTGAGACAACAGACAAAAGAATTTCCCTTCGAAGAGTAATAAAGTTCTTCTTATATGCACATATGCATATATCCGCACACACACACACACACAGAAAATATAGTATAGTAGAAAATCTGTAAGAAAAAATTAGATTATCCACGCTTTTTTTCAGTGTAATTGAATAGTAGGTCGTTGTTTGTAAGGAAAAACCAAAAAAAAGTGTGTGTTATTTTCAACAACCCTTAAGATTATGACAACTAAAACTCTCTTTTTCTTTGGTAATTTACTTACTTGAGCAGTTCAGAAAGGTAACTTTGAGCCTCGGCAGGTGAAGAGAAGAGCAGCTCCTTGGTGTTTAACCTGAAGTTCAGCGGGGTAGAAAAGGACATAGTCAAGGTTTTTCCCCCGCAAGATTTTCGTTACTCTGTCGGCGCTGTAATCCAGGTAAAAGGACACTTCTTAGTGTCCAGGTTATTGTGATCTTTTCCTCGGGTCGCGGTTTATCCGACAGTCCTCTCCACCATGACAGGAGCAGAAAGTTTTCACCGCCAAACACCTTCGGTATAAACTGCTCTGTAAATCTCGCTGGATCCATTCCCTCTGCTTTCTCGTGTATGTAGATAATCCTCGGATTAGATCTCCTGCTTCGGTTTTACAGATCAACATTTTTTTTTCTCCCAGGTGGTACCGTTGTTTTTCCAACCTCTGTAGTCATTAAAGATGTCTTCATTCGTACTTAGACGGGTCTCTAGTTCCTGGACTTGATCGGATTAAGTAGAGAGGGGTGCTTCAATCTTGGCCATCAATGTTTTCTATCGATATATTTGAGTAGATCTCCCTAACTACTGTGGGTAACTTCCAACAAGCTCTCACGTGTCTCGAGTCCGTCTGCCATACCGGCGAGGTTAGCTTGGTGGCTACCGCGGCGTGTTTCGGAAGTATAGGGTTGTCGTTTCAGTTGTTGTTTTTTTTTTTTTTTGCCTCTCAGATTTGCCATGCAGTCTTGACTTAGGTCTGTTGGTGCTATGATAAAGCTTCTAGCTAGTCACTGTCCAGGATAACAGCAGTTGTAAGAGTTCAATTTTAGGGAGCTCACGAGTTCACGTCCATGCCTGGCTACATTACCCGGAAACTCCGGAAACTCCAAAACCTGGTTGCCATGGTGACCCTGAAAGTGCATCATTTAAACCGAACATTCGAACACAAACAAAATCTCAGTCAGCCAGAAAGTATTTTTCGTGACTTTCACTCGACAATTTTCACCGAAATTTACCCTCAAACTCCGGATTTGTTCCACTGTGAAAGGATTAAAGACTTCTAAAAGTGACCAGAGCAAAGAAAATCAACTTCTGTCAAGAAAAATGCAAGATATGAACTTTTTGACAATCTCCGGTGTTCATCGGAATTCTTGCTTTAGCTGTAGGCTTTTTCGTCGGATTTTTGTAACTCACTGCACAATGCGACGTCGAAATGACGTCCATATAACGTAATTTTTCGACGTCTAAATCACGTCTCCTGAAGGTACAGAATGAAAGTTTTTTTGTCATTGTCATTTCGACGTCCAGTTCAGAACAGATAAGTCATGAATGGAAGAGTAAACACACAAGGAAAGCTAACTGAGCTGAACTTGAACACAAAGTTTCCTTTTTAATAGTAAAAACTAAACGTTAAATGATCTTTTTATTAAACCCCTGGCTTGCTCATATTCAATGAAGTTCGAAATTATCGATAAAACTTAAAGTATCTCCAGAAAACAGGCCGTTTGACGTTGACATGACGTGCAATTTCGGTCGAAATTACATGTAAAATGATTTCAGTAGATGTGTCCCTTTTCAGCTTGATACAGGATGCATACTTTTGCTTCTAAATATGGGATGATTCAGTTTTGTTCAGTTTTTCAAGGGACGGTCGGCAACCCTACTTCACCAGCTGGCACCTTTCAGAAAAAAACTTTTAAAATAACTTGGCCACTCCTGCAATTTGTGGCCAACTCTACCTTCCATCTTTTTTGACCCATTGTTCACTTCAACCATAAGACCATGTGCAATAGCACATCTGGGCCTTCAGTTTCACCCTCTGCCTACAACCATGCGCTTGACTACACCTGGGCACATCATCTATGACCTGCAGCTTGAATCCATTTTCAGATTGTCTTATTTTCACTGCCTCGGTTCTTGAAAAGATAGCTGTCTTAACCAGCACATCTGTCTCCAATCGTATGTTCTTCTTGAACTCATCAGCACTTAAAGTCACCTGTAAAAAGGAACAACCTTCAGTTGACGGTTCTGATGGTATCTATCAGCCTTGAGATTGGCCGATTGCTGTTTGCACTGCTCACTACAAACCTGTAATCTGTGGAAAACATCTTTTGCCACCTCTCAGCTTTAGTCTCTGCAAGCAGCCAGCAACAGCCTTCCCCTGCATTGAGCCTGCATAGATATCAGCAGACTCCTCATGTGACCTCTAACCTCTAAAAAACCTCAATGTGACCCATTGAATGTGACAACCTGCGACCACTTTGTTTGTTGTTGACAACTGGAGCTACCAGCTTCCACTTTCACCTGCAGCCACTGCCACAAATTCACATTTGCAATCTCTTTCTGCCAACTTTCCCAGCATCTTTCACCTCTTCCTCCAACTACAGCTTTTATCAGCAGCTTATCCACCTCCAGAACGGTACCAAAATATTGCAGCCAATGCCTCCAACACCTGACAGTGACCTTCAGCTACTTTACCTTTGCAGCCAGACAAATATCAGCTGCTTAAAGTGTTTGACAACTATGTCCAGCTCTGGTTTAACAGCCTTTGGCTCTGCATGTGCAAAATGAGATAGGTGCTTTCACTCCTTTTGATTCTAGCCTTCACCAGAAAAATTGTCTTCAGGCACCAGACATGAGCGGCTGCCAGGCCAGTACTGAAATTCTCCTCTGGATCAATAAAGTATTTATCACCAGTTAGCTGGTGTCAGAGACTTTATCGCTGTTCAATATAATGTGAAGATGCCGTGATAACCTGAGAAGCACTTTGGAAATGCAGAATACGTTTTTGTGTAGAGTTGTTATATGCAGGCCTTCTGAATTTATTTTCATAAGCTTGACCAGATCCTCTGGTGAAAAACACTTACCTGCTAATTGAAGTCCTCACACTTACAGGAAGGGGAGCACCCATATCACATCAGCAGAATTTGTTGGGAGCAGTCACAATTTACACAAACTTTAAACAGTTATTCTCTTGATTAACTCGAAGGTGATATAATAATCTTAAACTCCTAAAACGACAAAACAAAAAAAGGCACATAAAAAGTATTAAAGTATCCCTTTATCATGTCAGGATGTGATGTAAACCTGTCCAAACAAAACATAAAACAGATACAGTCCAAAGCATCTAAAGTGCAGAGGTTCAACGTTTTTTTTTTAAAATTGATTTAACACCAGACTGAAACAGCGCATTTAAAACACAGAAAAGATTGACAAAAATTACACATGACCAAAGTTTACATCCGTGGACAGCTCCTGTTGGCAACGACCCTGTGTGTTAATCTGGTTATGTTGAGTCCATTTCCTCAAGTCCCCTCTCAAACCTGACAGCAGTGTGCTGCCCTGCGTGTCTCTGACAAATGGCTATAATAAAAACAGGAACCAATTTGAGAAGCGGTTGATCTTGAAGCTGATATCTGCAGTTTAAAACTATTAAAAATCCAACCCAGATGCTGAGAAACATTCATATAGGGAGGTCAGTCTGATGTGAGTCTGATCCATAGAGGTCCGTTCTGTAACACGGGACAGTCTGATGATATGACAGTTCAGCATGAAAACAGTTATGGCGGTCATGTCTCGGACAGACACATCAGACAGGTAGGTCGGCTGTGTGTGTGATGGGGAGGGTACGAAGGGTACAGTTGATTCGCTGTGGTGCATCTTCTTTGCTGCACCTGCCATCGTCTAGAAGAGCTGGATCATGGACTCCCGAGACTTTCCCACACCGATCCATTTGACTGAAGAAACAAAGACATGTTTAAGTAGAAGGTGGATGGATATTTGTGTTTCATCAGACCATCGAAAATTCATCTTTTATGGCCTGAACCCACAGAAGTTAGTGGCCTTTGCAGGTCACACATAAACGCATTAGAAAACCTGATTAATGTTTTGCTGTACCCGTGATTACTTTTTTGAAATATGTTGCTGGCATCAATATAAAATGAAAATATCCTTAATACAATTTTTTTTAATTTCTACATTTGACTGAGCTGTTTTCAGATAGATAAAAGCTTTAAATGATTTACAAACCATCAAATTTTGTTAGAGAGTGTTCAAACTGTGGTCCTGTCATCTAAACGTTAACTTCATATCAATCACTGTGTTCACATAGGGGTCATACCAGGCACTCCCACATGCTCCTCGACGTAACGAACATATTTCTGAGCATTCTCAGGCAGCTCCTCAAAACTCCTCGCGGCTGAAGTGTCACTCTTCCATCCCGGCAGTGTCTCATACTGGACTTCCACACGCTGCAGTACCTCCTGATTGGCTGTCACAAAATCAATAAGACAAAGGAGACTGGGTATTGCGGGAAGCGGGCAATATAACATCATGTTGCTTTTCAGGGACTGCAATCAATGTCTGCATCTTAAAATGGATTTCACTATAAATAGGTGAAGGTGAAGCGAGCCTGGGAGCAGATGCGATATTTAGCTCTGATCAGTCTGGCCTGACACTACAGTACACCGAGACTTTGCTCCTGATTCTTGGCATTTAAATTCAACTTTAAATGTCTGTGTCGGCTCACCTGGAAAGTGAGGTATAGTTTGGTTGTTGACTTTGTATGCTACTCCCACTTTAATCTCTGCCAACACGTCAAGTATGTCCAGTTTGGTAAGCGCTAAACTGAGACAAGACATAGAGGACACAAAGGTTATGAAAAAGTTGACTCAGACAGTTCCTTTCTGGAAAGTAAATAAAAATAAATATAACATAATATCATATTATAAAAAAAATACATACATAAATATTGAATAAATAAGTGAACAAAATCTTTTTTCTCACAGTCTTGTAAAAATGACAAGTTCAGAGAAGTTGAAACCTATGAATCAAGGTGAACTCACGCTGTGAAGCCGTTTATCATGTGTGCATATTTAATAAGCACCAGATCCAGCCAGCCACATCGCCTCTTCCTGCCTGTGGTCACTCCCACCTCCTTCCCCCGAGTCTGAAGGAGCTCTCCAATCTCCTAAAGTTTACCAGATGATCATGACAGTAAGTTAATTACAGGTGGTCAGTGGTGGCAGTGTGTGTTATTGCCCTGAAGGGGGTGCTGTTGGAAAATAAGCTACTTTTACTGACCCTCCTCTAAAGTTTTCATGACATGTAAAGCCCTGCATCCATTGCAAACATATTAATTTTGATGACAGCTGCTGTAACTTGGTGTAAATCTATATTGTTAGGAGAGTGTCGGCCTAGGTCAGCTCTTACATTGCTCTGTTCTGAGGGGAAAGCTCCGATGCCCACTCTGGTCGTGTACGCTTTCACAACACCAAAGACCTCGCCAACGTTCTGGGGCGGCATACCAAGACCTGTACAAACTCCTCCCACCGTGCAGTTGGATGACGTCACGAATGGATATGTTCCTGCAAGAATATGAAGAGTGGACAATGTTTTCAAAGTCTGACACTGACGTTAGAATAAAATCAGCACCAGTCAAAATATTCCAGCTGGCTCTTGTTTAGGTTGTACTCACTACTTGAATACAAAATAAACTCAAAAATGTCACTCTCCTAAAACAAGCTATTGAAGTTTGTTGTCACTCAAATCACAGGAACTTTATTGGATGTTTCAGGATGGATTCAAGACAGAATCCAAGTGTCAATCACACTAAATCTTAATTACGTGTAGCAGAGTTTTCATAGTTTTGGCACAGAAAAGTTATATTTTGATGCAAGTTGGGTAAATAAAGGTATTCACTAATCAGAGTGCTCTAAAAACCAATTTAATTGCCTCTATAAGCCGTGCAGCAGAGCTTTAGCTGCATCTCCAACTGCTAGATCGGTTAGTGTGAAGCCAAATGAGGATAAAGTATCAGATGTCTTGTTGACCATACAGTAGAACTCGGGTGTACACCTCTCTTGATCACCTCACGTCTAAGGCTGAGAACCGGAGCTTAGTTGTACAAAGGTAAACTGACTGGCATAAAACTATGAGAATGGGACAAATATTGAAAATATGTGTAAGGGATTACTGAATTGGATATGATCAGGTTACGCAATTTTGAATTTATATTCTGAAACTTCTAAGTAGGGTTGGGATAACTTTGACCCTGAGATCATGATTGTGCTGATCCAATGAAAGGGCTTTACTCAGGCAAGATAAAAAAAATAGTAACTTGCATCAAAGTAACACTTCTAAAGAAAAGTACATATACTTAAGTTTGAAAGGATGTTGTTTGACAAGGTTGATCCAATCCAAATTTAAAAAAACAGAGTAAAAGTGAGCTGTAACCCTCAATCGCAGATAGCCAGAACAGAGGGAATTCAAGTCTAGATAATACTAATCTAAATCAAAACCTTCTGAACAACCTCGTGCTGCTTCTTCCTTTAACCACCAGACACTACACCTGATAGCATGTTACCTTGAAAAAACCTGCATGGTCACTTAAGTTCATAAAAGGTCACTAAAAATCCAGCTGAGACTGAGTTTGGCTCGAGGCCAACAGCCTTCATGAATCCTTTTGTCTGTCGAATATTTCTTAAAACAAATACAGCTAAGTCAAGCTGTCGTACTGGTGTGCATTTTAAACAAAGCATTCTCAAAGATTTCCCTCAGGTGATGACCAAAAGAAACAATAAATCAGCTCTTCTTCAGATATTCAAAAGATAGTGCACCTCAGACCAGTGTTTCAACTTCTTGGCATTTAAAAGGGATTAAGTTTCAACACTAAAACTCTGGAGGCTGCCCACATGCCAATAGTCCCAGTGTTCAGCGAGACTGTTATGTAACTAAAGCACAAGAGAGCCTACAGCAGCGAGCGTGTCCAACAGGAGAGTGTGTCCTGTTTAAGTGTTCTTTAACTTCACACTGACACCTTTCACTAGCTGCGTTTCCATTACCCATAGATTTGCGCAAAACGTAAATATCGCAATAGAAAACTGGTAATGGAAACACCTACATTTCGAAAAACCTCCCAAATATCGCTAAAGAGTTTTTACGCTCTCATGAGGTGGTTTTTCAGAAGTGTCGATATAGAAGTATATCGCAAAAGTGTAATGGAAACACTTTTCTCGCAATTCTCTGTCACCGGACGTGACGTAGCGGGTCAAGTGACCAGTTCATTTCAAGCGTAGATGGCACGGTATATGTGGACGGGGGAGGAGACGGAGTTATTTCTGAAGTTTTGAATTGTATTTGTATTTTTCTGAAGTTTTGAATCCACAATTCGTCTGTGAATTCCTCATTAACGATCCTCTCCCAGAAATCGCTCATCCGTGTCCGCTCCCATACATACGGGCTTTGCCTTTGAATTATCACCCGCTGCCTTCGTCTTCTGATGACAGCAGCGGCAACAGCAGTAATGGTCACAGAAATAGCTGCTCCAAAACGCAAAATGTTTTGTGTCTCGTCCATGTTGGTGTGCAAAAAGGCTTTAGGAATACGAGGTCGCACGGGCAGGAAGTTTACCTCGTTGCTAGGCAACGGCCATTTAAACACGGCTCGCGAGAGGCAGACGGCTCGCTTATGCACTGAACACCATTCAATGGAAACACCCGCAAATCGCAATTGTACTTTGTCGAAATTTGATAAACATCGCTTTTATTTTGCGAAAAAATGTAATGGAAACGCAGCTACTGACGCCTTTCATGTTTGAGGTTACTGTTAAATGATTTGTCTAAAGTGACGGCTTAATGCATGTTCCACCCTTCCTTATTGAGTATAGATATATCTGGTCAGATTGAGTGTTTGTATTCCTACACTATCAGCGAGAAGGACACTATGCCCTGATACCACAAGAATGGCACACAGTGTTTGGTCAATAACCAACATCGAACCATGAAGGTCATTCAGTCTACTTAAAGCCATACATCATTGTCTGCATTATTACAATAACATACTATCATATCTACAAGACAAGCATGACTGTTGTGTCTATAAGTGAAGATATTATTCTTTTAAAACATCAACTTTCAAAGACTATTTCTGGGTTCAACGATTACTCTCTCTCTGGTCAGCTGACTGACTTACTGCTGATATAGGATGCCATGGTGCTCATGCACAGTCAGGTGGCATTAGGTGGTTCAACTGTGAGCGTGCACATCAAGCCTGGATGCCAGAGCACCTTAGGAGTTAGTAAACTTACCGTTGTCTCTAGTCTGAGCTCCGAGCAGGCTTTTGTAAAGAGCATCACAAATCTTAAGTATCTCAGGGAAACTTCACTGGGTCACTGTAAATGCACTCAACAGTGCTTAGCAGTTAGAAACAACATTCATTCTCAGGTTACATTTGAGCACAAACACTTGATTAATGAAGAGACTGTTGGGAAATATACACAACCAAGCAAGTTAAAAGTAAGGAGTGCTCAATGGCTATGCAAATGCATGCTCACACATGTACACACAGCGATCTACTTACCAAAGTCTATGTCCAGCAGTGCAGCGTTGGCTCCTTCTACCAGGATCTTTTTAGGAGGTCCATGCAGGGCCTCGTACATGTAGTGCACCCCGTCTCTCACCATGGGCTTGATCCGCTCCACATAGTCCTAAAAGTCAAACTGTTACCACAAAGAGGCCACTTTAACGTTTGAGAAACATCCTTCTGTTTGATCTCATTACCTTTAATTTGACCAGCTCTCCCTCTTTGTCGATCTCCAGGGTCGGGTATATAGACTTGTACTGCTGGGCCAACACTTTATACCTGTTAAGAGCAACAATGATCAGTCTTGGTCTGATGTACTCTCACAGTTATTTAATCCAGCAACAAGGCTCATATGACTATGTTCAAAGTTATTTTGCACTTTAGTACACTGTAAAAATAAAGAGGCTCAGCAGCAACACATTTTTCGATTTTTTTTATGTGCATAAGGGATTCAATGTCCTTTATCAGCCACCAGCCTCAGACAAGAGGGAGCCTCAGGAAGCAAACTCTGGAACAAAACAGCCCCAGTGAAAATCCTTCTTTTCACTAAAGAACCATGACAATCAGGCAAACCAGGCCACCGGAGGAAAAAGCTATTTTTAAAGTCATGGACTAAGTGAATATTCTGCTTATTATTAGTTATAAAATGTGAGAATGAAGGCTGATGACACCAAACTCTGTCTTTAAATCTATGTTTTCTCTGAGTGAAGCTTCAACATGGTAGTTCCAGAGCCATGAAACAGCAACAATCACAGGAATAACATTTAGACTGTGTTAAGTGCTGAGGCAAAAAACTTCAAGTTTATGCAGGTGCATATTTGTGAATAACTTTGTGGAGTTGACACGTTCACCTTGCATTCATTGCAACAGAAGAAAAGTTAAGTCTGCAAAGACTTAGAGGAAGTTATAAAATATTTTTACAATGGTTTATAATGGTGTCAGAGTGTCCTAAACTGATAGGAAGGACTTTGATGCCTGATAATTATTCATATCATCAGGATCTTTACTTGAACTTTTTAGTTTTTTGCACTTTTTCAATTCAGGTGTGTGATTTCTGTTTGATGGACACCTTAGATCTTCGTTTTCTGGTCAATATGGGGGAAAAACTCTTAAACTCCAAAGAGATGTTTCATAGACCTTTCAGAGAACTTGGTGAAGTCGGCCAACAGGTCACATATCCTGAGACCGCTGCGTGCTGCTTTGGCGGAGTACACAGGTCCAATCCCTTTCTTTGTCGTCCCGAGACTGGGTGAGGCCAGGTGAGGAGAGACAGAGGAGAAAAACAGAAGCAGCATTAGCGTGTGACAACAGCTTAACTTTTACATGTTCAAAGTTCATCAGGCCAGTCAACTCTGACCGCCTTTTCATCTGGCATCTTACTCATATCACAGTCATGTAAAACTTGGCGTTAAAAGTAGATTGCCAGTAACAAAGAGCTACATTTTTGATTACATTTTTATAATGTAATCAAACAAAGGACAGTCACATCTCATCTGGAGATAGCAGAGCTGATGCTTGGTCATGTTTCAGGGTATTATAAATGTTAGAGCGCACTAAAAATCATCACACTGCGTATCATCTGGAACTTTTCATACAAGCCAAAGTATAAGAGAGGAACTGCTCAAACTCAGTGTAACTGAGTAACCATTGTCCCATGACACACACACACACACACACACACACACACACACACACACACACACACACACACACACACACACACACACACACACACACACACACACACACATAATACGTATGAGTTCAAACTCGGTCTATTGAATGTTTAGTACAGCAAGTTTTATTTACCCTACATGCAAAGTGAAAGAAGGAAAAGCCAGATAACCTTTATGGACACTATATAATCATCAGTACCAGCCTACAGACACGCACAAGTGAGAAAGTGAAACTACTGTAGACTTGTTCCTATTTAAGGACATGGATCCTCGATGGAGAAACATTATCAAAAAATCTGTTAAAATGAATAATTCAGACATTCAAAGAACTACTTAATGTCATATGTATGCAGGTAGTTTAGCACAGTGGTTCACAATCAGTGCATCAGGGTCTTTAGAGGGGTTACAAGAAAAGTGTGGAGGGATGGAGGGAAAAAAAAGGCCTCGATTTGATGAATTTGCTTGAACGAAAAGTTGGATAAGTTTTCCTCTAGGATGCCTTCAGAATGATTTATCTTAGAGGTTTAATGAGTATATTGCTTTTTAGTAGCAATGCTGAAATTGTGGAAGAATGTAGATATTCATGTGATTACAAAAACAATGGGTGTTTTGATACGTTGGCTAAATGAAGCTTGGCATCAGTTCATGCAGGACATGGAAGTCATGCTACCCCTGGTTGTAATAAGGCCAACAGGCTGCTGAGTGAATCATTGCTATCAGTCACTCACAAACCAATCACAGCCCATTCTCACAAAAGACGGTCCATTTCAACATGTCTTTCTTCACACTGATCCCTGCTACACCAATGCTGCTGCTGTTGGAAAAGCTTTGCCTCCACCATTGAAGCCACCTCCTCTCTACTCTACAAGCCTAAGAGCCTCGTTTTTACCTTTGCAGGGCACAAATCAATGGTGTGCAGCTTGGCTAACCCAGGTGAGCATTTACAGGGCCAAATGCACCAACACCAAACTGTATTGTTTTTGCAGTCGATGGAAATGATTGACAAGTGTACTAAATATAGACTGCATTAAACATCGGCTCCTTTGTAGAGTGTTTCAAAGTAAAAAGGCCTTTAAGTAGAAACCTTCCAGTCGAACCAGTCTTCGTGGCTTCCTGTCTGATTGACCTCTGACCTCTTAGTGGATGTCAGACAGAGGTAAAATGTGGACGTGCAAGTATGGGTGTACGTGTTATGTGTGTGTGTGTGTGTGTGTGTGTGTGTAGCAGCAGCTGTTTTCAAGCGACAGGTTTCTTACTTCTTGCCTGCTTGATCTTGCCTCTGCTGTTCCTGAATGTCATCAACTGCTTGGTGGAAGTCAAACACTGTGGAGGAGGGAGAGAGGGGACACACACACTCACACACCTCAGAGAAAGCAGGGCTCAAACATACTATTTTGCGTCCATTCATTCAAACATTCATCCATGGAAAAAAAATAATTAAAAAATCAAACTTACCGATATGTGCTCTGTCTGAGATGATCAACCTCTTATCCCAGTCTTTGAGACCTACAGATACACACATACAATTACACTCCAAATCCCAACATAATATTAAAGACTTGTCTAATACTGTGTGTACACTCACACAGCTGTGGGTTCCTTACCATTTCCTTTGCGTTGGTTCTTTTCTGCCTCGTCAAACAGGCCTGGTAGGTGGATCACTACACCGTTGCCTAAAAAAGAGAAAGGAAAAAGAAAAGTCAAATTAAGCAGATAAAGGATTGTTCCACAGAGTTGAATTCTACCAATGCGTGATACTTTCTTGTAAATGTTCTTTATTTATACAGCCCTTTAAAACAACCCTTTCGGTGAACCAAAGTGCTTTACAATACATAGTAAATAAAAACGAATAAATAAAAACAATAAAAACAATAAAAGCAATAAAAAAAGAGTAAGATACAATGAAATAAAATAAAGTGTCACCCCGCTACTGGGTAATAAAAGCCAGCATAAATAAATACGTTTTCAATCTAGATTTGAAAAGGCCCAGGTTTCCTTCACTGAATTTATATTTTCGCATGAGAATTTGTTTTATCTCATTTAATGTGACTTTTTGAATGTTTTAAATCCTTCTTTCTATTTCAAGGTCTGTTGGATTCATCTGAGATCTCATGGAGGGTCTTGATTTTGGGAAAACGTGAACAGATTTAAGGACATAAAAGTGAAGTGCAGGACCATTGTTTGGCCTGGTGGTTGAACTTCATTGGACTGGGACTTCTGGCATGCCACTCCCAACTCTCAACTCACTGTATTTCTAGACTTTGTCCTGCTGTTCTACCTCTAACCTGAGTGTACTAGAGTACACTTCATTTAAAGCTGGGCTGCCTCTTCAAATATTAATAATAGAAATCATCAGTGGGGGAAACCCTGAGTAAACTTGTTTTTTCTTAGTTGCACCTTAAGTCCATAAGTAGGGATTAAGGGTGGGAATCACTGATGGCCCCATGATACAATATTATCACAATACTTGGGCCACAATATGATATTATTAATAATATGATGTATTAATTCTGTGTATGCAATGACAACTCACATTTGTACTGACAGCGGATGCATTGCTAAAGGTTATTTACATAGAAAAGAAAACAATGAAGTCAGAATTAAAGGCTGAATATATTACTAAATTTATTAAAGATCGATAATTGAGGGACAGTTTAGATCCTGTCTGAGAGCTTCTAGGAAAAGTGATTCAGTATATGATATTGTGATGTGATATTTAATACAATATATGATATAAAAAGGGTGTAACGTCTAACAGAGCTGGCCTAAAACACACATGTTCCCATGAAAGATTATACAGTTGCTTCTTATTATCTTTTAAAATAAACTGCGATGGCTGGAGGAGGTATGAGGTCACAGCTTTGACAAAATGTGAGTTGAAAAAAAAAAGTGAAATGGTAAACAAAAAACACTCTCAATACCACTGGAGGGATAAATGTGGGGGATACAGATACAAACCATTTCTGGCTCAAAAACGGGAAAGACATAAACACAGATTTGCGACCAGTGCTGGAGGCCGTGAACGTACTTCTCCCCTTGGTGAGTGGAGTCACAGTAAAGTAAACAAAAACACTACTCTACTGAGTCCAAGAAGATTCAACAGTAAAACACTAGGAATTAAAATGATCTGTATGCTATTTTGTCACACAAAAACTATGCAGCAGGTAACCTCATGACCTCAGACCTCATGTGGCGGAAAGGGAAAAAGTTTGGTAGGATGCATCCTCTTTGAACCATGACTGCTGTCCCACTCTATGCAACTGCTGGTGAGATATTTGAGTCCATACCAAAGGAGTGAACAAGCCGACAGACCAACATGACTCCTTGTAGAAGTATGTGAGGAGGATGATATTACTGTATATCATGAAGGACTTGAATGTGTCAGCGATCTGTGAATCCAGAGTGGTCGTACTATCAGCACATTGTGTTGTCATCTGTTGCAGGTCCATGCTAATGCACAGATGGATGCTGACATCGTCTATAATGTACAGACCAAATGCTCTGATGCAGACAACAGGCTACACAAACAGCACATCCACCACATAGAGAGGGAATCCATTACATCCTTAAGCTGCACAGACTGAGCATGAAAATAATGCATCAAAGATGGAAGTAAGTGAAGACTTGATCATATATCGACAGAGATAATGCACCCGTACATATATGGGTGTCATGTTGGGAGATTTGAAGGGCGTGGCAACACCATCAGCTAATGAAATTACTGCAGAGAAGTGGATATGGCCCGCAGTCTGGCTTTATGTCAAGCTGATCACACTCACTGTAGCAGTCTTCAGAATGGGGGCTGTTACTCCAGGGATGATGAATGCCAAGCTAATAGCAGATCCGATCAGTTCATCAAGAATATAGCAAAGCTTGGCCTTGAAATGAGTGTCTGTACGTGATTATGTCTGAGTAAAGAGTGTGTGTGTGTGTGTGTCAAATTTGATTGCACAAACAGTAAAAAGCATGACACTGAGTACTTTTGTGTGCATATATCCGTGTGCTGTACACACCAATGAAGGCGGTGACCTTAGGGTTGATGATGCCGCTGGGGAGGAGGTGAAAGTCGTACTCCACTGAGTCTACCACTACTGTGTGTCCTGCGTTGTTGCCGCCCTGCAGAGACAAGACAGAGTCAAACAGACAAAGTGAGACAAACAAAGTCAGAGCTGGAAGGCTGGCCGAATAGTTTGGCGAGTAGCAACAAGCATTGTACATAAACCACCGGCTACTTTGTGTTAGTATGTGTGCTGTTGCTTAGAGACTCTCGCTCACCGTGGAAGAGGGGACAGGAGAGTAAACTCACAGACAAATCTGTCAGCAATAAACATGTTCAACAGATTGTTGATACTGTGGATTATATAATATGTAAATACTCTTCAAGTCCCTGTACTCAAAACCATGTACTGTCAACTCATGCTGCTCCCAAAAACTTCCACACAACACAACAGATATTCAGCTGGAAGATTAACGTACGTATAGGTTTGTTGCTTTAAAAACCAGCCTGTGCAACAATTAGATAGGTCAAAAACAAATCAAAGCCCAGGCAGTAGATGGGACTACTTGAAACTTTTTTTTCTTCCTGTGAGGCTTGTTTGTACAAGTAGTAAAAGTCTGACTCACCCAGTTTTCAAGAACGTCATTTTTTGCACGTGAGGTATTTTGCATGTTTCATCACAGGAATACCCCACAGCTATATTGTTCATCGATGAAATCAGCTGACATTTACCCATAAATGGTTTATGTGAACATGTAACCCAGCAGCTCAACTTTCATGCATTGGGGTTCTAAAAACCAAAATATTGTGATTCTGTGTAAAATAACAAAAACAGGATTTGACAGTTTGCAAATCATATCCACCTGATCTTTGATTAAAAGCATCACAAAGACAACAAATTAAATGCAAAAGTTGAAAATCTTGATTGCTTTAAGAAAATATGCTTCATCACATCTTTTTTTTAATGCTTTGTAAACATTTGAAGCCTAAAAAATTTAGTTTCTGGAGTTTTAAAAATGAGATATGTCCCATTTTCTCCTGATCTTAGAGGCAGGTCTGTTTAACACTCTGACTCTTCTGCTGTGGGGCTGTGCTGTTCTAACACATGCAAAATATGTGTTTTATATGGTTGTAGCGTGTGTGGTGTGGCATTTGCTTCTACTAAAATATGCAGGGTCTTTCCTGACAAAGCAGCAAGTATCCAAAGTGTGTAAGCTATCTTTGCCATGGACATGAAAAACCTTTTAATCAATCTTTATTAACAAGAAAACCATTTGTTTTGAAATTGGGGTTGCATCTTAATTAGGATAGAAAAGAATAAACAACCAGATTTATTATCTATAAGCAAAGAAGTCCTGCACAGAATCCAGCTACTCTGATTGGTTGATCAAAATGGACATTATTTAATGTGTAAGGAATAAGAGAAGGCAATATCTGTGAACTTGGGCCTCGAGTTCTGACTATCACATGATTTAAAAGAAGAAAAATGAGGCCATGAGTTCTGTTCGTGAAGACATCACAAACACAACCTGTGTCACTCTTCTCTGCTTTATGCCCCACTGCTAAAGAGGTTATACCTCGCTGCTTTGACGTAAAACAGCATGATAACATTGGCTGTGACAGGAAAGAAAACATCATTCTCACTTCCTGAGGTGCAAATTGAACTCTGGTCCATCCTGACACGACAATATGTTCCTAATGCTGTGGCCTTTGGGTATAAATCAAGCCCAACATGTGCTTCAACCACACAGGGTTATTCCTGGACACAGCAGCACCCTGAAGGTGGAGAAGCAGAACAGATGGGGGGAGGTAGATGCCTCTCCTTTTAAAGCATTTACGATTCAATGCCACCCCCCGCAGAAACTAGCATTGATTCCCACATAGACCCACGATAAACCAATAAAATCCAGGGGAACAAACTAATTCTTTGTCTGCTGTCATTTTAATACTGCTGTTTTTAATATTGTCTCATATTTATACATCAAGTCTCGAGGTCAGCGATATTGACCAAAAATTACATATGGTTTATTTAGGGATTTTGCTGGAAATTGACGATCCTTTCCATGCCTCTGGAAATATTTGCAAAAACAATCTTTTGCTAACTGTGTGTATACATTATGTGTATTTTCTGTACATGTTTGTGTATTACACAATGTCTTTAGTGCAATATACAATTATACTGTAAATTCAACATGGGTGTATTTGCTTCTCAGTTTGCCATGGTACTGTGGATGCTGAAATGTTGTGTACCTAAAATGGAATATTTCTTGTATAATTTCAATCAAGTCTTTTACTTCTATTTATCAATCTAACCTTTTCTGTTTTTGAGAAGTTCAGTTAACGCAAATGAAGTTCCAAAGATAAAGAGAATTCGATATTGGAAATTTGGCCTGAATGAAATGAACTGTAGAAAAATTATAAAACAGTGGGATGTGGTAAGTACGCTGATGAAGGTTCATCTTTTACTTTACTAACAATAAAGTAACAGTCTAAAAAATCCTTGAAGTAAATGTTGGTGCTAATGAGTCAACATGTGTTACCTGATCTGGACCTGTGACCCTGCTCCTGACCTGAGGTTAAAAACAGGTCTAACAACCCACTGCTTTGGTTTGAAAGGGCAGTCATCAGATTCTGTTACAGCTGATATATCTTTTAGTCTTCAAAGATGGGCGAACTAACCAGCTGACCGTCTAAATAAAGAAAAATCAGGAAGAAAATATAGATTGCAGTCCTATAATAAACATACAGGTTGGTCTACATCCCTACAGGGATGTGAGACCATAAGCTTTTTTCAGAAGATCACGTGATTGTCAGTAGACTCTTGAGACTGCAGCAAGAACAGGTACAATACAGAAAAAACACAGGCTCTTACAATAACTGATCACAGATGCCCTCACCTGCCTCTACTCTTTCTTCAACTCATTAAAAAGTGAGTTTATCGATGAAATATGGAAAAAAATAATAATAATGTGACACAACAATCAGAAATCTTAAGTGTTGAAAAATGAAATAAAAAAAAAAAAAAAGGAAAAAACGCAAAAAACGTAGTTCCTAAAGTGTCCACTTGAGGCTGGCTCGAAATCTAAGACAATCCCTAGTTTGAGTTGTAAGGGGTCATGCTGTGGCTGTTTACGAGGCTGAAAGTCCATTGCCTTGACTCTACCTCTGTGCAGGTGTTTCGATTTGGAGTCAGCACTTACTACAATGTTTTCCACTGTCATTACACTGCATGTTGCTCTTCAGAAACCAAACCAGGGTGATAAAATATAGAGTAGGTCATACTGACCTTTGGTTATAAAACATTTTGACCTCATAACTTCTTATTTGCAGTTTGAGTAACAGCATAATAATCTGAGTATGAATTCTCAGGAACCTTGACCTCTTATTGCCAAATTCTAATCAGATTATGTTAAAATGAAAATTAGATTTCAGTTCACAGTCATATCATTTAGAGGCTGGAACCAGAAAATGTTTTAGTCCAAAGCACTTCAGTCTAAAAATCAGTAATTGAAACTGTCAGCTAAATATTTTAAAAGGTTTCAGCAAGAATCTGAAAAAGAACAAATAATTATCAGACATTTTTTGTATCACAGTAAAATTTGGAATAAGACACAGCAAGTGTTTAATAGCTGTGTATATGATCGGTAAGGTGCCATGGTGAGTTAAGACACCATCTCTTGAGTCGGTCAAAGGTCTTGAGTCAAAGCCAGCCACCTGCTACTTTTGAAGGCTGTTCAAGAGGAAACCAGGGGTACCTGTGTCAGTCTCCTCTGTTTGTTGGATCTGTAGGTGATGTAGTTGCCCAGGTGTGTCTTCCATAAACCACATATAGGGTGCATATGACCATTTAAAGATTTTGTACACTAGATCTGCGTCTGTCAAATTTCCAGAGGAGGGGCCAGAAAACACAATAGTTTCTGTTAGCAAAACCAAGCCCTGTAAACATCTCTTTACCAGTCCAAGCAAGTGCAGTGACTCTGTGCTTGGTTTGTGTGTCAAACTGAAATCATAAACAAAGAGATCATGCTGAGATACACCGAGTGATTGACTAAACCAAAAGTATGAGCCCAGTTCAGTTCCTCATAAAGTCACTTTGTCGGACAGAAAATGTGATGTGCTTCTTGGTGAGCTCCAGTTTTCGAGGTCTTTAGTCCCTCGCAGATATTACTGTAATCTCCAACCAGAATAAAGACATAGTAAGCCTTGAGAGCTGGTACAAAATGATTTTTTTTTTCGCGCTATGAATGTACAGACCAGAACTATTTCTTGCATTTTTACTTCAGTAAACCTAACAACATCAGAGAGTTTATCACTTTTTTCTTCAACCTAAACTGGTTCTTGGATTTCTTTAGTCCTGGACTCTATAACTCATTAAACGTGTAAGACATCTGATTTAAAACAGCAGAGCTGGCTCTAAATCACCCTTCCAACTGAATTATTAACTGTAACTTAACAGGCAGCAACAACTTTTGTTCATTTTTTATCAGTACAGATGACTGGAACTTTATCTGGGTCATTTCTCCCAGGAAACATAAAATAATCACGCCAAAACACAATACACCATAAAGACTGTTATCAGTCATTAGATGGTTAACTGGTAGTACAACTCTCAGCTACACACCCTTCTTCCCTTTCGCTTAACCCCCAGCGTGACTTCTAGGAACACCAGACAGACTGCTGGCGAGGCTTTTTTAAAAATAAGATCAACACTATCTGCTCAGCATTTCAACACACACCCACACCCACACACACACGAACACACCCACACCCAACATAATGTATGCAGGGGACGTGGTGCAGGAGGACCACTGCCAGAGAGGGGTTTATTTTTACACGTGTCCTGCCATGGCAGGACTGCAGGAGCAACACTCAGAGGGTCAGAAGAATCCCTGTTATGTCAACTTGTTATCGGGACAAACACCCAAAGGACACCTGAACTCGACAGAGCTTGAACAAGATCTGAAAGCAAAATTTTCTAGCATTTAGAGAAAGCAAACCATCGGTCTTAAATACCTGAAATATGACAGTGTTTGATGCTGGGAAAAGACTTGGTTTATTTCTTTGGACTCATCAATTCAATTGACTTTTTGATCCATCAGCCTGATGTAATTTTGAGCCAGGCAGTCAAACTATCAGGAAAGAGGATTAGGTTAAATTGTATGTCAATAACAGTGATAAACTTTGGACATTTCCCCCAGAGGAGTAGATTTAACAGAATACTGCACAGCCAAGATTCCTCAGACCTTAAAATAAGAGGAAGTTATACTACAGCATCTCAGTTTTCTTTCTCTGCCCCTTTACATTAGTGCAGATCTGCTGTATTTCCTGAGTACGGAGAATTTTTTGCTTCGTGCTCCAGGGCAGGAAAACTGTCAACAAACACTACTATGAGCTGCAAAGGTTTGAAGTGTTTTCCACAGAAGCAGGAAGTACACCTCTCCACAATACTGTACTCCTTACACTCAGCCAAACTTAACTTCTGAATTGTTCTGTTGCCCAGACAATCACTGATACCAAAACACATCAGTGTTTCAGGTCCAGACAGACAGGTTCACCAACTGCACAGCTCACACGGTTACACTAAAGACCAGGACTACATTGTACGTGTCTTCTGTTGGCTGGCAGGACTTGAGCGTTCTTGTAATAGAAGTGGTTTAAGAGACACAACCACTCATGACATTCTAGAGTCTCTATCCACCTGTTGTGCAAAACACAGTGCATGCAAATTCAACACAAAGTACTATCCTGGGGCTGACCTGGACTCAACTCAACTTCTACACAGCACCCCTCAAGCCTGGCACTCAATAAGTTTCAGCTACATTTGTAGGCTATGATTTGTTGCTTTTTACCTAAGAAAAGTCTGGTATTCACTGTTTTGTATCAGCTGAGCCAGTGTTTGGTATATCTGTAGGGGAGAGTGGGGTAAGATGAGCCATTTTTCGTATTTCGGATCACTACATCAAAGCAATCATAGTTTTGGTCCGCCTGAAGAGGTGGTCTCGGACCGCTATCAAGTAAAATCTGGAGTGGATCATTTCTGGTGTGAACGTCATCCACACCAATCACAGGAATCGTGGTAGGCTCTCATTGATGCATGTCGCCGTCTCGTCTCTATCTGTCTGTTGTTTGCAGCACGTTTACTCCGGAATGTATTAATTAATGCCGCAGTTCGCGCTCGCTGGCTAACAAGCCGTTCATACACACGATCGACTAGCGTCTTTAGATACGTGCTCCAGATGAGTAGCAAAAGCAAAATCAGCCGACGATGCTCCATGACAGGCGAAGACAGAAGGTTGGCGTTTGTATTCCTGCATAAACACATGAGCAATAACCGAACAATATTTGTGACTTCTGGTTCCGTTTTCTGGAGCAGTTGAGTTTAACCTTTGTGAACGCAAACCTGACCAGTTAAACAATCGACACATATGTATCATCTTGCCTTGGATTCGAATCAGGAAACGGACCTTTAGGCGTGAACACAACATAAATTTACTTTCAAGAGTGAAAAATGTTTTTTTTTTGTTTTTAATTAATGTCTAACCCTGTCACCCGTGTGCCTTCAACCTTCACAGACTCCATGAATTGATGCCCATCTCCTAAATATTTGGTCACATGACCAATTTCTTTTACCATTTCAAAGCAACAGGGGGTGGCTCAACTTACCCTTTGGCTCAACTTACCCCACTCTCCCCTATCTGTGCTGGATCTGGACAACACAAGTTTGCAAGAAAACACAAAATCCATGAGCAGATGAATGAAAAGATACACAAAAACCTGAAATACTGCATATCCCATGTTGTCATATTTGACATCAGGGAATTTGCAGACATTTCCTGTTCATTCAGTTCAGCTAAAACAATTTAATCGTTGTGCTCCAGTCCAAGAAAAAAGCACCACAAACAGGAAACTACAATAACCACAACCCCTAGATATGACAATAAAACACTACCATCACCTCTCTACTGTCATTAAATTCATCAGTTATGACTCCTAACCTGCTGCTAGGACCTTCACTCCTGTTCATGACTTTAACGGTGTGTCTTTGGAGCACTGACGGCGCCTCGAGACGCCCAGCCGGCTCTGAGGTGATGGTCACCTGCCCACTCTGTTTGGCTGTTGACGTTTCCTTGTCATGTGCACGCGACGGGAGACAAATCATCAATAAATGTCTCTGACGAGGAGCTAAGCAGCTAGCAGAAATTCAAGGTGACTTTAGCAAAAACACTTGATTCAACACACCGAGATGTCGGACAGCTAACAAATAGCCGCGAGGCTGTCATGGATAGTTGACTCGTGTGAGCTCACGAGCCGCTGTTACCTAGCTGCAGCGTTTCCACTAACTAGCTTAACCTGTAGTGAACGCGGGACCAGTGAATGCAGCGTGATGGGCTAACCAACCTGACATCTGCACACCATATCCGCGTCTTGTGCCAGGAGATCCACAACTTTTCCTTTCCCCTCGTCGCCCCACTGAGCCCCGAGCACCACGGTCACCCTGTTGCCGACGGACGGTACGGGAGCCCGTTTGGTCGGGCTGCCGCTGCCGTTGCTGGGGACCGCGGCACCGGCGGGTTCCTGACTCCCACTTTCCGACATTTCTGCTGGGTCGCTGCTGCTGCCGCTGATTACACTCAAGCGCCCTTTCTCACCGCGCTGCTGCGTTGCTGCACCAAAGATCTGTGAATGAACCAAGGGAGCTCCCTGCACAGCAACGCTCAGACGATCTGCACATGCGCACAAGACACTGAAATGACAAGTACCATACCCAGGTATGAATAGAAACAACCTGAAAGACCTGCGCAGCTGCAGATTTACACCCTAGTCACAAAACAAATATGTTATTTGTTCAAATGTATGATTACTTTTACACCTTTTACATTCTAAATATTGCATTGTTTTAAAAATATCCCCAAAGAGTGTTTGTTATAAGTGGTGAATCATCTTGATACTTCAGTCATCTCAGAAGACACTCCCACTATTTTGGAGGTGCGTTCAAGTCCACATTAAAGTTATTAACCTCTTGAAAGAAACGTCTTTTTTTTTCTTTTTTTTAGAAATCCAGAGATAAAATATATATTTATGTTTATTTATTTTTTATTTATTTAAATATAACTTCAGGAACTGTAGTCTTGGTTGCACTGTTGTGTATTTGATTCTGGCTGAGGTGACCACAGCATGTACAAAACTTACATTTAAGTCATTTTTTTAATGTCATTTCAGTCTCTAAAAAGAAGCAGTCTGGGCTGATTTAGCTTTGTCTTTTTTTGTTTTCTCAGCCTAAACTCAGTTGCAAGTATGCTCCCACTTTTTCTTACTTTCCCAACTAAATCTACTGCAACACAAAGCTCACAGAAGCAGTAAGTATAAGATAATATAATATAAGATAATCCTACCATGAGGAAATTTGCAGTGTAAATAGCAGAAAAGGATCAGCATAGCAGATATAGAAGAATAAGTACACTTATTATACATATAATTATATTTGAAATAATTAACTTACAAAAAAGTGCTATAAACAAGAAAGAGAAAAACAAATGTAAGTAACAAATGTTCTACAAAGTGAACAAAAAAGAATTGGACATGTTGTTGCACATTATTTGAGTTATTATACCTGAAAAAATAATGTAGGTATTTTGCAATTCTAATAAATATCTGTCAATATTGCACATTGAGGTAGCACTGAGTTATTGTCTATTAGTGGTGCCAAAAAACCTGGACTATTGGGAGCAGGCCCTGTTAAACAGTCTGACAGCAGCAGGAAGGAAGGACCTATGGTATCTCTCTGTCTATATACCATAAACTGAGTACAGGAATGATTCATTTTCTGTTCAACAAATACTGAGAGTTTCAACAAAACAGAGAAAGAGCACAAACTTGTTGTGACCACATTGCAGCCAACCTATTGTGTATACCTTTACTTTGATTGTATAGTTGCAGAGAGAATCAGGCATGGGCTCTGTACAGTACACGCCTTTCATACATTTCTAATGTCACTCGACTGGTATCTCCAGTCCTCAGAAACAGTTTTTTTTGTCAGAGAGTGGAACTATGGGAGGTTTGAAGAGAGAGATGCATGTGCTGCAAACAAATGCTGAGAAAGTGTGACAATTTTTATGAGACAGATCAACTGAAATTAATTCAGTAGTTAGTCTAAAAATTTGAAAACTCCAAAAGTTATTCTGAAAAAAGACACAACCCCCCCTCCCAAAAGAGAAAGAAAGCTAATATAGGACCCAATTTTTTTTCTTTTCCTTTATAAATGTGTATGAAACACCTGAACAATATTTGCCTACTGAAACTAAATCTAGATGTTGATTTTCTGTTTACTATGGCTCCCTCTAGTGATAATACCAGCAAGACCTTGTGCTCCACCTGAGTTTAATCATGTTGAACATGTTAACTCCGTTTCATGGCTTTAAGTTAAATGAAAAGGTAAAGATGAATGACAACAATAACTTCAGAATCCACTGATTGTTGGAATTTAACAACAAGAGCAAAAACAGGATTACTTTTTGCTGTCCATTCATGTGTCATGTCATCCCTAAATTCAGTATTTGGGGGATTTTTCATTCATTTATAGTGGAATAATTGCTCTTGTTTGCTGTGGACCTGAGTTTGAAATGTCTGGTACAAATTCATAAAGTCACAGCTGACTTTGTCTGCTTTAGGCTTAATGTCAGACAAGTAGAGACTGAGAGGGACTGAAACATAACATTTCAGTAGTCCCCTAGAAAGTACCTGCTGTAGACCCAGTTAAGTTACTCTCTCTGAATTCTCTATACCAGCCTGTTTTGGGACAACGTTAAAGCACATTACTGCATCTACTGCATGCCATCATTACGTTTGTACTGCACAAAGGTAAAGGCTTGTAATATGTTAGATATATTACATCGGTGAATTGTTACTCTGTCTTGATGCTTAAATCTTTCTTGGCTTTCAAACTGAGACAGGTCACAACTCAAACTTGGTCTTAGTACTGTCTGAAATAATCAATAGTTTAAAAGGTTATCATATGTGTTTCTTATTTTGTCAGAGTAATCAGTAGTCAAAATTTCTGGTTCAGTAAAGAATTTGTTATTTGATGTAGTGCATGCTACAATATGTAGCCTAGTTTGTAGATCTTCTGTCCATGTTAAACTGAATTTCAATCATTCAAAACTTAATAAAGGTGTGGTGTTTTTATCTACTGTATGGTGATGTTTACTGTCCACAGATAGTAGCAGAATATTTTCATTCATGAACCTACCCCTAAATGTACATTCTCAGTCACAGAATTGACATGTTTTTCTCTGGTTGGGTGGGGTAGCATATTATAAGGTATAAGACGAAATCCAAGCCATCAGACCAACCTCAAATGTGTACTTTAAATCTTACTGATACCTAATGAAATATAATGAGCTGTTTGATTGCTGTTCCCCTGTAGTCCTGAAGGGGGCAGCATGCACCAACAAGCTCTAGCTACCTGGTTTGTTTATTCTTACTTCCGTAGCTTCTAGGCTAACAGAACAACAACTTCATAAACCCACATTTCGGGATTATTCAGTGTCACATCACGGATTTGTAAATATGGCCTCTCGGTCGCTCCTTAGGACTTTTGTAAACGAGCGTCTGACAGCTGTTGTCGAGGAAATACTTGAGGTTTTTGACGGAACAATCGCCAAATATGAAGAAGAAGCTTTTAGCTCAAGGCAGGAGATTGAACGTCTGAGGGGTCTGCTGCTGGAGTTTGCTCCACATCAAAACAATGGTCTGTTTTTAACCTGTCACTGTCAGAAAATAAGAAGTCCTGCATAATAAGGCGAGGCTATCTTTTACAGAAATAATGATGTAAATAAATGTCATGTTTTAATGATACAGTTGTTCATTTATCACTAGTTCAAGCCTATTATAATTAACACATTAAAATAAATATAAAGTATTATAAAAAGGTTATAGCATATGGGTTTTGTTGAGAACAAAGATGAACACCCAGTATATGTTTAGTTGATCTGGCATCATAATATCATCAAACCCCTTGAATATCAGATCCTGATGCAGGACAGTGTCAATAATGGGGGAAAGGATCACAACAGAAAGTGATCCTCAAATAGCTGATAAAACAACATGAACATAAGACATAATTTTTAGTATATGTTTTATTTACTTTAAGACCAGGATTGATCGATTGTTAGTGGGATGCCTATGTTACACCGGGACTATTTTGTAAGAAAAACTTTGTGAATGTGTAAGAGCTTTTAATTGATATTTATTTGTTTTATCTTTATTTATCCTAGTTAGCCTTGGTTCATTTTAGGTCTGTGTTTTATTCATAATGTAGTTTTTACTTGTTTTTATCCTTTTATCATTTTTAGGACCCCCAGTGTTTCCTCTGAGGGAGCCCTCGGCACCGGGATCGGTGGTCGCTTGTGGTTGCAGGGGCCGGTCATGGGGTTCCTGGTGGAGGTTGCTGTCTGTCACATCCCTCCACTGGCCCTGTGTTGGTGTCCTGTGGCTGTGGGTGGCTCCCTGCTCCTGGTGCTGACGGCTCCTCTCGTGGCGCCTTCTCAACTGGTTTATCTGTACTCAGCCTCATGTCCATTATCTTAGTGTGTGTATGTGCGGGTGCGTTGGTGTATGTGTGGGTGGGGGGTAAGGGGGCATCTGAGATAGTTTTTTGTTTTTAACTTGACTGTAAAGCACTTTGAGTCACATTCCTGTAGGAAAAGCACTTTATAAATAAAGTTTTAATGACTGATTGATTGATAAGATGCATAAGGTTTTTACTTTGTACTTTTTTATTGCCAGACTCTTCTCAGTTGCCCGTCTGTAAAGAGGAAACTTCCCCTGAGCAGCAACAATGTGAGCAGGAGCCGAGCCTCAGCCTGTGCCAGAAAGACCCCGACTTCTCACGCATCAAAGAGGAAGATCAAGAACTCTTGGCTGGTCATCAACATGAAGAAGAGCCATCCTTATCTCATTCACCTTACCAGAAGAAAAATGAAGCGGGGGACACAGAGCCGCCAACGCAACCCCAGTCTCAAAACCCTGAAACTAAGCCTCAGGAAACTAAAGCTCTATACTTAATGCTACCTCTCCCCTCCCACCAAGCTCTTGTCCTAAATGAAGGAGCCCGAGGTGGTAGGGAAAGACCTTCTGCAGGTTTGATATCGAACCAAGCACAGGCAAACCTGAGTCAGACTTCCTGTACAGCATCTCAAGAGTCCACACACAACTCAGCTGCAAAAAACTGTTGTTGTCATCTGTGTGACACATCTTTTTCCACCTTTAATGACCTAATAAGTCATGCTTGCCCCATGAATTCAAAAGACACAGATTTCCCTTGTGCCTTGTGTAGAGAATCATTCGAGTCCACTGAAAGCCTTAATATGCACTTAAAATCACACAAGGGACTAAAATGTTGTCATGTGTGCGGTAAGAACTGCAACAGTGTGACTGCCCTCAGTGAGCACATTGCGAGCCATGACGGGGTCAAACTTCACTGCTGTCATATTTGTGGGAAAAAGTGCAGCCGCAAAGGAGACTTCAAGATACACATGAGGATTCACACAGGCGAGAAGCCTTACTATTGTTCTTTATGTTGTAAAAGTTTCACCCATAGTGGGCATCTGAGGAAGCACATGAGGAGCCACACGGGAGAGAGACCGCACCAGTGTGATGTCTGTGGCAGAGGGTTTCTACAGAGTGTTCACCTCAAATACCACCTGGGGACACACGCTCAGAAATGTTGACAAACTGGTCTTCATTTTTTATATCTGCTTACTTAGCTCATTTATGTACTTTGGTGATACAGTGTTTGTTGCTCAAAGTCACATTAAAAAGCAGCTTCCTCCTACCTGCAGCAGAGTGTCAAAAATCAAATTTCCAAAGCAACAGTATTGATCAGATACAGACACAGAGTTAACTAATGGGAGATTATGATTCATCCCATAGCTGCCATCTTGTTCATTATCTTTTAACTTGTACTGAGATTTTTTAATGTAAAACTTCCCTCAATCCCTTAATTCCTTCTTTAATTTGGACTTCAACTGAAACAAACTCAGCTGACAACAAATGTTTGTTTTCTACAGTAAAAACATGAAACAAATACTTCTTCTGAAAAATGAGATCAAGAAAATGGTGTAAAGAAAGTATTAAAAATAATTTCACCAGCTTGTGCTGCAGTCATTAAAAACACATCAATGTGGAGGAAAGTGAGGGCTCCTTGAAGGGCCCATGTCTTTCAGGGACCTTACAATGTTAGAGCATTTGTGTTAGGGTCCAGTATCTTTGGCAGCATCCCCTGACTCTGTTTGAAGAAACCAGAGACAGCACCTGATTAAAGACACACACCCACAGAAACAGACACAGTCTCCCAGAAACACAAGAACATGCTGCTGGTGGGGAGACAGAGTAAAACAATAAACAAGGACACCTCATGAAAATATATGACTCTGTCTGATAACTGCAGACTTTGAAATAAACAGGATATTTCTCCTTACTTTTGGCCATACCCTGGTGGGAAATCTTAATCAGTCTAACTAACATGAATGTGCTTTTCTGCACAGAAGTCACTGAATTGTAACTCTGCTGTAAACATAAACAAACGACTTTTCTATGTCAAACTTTGACTTTGTGTCTGTGTGTACAACTTTGACATCCATCAAGGGAAAGTGTTGTTGCTTTCTCATTGATTGTCTTTAGAGTTGTCTCATGTTTCAGTGAAATGCTGACACAAACCAGCTTTCAGGCTAAGATGTAAAGTGGTATAAAACATGAGCTTGTTGGTTGAAAAAAATGCCACAAATGTGTGTTCTTATCCAGCGCTGGTGCTTATTGTCCTCTGTGCAGATGACTCTGGCCCGAGTCATCCGCATAGAGAACAATAAGGGAAGCCATTGAAAGTAGGAAACTGGCCCCACGGACGATGAACAGGGATGAGGGGGGGATACATGCTCTCACACACCTGGAGCGGCGTCCTGCAGATGCAAACAGACAGCAGGAGAAGTGACCATTCTGTCAAAAAAAAATTGACAGGAAAGTCACACCTCCATAACACCAGCTGATATGACATGTCACACCTCACCACCAAGTGACACTTCTGAGGAAGGCAAAAGTTTCCGCCGAAACATGTCAAGTTACGTGAAAAGATTACATGTCTGAGATAAAGAAAAAGAAAAACTACTTCTAAGGAACTGAAGACATGATGAACATCATTCAACATGACACAGTTTGGTCTTGATGAATCTTTAACTGACAAAAAAGTCTAAATAAGTTTTGGGAATTTCAGGGCCATTTTTAACCAATGTAAAGTTTTGTCAACAGTCATGTGTTTTCTTTTAAGACAACTTTACAACCTGTTTCTGCCGTTTCTTTGTCATAAATATATTTCCACAGGATGAGATATAGCTGTTATACATTTACAAGCATGTTTCCCTGCTCCAACACACCTGATTCAAATGATCTGCTCGTTATTAAGCCATTCCAGAGCTTGATAACGAGCTGATCATTTGAATCAGGTGTGTTGGAGCAGGGAAACATCCAAAACATGCAGGACAGTGGGCCTTGAGGACTGGATTTGGGAACCACTGCCATAGAGCAACATGTTTCTCCAGTAGGTGGCACTGCAGGAGCTTTTATTCTACCTAGTTTATCAACAGGGACTCCTTGGTGTAGCACAGAGTTTAGGTTAAATTATTGGATATTTTTGTTTAAATCACAGCTCTTCATTTTACAACTATAATTGTTTGTTTCTATTTCACATAAGCAAATTTGATTAAATAAATGTTGCACATTTTTTCTCCAAGCACATTTTAAGTTTAAACACACTTAATGAAAAGACTGTCGCAAGTCTGAAAAGTTGCTGTTTTGGAGGAAATGTACTCCTACAAAATATTTAGCCACAGAGGGTGTTATTTTTGTATAAGTCCAGAATCCCTGAAGGAGTAGGTCCAGTTCTTGATTCAAACTTCAAATTATTTCTTGAGCACTTTCATTGAAAAGCAGCCGCAGAAACACAGCCTCTGGGTTTCAGGCCATTATCTACAACCTTTAGGTCACCAAAGCATGGTAAATCTCAGCCTGCATTGCTCTCAGGTGGCCTGAAAACTTTGCACAGAAAAGGGGCTCAGCCAGGAATCTCAGTGTTTGTGGAGCTGCTTTGGCCAATTCTTTAGACTGTGAAGCTAAAGAGCTAATGAGGCCTCATTGACCCTCGAGCCTTAAACCAACTACCTAAATCTGGTTATGTAAGACCCCCTTTCCTCGACTACTGCCCCCCTGCCAGACACCCAGGATCTTCAGCAAACTCCCCTGGATTCTTGGGAACAGTTTCCCACATGCTGGCTCACGTATGGCCTTAATGGGGTTCAGTCACTTCAGCTGTCCCTAAGTTAAATTGTATCACGGGTACGTCATGGCCTGAAGTAGCTGCTGGTCTGCTGAACTCCATGTTCTTTTGCTTGTACTCACAGTGCTGTTGGACCTAGACAATGGCTACTTGAGAACATTTCCCCATACTGTTCTGAAAAAAAAAAAGGAGGGCAAGAGGTTAATCTCCTGTGGAGTTGAATAATGTGAAACATACTCATGGGAGCAGGAGGATTTCCTTTATGTGGGTCAGGCTGTTGCGTTGATTTACAGTGAGGAAGAGGGGTCACATTGACAGTTTCTGCGTGATAATGTTGGGTGGGTAAAAAGTGACATTTTGCACCCATAGATTGATACCAAAAATTCCCCTGGCACGCCACAATCATCAGGAATTCAACAGACCCTCATGTTGCATAACTGGGTCATTCAGTTTCTCCACCAGGAGAAGTCTCCACACAGTACAGAGAGAGTGTTTGGATGGGGGAGCAAAAATCTTCATCTACATGTGGATGGAGGTGGTCCAAGGGGAGTTGCTGTTGCAAAGGAGATAAACAGGAGAGGTCTGACAGGCACATCTTTATGGGTTTTGGTTTGATGTGGAGGAGGACAGCAAACATCTGGTGCACAGAAACAAACACTATCAAGGAAAGTATTGAGAAAGTTATTTTTTGACTCTGAACACACATCTGTTTGATGTGGGAGTGATAGGAGAAATCCTTTTTTTTTGCAGTCCTCCAGATTTCATTCCTGAAATGTTGCTTTTGATTCGTGATGTATTTTCTGTGTCTGGAAAAAGACCAGGTGATACATTAGCCTTATTGTTTTCTTGTTGTTCCCAGTGTAAATAAATCATATGCTGAACCTGTCGTACACTGGAGGGCTCTGGGAGAGGGGTGACTCTGCAGTTGTTGCTGCGGCTCAGTTTTCAACACAGTTGTCTCACACTCGTCCTTCACTGACCTGATAGCCGGACCAAATGGTGAATCGGTTGTTTATTCTTACCTTATTTGTACATTTCTCCAAACTAATAAATTTGTGAGGTTGCATCTATTCTACAATCAGTCTGTTGTTGAATATCCAACTGTATAATGCTTGAATCAAAATGCATTGTTTTACAGAAATAATGAGCTTTTACGGCTCAATTCTGCTCTCATAACGATGACCACAGGATTATCCGCTTTTAATTATAGTAGAGCTGATCATCAGCCAACAGTCTCACGCTGCAGGTCTCAATCTTGTATAATACACTCTGCGAGGAAGTTTGATAATGGAATATATCCTGCTAGTTAGCGCTCAGGTCAACAATTTCTATAACTTTTCAGACAATTGGGAAGTATACTACTGATATCGTGTAGACAGATCTTTAGCTTATAGTACTCTAAAGTCTGCTTGTTTATGTTCTTTTTTTTTTTTAAGAAAGCTCCATCTCTTTTAGGTTAAATAAAAATAAAAATGAAATACTTTTCTGTAACCAAATTATTGTCAGACATTTTAAATTAAACACTTTAAGGAAACATTTGAGTCTACAGAGCACATTTGCAAACTGTGAGGCTTCATTATGCCCAGACCACAGCTTTTGTGCAGATATCTACAGCACTGAAGTCAAGGAAAGAGAAACATCTAAAGTGTTTCCTATATATTTTGAAAAACAACTCAAGGTTTTAGGTCTCTGTTACTGCCAAGAAGTTCCTCACCTCTGATACATGATCACAATTTGAGTGAGTCTGGATAAAAGTGTACACAATCATATCTGCTGCAACAGTTTCTATATACAATAGCCATGCCCCAGTCTTGGTGCATACAGGGGTGTGTCCAAAGGGGTGGTCAGCGGTGGCGTATGCCCCCTTGAGTTCTAATTAGCTATCCCAGATGCCACCCAAAATCTCGACATCATGGTTGACTGTTTGCGGTGTCAAAGGTAAGACTTATAACATCAGCTGTTTGGACTTTATTAAAACAAGCTACTTATGGCTTTTTTTTGTTTTTTTTTGTATTCATATGTTGTACTTTCTTTTTCAGTACTATACAGTTTCATCAAAGATATTACTTATACTACATGCATGTAGAGGAGAAATCATCCATTACAAACTGTAAGCAAACTCCAGCACACTACTTTGACAACATTTGGGTTCAGACATGTCGCCATTATTTGAAAGTTATTTATTTATTGGTCGATTGATTGCCAGTACAGCAGTGTGCAGTTTTTTTAGTGCTTTAAAGTGTGGCTTGACAAACATCTTAACATTCTGTATAATAGTTGAATAGAGATAAAATTTGGAGTAATAATATGGAGTCAAAATAAATATAACCAAGTTAATATTAGGACAGTATGGATGTCACAGTTTTGAGTAAAGCAAAAGGGAAAGGACCCAAATGCAGGACAACAAAAGATTTATTCAAAATAAACTAAATAAAACAAAAAAACCTACTTCAGAAATGTCCAACTAAAAATCCAAAAGGGCAAAAAAACAAAACAACAGATGACATTTACAATGAACCAACAAAGAATCAGGGGAAGACAAGGACTTTAAATACTCAGGGAAATGAGCAACGAGAGGCAGGTGAGACACTAAGACACAGGTGCAGACAATCACAGAGGAGGGAAAAGTGAGGAAGTAAAACAAAACTAGAAACACAGGGAATAAACCTCTACAAAAAAAAAAAAATTAAAAAAAAAATAAAAACAGGAAACACTGAACACTACTAATGAATAAAACACACAAACTGAAAACTAACAAGACAGGAGGAACAGGAACAATATGGCTAGGAAAACACTAGGAAAAATCACAAAGCAAATACACTCAAAAGACAAAAACCAGTGGAAAACTAAATACCAGAACATAGATCATGACAATGGGGGAATAAATGATGTTCATGAGTGGGTGTGGGGGGGCACACATAGCTTCTTCGTGAGTTAGATCCCCAGCTGGGCCACCCCAGTCAAGAAAACTATCTGGACACACTGGTTTCTTTGTATGCACTGTTTACATATTGCCACTTCATCTGGTTAACTGGGAGAGAAAAAAACAGATTAAATGTTGCCCTGTCTGCTATTTGTCGAAATCTGGACCCGTCACATACCCCCCTCCCCAACCTGCAGCCTCTCTCGGTGCCAGCTGCATGAATGCGCAGCGCTGAGTTGAGTTTTGCTGCTGAGTAACACGACAGACAGACAGACAGACAGACAGACGAATGAATGCATGAACCTTGTCGCCTACGAACCGACGCGCTGCTCACATGTGAGGGCATCGCAGGCCGGTTGTGTGGGGGTAAGTCGGTGCATCTCTTTCGTCTTCCTGATAGAAATTAAAGGACGGTGTTCGGACTGCTGACACAGCGTGCCAAAAATACATCCAGCCCTGGGGGGGAGGCGGGGGGTAGTAGCATGGGGTGCCCACGCAAGTGCACGTTGTTATTCTCTGCTCGACAAACGCGGGCAGTCGTGCAGATGTTGAGTTCTCACTCGGTTCTGGAGAGCAGGTGTAGCTCCAGCAGAGACGGTGACAAGGTCAGATGGTCACTCAAAGTCGCAGTGCGCTGCTCGGACGTGAAAGAGCGCACCACATTGTTGGAAGTGCGCCAGGTGGTGTGTGACACAGCTTTTCCTTGATACGGGATATCCAACCAGCCAGTCCGCATGCATATGCTTGAGCAGTTTATATTAAGACCCTAAAGAGGTCTCTATCAATACTCCAGCGTGCATGTTGTGATAGCTGCAGGGGAAGTTGAAAGCTGACCTCGCTTTGGTCTTCGTGTTGATTTAAGCCAGAGGTTGGGACTTGTACACAGTCTCGAGTTGAGGTATCACAGCAGGAGACCGTGTGAGAAAATAGTGCCTTCTTGCACACACACTCACACATGGTCACACAACAGGGGACGACATGAAAGAGCCCTGAGTATAAACCCCACTACGCTAAAACCACTACTGTACAGTGTAAACTCTCTGTTTTCACACAGTTCTTAGTCGTTTTGCTCTGCTTGGTATGATGTTGTTGAACAACTGCTGAAGCTGCTTGCTTATCAGCACTCCTGAGGTTTTGAGAAAGCTGCTATTCCCACAATGATAAGCTGTTCTGTTGATGTCAGTTTTCACCTGCAGTGTGAAAACAGTGTGTCATGTTGGGCACGTAAAGAGGAGAAAGTTCAACATGCTTGGTTCAGACTGAGGAGCTGTTGATTCTCGATCTATAACAGCTATCACTTACCTGCTCACGAGAAATCAACTCATAAGACCCTTTATTTTTCATAAATGTTTATATATTATTGTCAAGTTTAAATGGTGAACAATGACATGTGTTTGTAGCTTGTCCTGTGCTGGTTTCTATTTCTCATTCCCTGTCTGTGCATCTTTTGGCCTCAAAACCTCCAGTTTTGTGTTGAAGCTTTCTGTTATAAATAGTTGGTTCTTTTAAAGTGCCTTGAGGCAGCACAGTCTCTGTTGCCAGTCTTGAACTGAGCCTTAAGCACTGCTTTAACATTCACCCAGTTGCACTGTTCCTTTATGCAGCTCTCTCGGTCACCTGATCTCGTAACAGGTTGGGACCGTCCGTCCCAGGACAACTCCAATTCTATAATTAGGAAACAGCACAGGGGGGGAACAGCACACAAGTATGTAGTGGGATAATGTGACGCAGGTGGGTAAAAGTGACCATTTATGGATCAACAAAAATGTTATTGTGTTTACAATCACATGCCCTCCGTCACAGAAGGTCACAATGAGGTGGGGATTTACTGTGAGAATAAACCAAGCACTTGAAATCAGCGAGAAGCACACCACAGTCTGATCTACTGTGATTTTCATAAAGTAAGGGGGGAATTATCAGGACTATTATGATTTTACAATAGCTCTAATGGAAGGCATGCAACCACTTGACAAGGCATGCAACCACTTGACTTCATGGTTTAAAGTCCAAAAATCCAGAAGTCCAAAAAATCCCCGAAACCAGAGACTGTGCATAAGACACTGAGAGGACACAATGAGGCAGAGATTTAGTGTAAGGACAAAGCAAGGGCTTGAAATTAGCGGAAGCACACCATAGTCTGATCTACTTTGATTTGTTAAATTAAGTGGTGAATTATCAAGATTATTATGATATTTCATAGCTCTAATGGAAAGCATGCAACCACTTGACCAGGCATGCAACCACTTGACTTTATGGTTTAAAGTCCAAGAAATCTCCAAAATCAGAAACTTTACACAAAACACTGAGAGATACAATATATTTACTGTTTTCCTGCAGTGTTTAAGAAAAAAAAATATACTAAAGTAGAGCAATGTGGCTGAAAACTGTTTAGGTACCATCAATTGCAATTTAGGTACTGCAACACTTGACCTGCCAAACATCAGTATGGCCTTGCCATCATGAACATATCAGAAAACAGATGTCAACTTTCAGAGATAGCTCACGTTGAGACTTTGTCAGTGTACGGCCATTGATTAACTGGTAGTTTTATGTTTTGTATTTGTTGCTTCTTTGTTCAAGTGTGGTCAGTCCAGGTGTTCAGTTAATTTGCAGTGTCATGATTCTCATAAGTGACCCAAAGTTAAGGGGTGAAGGTGAAGGGAAAGCTTGAACCAAGAGGGCTGCAACTGAGTTTTCAAAATCCTGATCCCAATGTAGACTCCTCGATCATATTTGTTCAGAAAATAAGTCTTTCTGCAGGTCAGTTTACTTTCAGCATAGTGGAATGTGGTCTCATTAACTTTCTGTCAGTAAATAAGCTTTGGTTTGTTTTTATATCTACAACAGAACATCTCAAACTCACACGTACACGCATGAGCCTGTTTAGTTTAAAGGAGGATATTCAGGGTCAGTCTGGCTTTTATCAACACTTTTTATACATATCTGTATTCATTAGAGCGGTAAGATTAAGCGTTCTATTTCACAATAAAAGAATGTGTTCCTGCAGGAAGACTAACTCCGTGAAACGGACATTTTTTTCATCAAGTGATGAAATTACATAAGTTCCTAATGTTGGTTCAGGGAAACGCCTAGGAATAATCTCAAACATGTGTTTGCCATTACAAACTTTCCAACGTCTTTTTGCCACTGACTTCTAGTGTTTTTTTATACACACTGGACAGAGTTAATCCTTGGTTGTAGAACAACTGATAGCATCAGTATGGTTATCAGGAACTGATGTGATGGATTGATCTTCTAGTTTAGGATGACTTCGCTCTAAAGTGTAAGAGTCCAAAACTGATGGTTTAGTCTTTGATTTTAAAGAAAGAAATTTTACACTTGAAATGATAGTAGAAAGGTCTCTATCTATTGAGCTTGTACGGAAATATGTTAGTTCTACCAACATTCAGACCTGATACACCCAGATTAAGACTTTGCAGCATTCTTAGAAAACAACTTCATTATCAGTTATTTCAGCAAATTCCTGTTTTGTTCATTTAGGCTTGATTCCAGTGCTTCATGCCAAATGGTTTGTTTATCTTAAGGAGCCCTCAGCCCTCTTGAGAGCCTCAAATGCCAATTTTAACCTTGAAAATTGACTTTTTAACATGTTTTAAACTTGGAAATACAGTTTAATTCAAAAGCCCCTGGCAGAAGGAGCCATAATGATTATTTTTGCTCCATATTTTCTCTCTGCGTACATAAGATACAAAGTAAGATTGTGACATGTATTAGCAAGCAAGTCTGAGTCTGTGTATCAAATAGGTGAATTCATGGTTTGTAGGATCCAAAGTGAAAAAGTAACTTTGATATTTTGTTCTTCACACAGAGCACACATTCAGAACTGGTTTCTTAGTTTAAACCCTAAAGTTTGCAACAAAAGGACTCAACTCTTGCACAAAAAACCACTACATATTCTCCACAGATGACCAACATCTCTTATTAGTGGGGGTGATCTAAGGTAGTGTAGCAAGAGCCAATCCCAGATAAGCCTTGTGAGATTTCTATGGAGATATGGTTGAGATTTAAGGACAGCGTGTTGATAAACTGTGGGTCAAACAGGGCATCGAACTTCTTAGTAATGACGAAGCCAAGACTGTGTCAAACGAGAGCTTATCGCTGCCCTGAATTCCTTTAAATGATGGTTTAATAAGTTTAACAGAAAATCACTGTGCAATGTAAGTGTCAGGCTGACCTTATACACTCTTTATCTCAGCATTCCTGGTGTGATTAATCACTTTTCGATCAATCACTCAGTTACTCAATCACAAGACAATCTCGCTGTCTTTTTTTTTACTGCATTTCTGATCCTTTTTTGATAGATTAAAATAACATACAGAAAAGGAGTGAGAGAGTAATGCCAATTAAAACACAAAACAAAATGTAAACTTCTGTTTTTCTTCTGCATGACTATGATGAAGGGAAATGTCTTAGTAACACTTATAAAATGATAAACTTAAGCCTTACGACTATTTATCAACCACCCTGACCTTCACCTTATTGTCAGCAGATCTGCATAATGATAATATTATTGTTTGGGGACATATTAATATCACACTTGTTGACAAGTGTTTGTGCCGTGGCTCTCAAAAGATGACAGTTTACATTTTTTTTCAAGCAGACCTTTTCTTTTTTGGCCAAACTTTGGACTGCATGAGTAAAATTACCGAAAGCCACAAGAGTGACTCCACAGCCAAGTCAAGAGGAATAAAGATAGCCTCCACTCACTATAGAGGGGCAGACAGACATCAGAAAGCATGAGAAAAATAAGCTCCAGAGGCTGACAGTCAAACAGAGGTATAGGGATAGTGGTCATTTGAAATGACAGAAGAGTTAGTAGACTTGAATCTGGGAAGTAAAGAAAATGACTCAGGCTATAAATTCTGCCATCTTAATCTCTTTAATGGCTCTGAAAAACGAAAGCTCTTTTCCTTTAATCAAAAGAGCATTGATTTTAAGATCAATGATGGTAAGATTTAGGTTGCTTAAGCACAGAGAGATCATAAAACCTTGGCTACAAAAGCTTGATAAAGAGAATTTTTTCAGGCATGGTTAGAGGCAAAGAAGAGGATATGATTTAGGTCTGTACGGCAAAGATAATGCAAGAGGAAGAATTTTATTGCACCCTTTGTTAGTTACAGTAGATGATGAGCTTAGTCACTGAGTATTCCAGAGAGATTATTTTGGAGTCCTCAGACTTTATTATATATTTAGATACATTTAGGTACACAAAAGAGTGCAGATGCACACCCAACTTGAGGTTTGTGGTTTGGGTGATTGTGGCATTATTGCCCAGCCTGGCTGGACTACTTTATGTTTTTCAGTATTACTACAACTTCAGCAAAGTTTTGGTAGCTTGACTGCAGCAGTCATATGTCTAAACAACATTCATCATATATAATTTTTTTAATTTGTCTTTATTTTTTACCTTTAGTCAGACTAAATGATACGTTAGGCCTGGACGATATAGAAAAAAAGCATATCGATAAAAAATAAATCATAATGATCGATAATTATTGATATAATTATTATAATTATTTAACATATATTTTAATTGCAGCCCTGGATGTTTTTTGCTATTGCTTAATGACCTACTTTTAATAAAGAACACACAAGCACTGAATTCAAATTCAAACCTTTATTCAACCACCTTTTTTATTTTACCACAACTGAAAGTTTTTTAAAAAAGAACAAAAAAAAAAAAAGAAATCAACTTAAGTGGCCTGAGTGATGTCAGTAAATACTGACAAACATAAAGACTAAAGTGACCAGAAAATCTGATAAATAAATATTTAAATAGTCTTTCGATGAAAATAAACAAATATATAAATAAACAGAATAGCTTTAGGTGGGAATAGCATACTACCAGTTTTAACTGTGTGGGAAACTGCCCACAGCCTGGTGTCTGAACACTGAAATATTTCTCCCGGGGTCGGGAGATTTATTTGTTTTAATTATCATGTGATTGACTTAATACACAAACTAAGCACGAGAAGCAGGACTTATCCACGCCGGTGTTGTGTCGTAGAATGCACCCCTGCCGAATGCACCCCCTGCTAGTAGCCATGATCCAAATACTCGCGTCTTTGTAAAATATGAGCTCATTTTCTTCCACTTTAAGAAGCTAATGAGTGGACGGGATGCAGGGGTGCATTCTACGGTACAACACCGGAACGTATTTCCTCCGCACCCTTCTCACCTTCTCAACCCCTGACCCATTTTCATGCCTGAAGCGCTGTGTTTGAGAAATACTTGCGGCCGGGCACTTCATATCGCGGGTCGAGAGTGGCTAGAAGCTGTTTGAAGCCAGGCTTTTCAACGGTAGTTATTGGCAGTATGTCCCTCGCTATGAAGCATGTTACTGCATGGGTGATGTCCTTATGCCGCTTGGACGCTTTGTCGTATTTTTGGAGAGAAACAAAGTCCAGTTTGGTCTGCTTCACTTGCTTTGAGCTGGTGCTGGCAGCGGCTCCAGAGGATTCCGACGACGACGACGACGTGGAGCCGCGGCGCGGCCGACACAGCTCGTACTCCTGCGGGTGCGATCGGTTTAGATGGTAAAACAAGTTGGTTGTGTTACCAGACTTGGTTTTTACTAATTCTCTGCAAATTTTGCAAACGACCGCTGTTCGCTTTTTGTCAGACTTCTAAAAACCAAAACATTGCCATGCTGGTGAACTACTGAAACCTTTTTTCGGGACAATTTCCTCCGCTTCTCCTTGCTGTATCATTTTTTCTCATACACGTGCTGTCTGGTTTGATAGGGGCTGGGCTTGGTGCCGTAGCGTACCTGGGTCTGCGTTTGTGATTGGTTGGGAGGAAGTAATGACTGTAGTAAAAGCTACATGATAGGCTATGATGAAAAAGAAAGGGAGACTGTGTTTTTCTATCGAACTTTTTATCGACCCGTTTTTTTTCTATCGCACCACACGTCTATCGATCGATATATATTGTTATCGAATTATCGTCCAGCACTATGATACGTCCTGTGCTCTGTAGTATCCATTCTCCCATGTTGCTTTGACTTGTTTCCTCTAAAAGATGTTTGTTATCCATCGCATCTTATTTTGTCCTACTATGTTTTAAATATATTTTTACAAGCTTAGCTGAAAACTCAGTACAACTTTGTGTTTGAATTTCTATCAAGCAAAAACTTTCATTCTCTTCAACTTTTGTATCTTATTTGTTGTGAAAAAATACTTTTTGTTTGTTAATGTTGACATGAGTAAATCAAAGATCTGATGGCAGGCTCAAAAAACTTCCATTTACCATATAGATTGTGGCATATCAAAGATATTATGTGACAAATTTTCAATAAGGTGTAATCGACAATAGCCAATTACACCTGTGGCCACATAATAAAAAGCAGTCAGCACCCTGTCCTGTTATGTTGCCGTTGTCTGAAACCATGGTGTCATTGATCACCAGCCAAAAGTTTTGGGAAGCTCTTTCACTCATGTTTAAAAGATGCAGCAACCATCCAAAAGTACAACAAAGACCCAAAAGCATGGCGCACCAAGGTTGACAAGTCAGGTCTGTTTGGCATAGTCAAAGCCTGGATCTACCAGTACTGTACCCTAGCCCAAGTCCCATTGTCTCTGTTGGTTTATTCAGGTCCTGTGCCAAAAGTTGAGTCCATCAATAGGACAAAAGGGGCTATCTACAATAGTGGCTAGGCCTTCTTTGCAGCCTCACCAGCACAGCACTGTATGGGATTAGTAACACCTTACAGCTTCCGTTCAGTGGCCCCACTAAAGAGTTTATGGGGGCATGGACAAATGGAGCCCTACAGTGCAAGGACTCCAAAGGCTGCAGGTTTCATCAGCTGGATTCGAGGCAAGAACAGGGAGAGAAAGCAGTGAAGGTGACTGAGTCATCTTTGGCAAAAAGGCACTGGTGGGCGCCTTTGCTACAGGTCGAGCAGGCCTGGGCAACTTCCGGGTATTCAGGTCAGCAAGGCCCAGGCTAAAAAGAGACACCATCCAAACCAGGAAAATTTCTGAGCATGCACAGAGAAGAATGAGTCAGCAGGGTGGTGGGGCGAGGAGAGCACACTGCAGGGCAGGATTACCTGGTCAAATATCATGCTGGCAGACTTCCATTGTGTCCACTTTCATGAGCAAACAGTTGGTGACCTACCAAACCCAGCAAACCTCCATTTCTGAGGAAGAACAAGACACCTGCCCATCTCCTTTGCTCTGGAAGAGGCTGTTCAGAACTCCTCCTCAGTTTCTACCCAAGGCCCTCTGGGTTGGCTGCTACTGTTGATGCAATGACCAGGTGCTCAAAGCTGAGACCATAGCCCCAAAGACACCAGTCACCTTTTGCAAAGCAGGCACATCACGCAGTAGCCCAACACACTGCCTTGGGAAGAAGATTTCAAGGAAGCAAACATGAGGTCATGTTAAAAGTACCAGGACCTGGTGGAAGAGTACAAAGCCAGAGATTGGAAAACCTACAAACAACAGAGGTGGGCTGCAGAGACTTTGTAGGCTGCTCACTCTGCAGGGTCTTTAACCAGCTTGGAGCAAAGGAAATGACAAAGAAGCAGGCCACTCAATCTGCAAAAGACACCATGGAGAAAAGCACCTGGTGGTTTGGGATCAAGAGGGCTGAACCATGTGCATCAGCTGCTGGGACTCAAGTTAGGCCCTGATCAAGCCTGGCTAATTTGCTCAGAAGAAAGTGTCTGATGTCGTGAGACCCAAAACGCCAGAGGACTCCCAGTCACATCACCGATGTTGCATCCCAAGACATCAAATGCTGTGATAGTTGTACATGTTTGCACATTTAGGCCATTTACATCTGTTATTGTTGGCAAAAACAAAAGCAGTTTGACACAAAAATTGATCATTTATCATGGATCACAGAAGCAGAACTTCTGCAGGTAGCTGAAATATTCAATCTCTATCAGCTGTCTATAAAATCAGAAAACATACTTTCATTGATTAATTGCCATTGGTTATTTTGTAGGGTTAGCTGGTAGAGTAATTTGCAAACAGCAAACTAGCAATTTATTTTCAAGACAAGTCCAGGATTTTGAATTTTAGCTGACTAATGTTATCTGCATCAGCTACTTAGCATTTGTTTGCTAAGAAACTTTTACTAGTTTACAAAAACAAACAAAAGTTCTTCCACAAATTGAAAACCTTGCCAGTGTTGACAACATTTTCCTCCTGAAGTCAACAAACTTTTGGCAGAGCTACTTAACAAAACACAATTCTTTGTTACCTGTGAACTATTGGTGTGAAGATACAGGTGGTTTGTTGATGCTAGCTATTGTTGCAGATGGCTGGTGTTGAAAGGGGCAGCCACTGAATTGGCACATCCTTTGCTTTTTCCTGGCAGTATCTCCCAGAGTCCCTGAGTAGAGATTAGTTCAGTAGACTGAGGAATTTACAGAGATAACAAAGGTCTTATCTATTCAAAGTTATGTCACATTTTGTTAACATAATTCCAGAATGAAATAATTAATCAGTATAAAGTGCTTTATATAGACACATTAAGTTTTTAACGGACAATTTGAACCTCAATTTGTTAAGGTGAAGACGTTACAGGTCCAATTAAAGTTTGAATGATTTTATAATATATGTAAGACTTGTAGACAAGATATTTGAAACGAGGAGTTTAGGAATGACTTGCACAAAACATTTTTACTCTGCAACCCCATCAGTGGTCAAAAAGCACAAGAAGAAGACCCCAAAGCTAGGTCTGAAATGCAGTACAAATGTTTTTGGTTAAACTATTATAGTGTAAATATTTAATCTAGCTTGGTAGAGAAACAAACACTTGATCATATTGGTGAAGGACTCCCATGCAGCTCGTATGATACTGACATATCCAGTGAAATAATTAAATCCCTGCACACACATATTTTCCAGCTGATCATATCTCCTCTCAGCTTGTGTGGATATGTTCATGCATTCCTGGTTAACATGTATGATGGCTTTCTGTACCATTTCTATGAAAAGGCCTTTTATAAATCAACTAATGGATGCAGGGCTTCCAAAGAATTTAAAATCTGTCTGTCCATTTGTCTCACTTGTGGCTCCACAAGCACAGGGGGAGTAAAACTCCATAGCCCTTAAAAATCAGATTTTTAAGGGCTATGGAGGACATCCGTGATTGCAACATTTGGGTTGATTCAGATCACTTGCCTTCACTTTGTCTGACTTTTTCTGAACTTTACCCAAGTGCAAAGACACCATGTTTTTGGCATGTACAGTATAAAACCAGGCTCCAGAGGTTTAAGTGCTCCAGCTGAGTGCACACTAAGTTGGTCTCATCAGCCACAAACTCAAAGAGATTTAGGCGCATTCTTGGTGAGTGTGTAAGTGCTTTGGGCTGTCATACTGTCACATCCTGAAGTGTGTGAACTGTCTGATATTCAATTTACTGCACCAAATGACACACTGTCTGTGCAGTAGACATCGGACACTGTTTCATTTAGACGATGCTGCCTGATTTCCCCTTAGTGGTCCCTGTAGTAAGTATTTCATTTAAGTGAAATACGTACAAACTTTTGCCATCTCTGATTATCCCTCATTTATATTAGTTTTTCTAGCAACTGACAAATTTGGATTAAAATACTCATTATCGGCCATTGCAGTCATAGCTGACTATTTGATCCCCCTGGCTCTAGATGTTTGTGAGTTTTGTGAGTGAATGTATGGAGTCAATCAAGAAAGTGTTTTGGATGAAAAGAAACCTGAAGAACACCCTGTTAATAGCTGTTCATGTAGCCCACAGAGTAAATTCATATTTTCAAAAAGGCTGATATTGATCAGCTGATCATTAGGGCCAAGTATTAGGAGTTCAGTAAAGATTTGTTTTTAATTATATATAACAGCTTTGATGGTATTTCAGTAGATCTGATGGTTTCTACAGATGGCCTCCAGGGTCCAGAGAATTAAGCAAACAAGGAGGGGTTGGTTCGATACTAAGACTGGAAAATACGACCGGAGCCGTCTCACGCAGAATTACACAGAGAACAATTGAGTAATGGGTTTTAAATGGGCAAACAGGATGTTAAATGGACATAACCCCGCCATGGTAATCATTGTCTTGGAAGTGCTCCAAAAGTTTAACAAAATATAAGACTGTGCTCTCATTCACCTCTATGTGTTTTTTTTCCTTAGCAGGACTGGAGGACAGGATGGCTGATAGACTGTGATAAGATAAAGGGATGGGCCGGGATGAGGACTGATTAAAGGATTTTGATATAAACCGATAAAGGGGGAAAATCTGTGAAAAATGTATCTATACAACATCAGGCGATGAATTATTATAGAACAAGGAAATACTTTCTGAATAGTTTTAACAGGTGACGTTACCAAACAACATGCAATTGCATGCAACGCAAATGAACTTGTGTTCACCCGGACATTTTTGCTGTATTTGACACATTGGTCACAGATTGTATTAGTAGCAGAGGAATGAGCCATTTAAATTTAGATTTTTACATTTTTACCCAGCTGTGTCAAATACTTGATTTTTACTGGTTTTATTTGCAAAAAGCTAGTTTCCATTAGCAGTTTTGGATTATAGCTTTAACAACACTGGAGATGTTATTTGTAGTATTATTGAATTATTCAGAGAAAAAAATGACAGAGAGGATGCTTATTCAAAAAAACTTAAGAGAAAATAAGACTGTTGTTTATAGTCATACATCCTTGATGCTTTCTATTGAATAGATAGTGCAGAATTCTTGAACTGGGGGTTGTGTGAGGCACATTTTAATAGTAAGTTTCAACCACAGAAAGTCTCCTGTTTTGAGACACAGACCGGAGCATCATCACTTAAGTCAAACTTGATGACAAGCCTTGAATCAAGCACCATCAGCCAGAACAACCAGTTTTTTTTTGTTGAAATGTTTGGATTTAACTCCTTATTCAACTCAAGGACAAACACTGTTACTTACTATGTGAAAAGGATGGGCTAGACTAGTACTAAACGAATTCAGACCTCTTCCACATGTTGCCTCACGGACTCTGGGCTGTTGCCAAATTATATACAAATTTATTGGAAGAAGAATAACAAATCACATACGGATGAGTTTTTGATATTAACTTGTATTTTGCACCAGTGGTCTTGAGCAAGTTGTTTAGCATGTAAAAACAGAAAACAAGTCAAGAGATGAAACTTTTAGTCACCAAGAGGTGAATATTTCTGGAACAAATGTGCATTTACAGTGCACTTGGCAGGTTTCTTCTTTTTTCAGATGAAATTTTCAGTTTTGTCAATATTCGGCACAAATACCAACCCAATTATGGATAAGTGAGGACCCCAAAGCCTGAGGGGATGAATAGTGTGCTCCCAGCGTATAACAGCCATTGGTTTTAAGGACTTTTGTGTTTTTCTGTGGTTTCTGTGAAGAATATGAGCAACAAACCATCACATGAGCAGAACTTTGCAACTCGTGCCAGATTGCAGTTGTTTACTTCAACCAGAGGCAAATCTCATGGTGGACAGTCTCACAGTTATGTGTTGTCCTTAAATGCACCGCAAGGTTGGGAGGAATTCAAGGTCCATGCTGCATGAGATTTATGTATGATCCATGCTAATGGGTATTTCAAAGCAGTGCATGACCTTTGCAGGCCACTTAAACTCTCCCGGGAATCCAGATGGACTCAAAGGTAAAGACCAGGAGCATTTTCCCCCTGACAGGTCTCAGAGAGGAGATTTTTTTTCTTTGTTTGCCTGTCTTGGTTACCCCAGTTAATCCTCCAAAACAGAGCCAGAACTAAAAATTCCTAATCCTGATGGGATTTACTTCACTCTGTCCCCCTCCTGAGCCATTTAAGGATTGAAGAGGCCATCCACTGAAATTCCTCTTTCTACTCTTGGGCCCTTAAATCTTAGTATGTGGTCAGAAAGCCACTTCCCGCCCTTTGAGATCATGCCTTGCTCCCCTACCAGATCTCGCCTCTTAAACCACAAACTTCACAAGATAGCTCAGTTTAGACTTGCGTGGGGTTTATTTGCTTATAAACTTGTGGTCTAAAAATGGCATGAGAGGGGTCAGGAGGAAGTGGTCGAGTTGATGACATAAGATTTTTGTGCAACAATAGAGATGTGTACAAACATGCCACAAAAGGGGGCATTGACTGTTCTTCCAGGCTCTTGCTGACAATGTTTTTTAAGTGGTTACAAAATGTAGGGCTCTTAAAAGGTTGATTTGGCCTTTTGTTCAACTTTTGGAGGCTGTAAACGGCTCCACTGGTTAACGGCAGATATATTGGGACAGAGATGCTCAGCTGAAAACTTAGACCGCTAACATTAGAGAATGGTTAGGAAAGTACCTCTACATTTCTTCAGTTTTTCAGTCTGTGCTTTGTAACCCTTAAGCAGAAGATGAAATAGCTTAAAAGATTTTACACTGAAAAACCTGTGGTTAATGCTTTTCAAATATGACATATAGCACAATGTAAAGTAAGCATTTTTTATATGGATCGATCAACTTTAAGCGAGGCATACTATAGTCTAATGGCTAATAAGGACAACTGTAAGATCAGCAACTAGAATGATCTCCATTAGACAAAAAGTGCTGCAAATACTCAAACGATGTGGGTTCAAAACCACGTGCAAAAGTTCAAAACAAGTAAAGCCAAAATGCACCACAAATGATAAAATGTGCCTTTAATTACAGTTTAAAGTAATGGGATTACAAGTGATCAAAATCAAATTCTCTCAAGTTATTCAAGTTATCTCATTCTAACCTCAAAAATTATCTCATTATGAGTAATTTTTTCCAAAAAAATGCATGCAATTGAGTTCAGCTCAACTTGTGGTTTGTGCAAGTTTACAATAGTTTTTATCTGTTTAATATGACTGTACACATACATGTATTGGATGTAAATGGTATTACTATAATGGTCTAATTTATTGCTAAAAAAAATGTTGCCCATCTTTGAAAATGAAACAGAAAGGCTGTTTCTGCAGCAACCAGTTGATTAATGTATCCCTATCCCCTGACAGTGGTTTTAGACACTGGAATTAGTTAATTACAAATACTCAGTATTGATACAGTCTTGTTTGCTTTTGTTGGTCACTAAAAGGCATCTCTATCTATTCCGGTTTGTTCCTTACCCAGTTAATATCTAATCATCTAGACAGATTTAAGAGGTCTCATTGCGTAACTATTAAAAGGCTTGAAGAAGAGGATGTTGATGTTCAGGACCTTTGTCCTTTCATTTTTTTCTGCTTTCTTTTTTATTGTTTGGTCATGTATCCTTTCTCCATGGAAAATCCCAGTCAAGGCTTTGCCCTGCTGCACTGCTGACTAACTTTCCCCTTTGTCTACCCAGACCAAAAAGCAGGCTGGGACTCAGAAAAACATAGAAAGTGAAGAGAAATATTCAGATCCTGGAAGTGGAAATGTTGTTTTAACTTTTCATGGAAATAAAGGATCATTTTGTGTCTTCACGGCAGCAGAGAAACAGTTGTCCCTCAGTCCACTGCAGCCCTGCTCCTCCTCCTCAGTGGGTTTGCGAGGAGGCAGACAGACTAAGGCTCTCCTTCACAGATGGTTTCTGTCCATAACCACAGTGTGCTTTTTTTAGACAGGAGACAGGGTGTGGATGACTGTGTACCTACCGCAACTATATGAGAAAACAGAGTGCCTCCAGACACACATGCAGCACCAAAACAACGCCTCTGCATGATGGCGCAGACTGGCCGGTGGTGTGACGAAATTATACATCGGTGTCATTTCTAGCAGACACTTTAGAAAATAAGCTGTACCCTGACAGCAATGGAAAAGAGGATAATATCCTGTTTGTTTTGGAGAAACATTTACATTGTGTTGCATCAATCAAACCCATATTTTTCCTGAAGTTAGTCATCATCACATCCAAAGGAAAAAAAGTTCTGTATTTTTAATTGCCTCTACGGGGTGAAAACTCGAGCTCTGATGTGGGTTTTACCACATAGGTGCAAATAAAAGCTCCCATAGGTACACTTAGTCTTCCTCGTGCTTTGCTTGTCTTGTTTTGTCCTTGACTGAATGCCTCAGACTGGTAAACAATGTCAGACTAACAACCTCCAGCTGGAACACGTTCTGTGTTTGTTTGGGCAATAAAACCCTGTGTGAATAATGAAATTCGATCATTCAGAATACAGTGTGAGGATGGATCCTTTCATCTGGGTTTAAGCACAATAATATCCTCACAAACAGGACGGTTTCTCTGTTAGTTTTTCCTAAAGAGAAACATGATGTAACTGAACACAACATCTGATTTTGGACACCTTGACAACAAATGCCCATCTGAAAGACAGTTTGTGGTCGCAGTCTTTGAACATCTGTCATGACAGTTGTGTTTCTATTATGCAGCCGCACTCGGGGCAGGAAATTAAACTCAACAACCTTATTTTATGCCGCTGTGTCGTGCAGCAGGCAAGCATGTGTCTTAGAGAAGAGATTTAGTGTGTCAGTACTCGAAGTGACTGTCAGCAAATAACTTGAGACTAATAATGTTCTCTTATTTATTAAGGCTCAGGAAAACTAGAATATCAACCCCTTTTAACAAACTGATGTAGGTACAGTACGGTATAATCACACATGTAAGGGTTTTGAGTTTAATAAACCAATTTAATGGAGTTCAAGTAATCTACACATAACAAGTCTGAAACAAAGTCTGTTGTAGATTAGATGTGAGTCAGTGTTTTGAAGTAGAGCTCTCCCATAGTAGCAGATAATTTTGGATAATTTGTCTTAAACGGGGCTTTTCCCATTTAACGTGGTCCGGATACAGATACAATCACAGAGTTGGCTGCTTTTTAACATTTGGTTCCACATGACATTTCAATGTGGCCCTCATTAAACTACTACATGTTTCCCCCGCCCCCCTCTTGTGACGAGTTACTGTTGATTTTAGGGGCGATCGTACATTATAAGATTACTCGTCTGGGGCAGTTGAATCACCAAGAATCACTCAAATACAATGAGATGTGTTATTGTGGAACTCTTTTCAGATAGAGCCTCTTAAAGGTTGTTGCTTGTAATTTCTGTCGTATGCTGTTTGTTTTTTTGTGATCTTCCTTTGCTTCTATGGCAGATTATAACTTTCAAAGTCATTTTTTGTACTTTTAATAAGCTAAGCTGTCGTGAGAAACTTTTACAATTTATTCATACGACCTGCTTTTTAAAAAATTGCTTTAATGCGCTTCAATATCTGATCGATAAGTCGCCCTTTTTGGTGCAGCAGCTGGGGGTGCTGGTATTTCCGAGGAGCTCCCGAAGGTAACACGGGGGGCTTGAGCGGTTCCTCAGCAGCTCTGAGGACACACATAGACACACAGTCAGCCTTTAGGGACTGCTGCAGTGATAAGGTAAGATATATCTCTATGTGTTTAATCACAGGACAAGTTTAATTGGCGTTTTTTATCACTCAATTCTCAATTCAAGCTGGAGTCTGGTCGGGCTCGAGTCCAAACTGACGGTTAATGTGTTGAGAAGACGGCGTAAACGTTCACACGTTAGGAGGATTTATACCCTTTTGTTGACTTCTTCTCGATTTTGGTCATTTTAACGGCGTTATTTGTGTCTTTGACTGTCTCTGTGAGACAAAAATGTAGACTGGGAGGACTGGTGTTGTGATGCTGGAAGTCCGCATGGCTCCTTTTGTTGACTGCGGCAGGGAATTAAATTTAGCGCCAACGAGTCCACGCGTGGTCCGTTCAGTCGGTCAATGAAGGTTACGTTTATCAATGGACGTTATCTTCTTCTTGAGCGATAAAGCAGCCGGGCAGTCTGCCACCCCTGTAGCGGGTAAGTGTTGAAGTCACTGTAAAAACGACACTGGAAATCGAGTTTTCAACATCTACGAGCTGTTACTTAAATTTTAAACCTTAAAGTTGTCTCACATTTTTCACGTCTTTAAATCCAACAACACATAACGTCTGACTAAAATGGCTGACAAAAAAGTAAATTATTTTTCAGAGTTAAATTGTCCAAATTTAATCCGTATCGATAGCTAAATCTAATAAAAATGACGACATTTCTCTTATTTCAGATAGGCGCTGGGTATAAATCATGGGGCACCATGTGGGGAAGCACGTGTGTGACAGGCTGCTTTAATCATGTAGTTATCGGTAACACGTGGGTAGATACTATCACAGGGCCTGACAGTGGAGACACTGATGAAAAGACTCCGTTGAAAGCTCCGTTAGTGAGTTAAACGGATGTGCGGTTATACCTGCTTGCTCTGACATCTGCAGAAAGCGAGTCCGTATGTAGGTCATAGATATCCTTTTTGGTGAGTTTTATATATGTGCCCTCTGGAAATCAATGATAACTTTGGTTCAATCAGTTTTTATGTTCTTCTTCCGTTCATTATTCTGCTGATAAGGGCATGTAATGGTTTAGGCAGGCATAGATTTGCAGCATTTGTTTTAAATTTACCACAGGATTACTATAACTCCACTAAATGACAAAGGGATCTCTGTGGCTATGACAGAGTGTTTCCTGGCTTGGCTCACTGTCACGCGTGTTTGTGCTATTTGGGACTCTGCTGACCTTAAACACAGAGAAGAGCAAACCAGAATGCCTGGCTTTGTCTTTCACAGAGCAGCTGATGGGACAGCAGTCTTGACCAACCTCTGGCTGCACATGTGCATCTGTTATACAGGAGTAGGGCTGGGTGATAAAACGATATCAATATATATAAAAAATGTATTTCTTCTCCGAAATGAATGACTGAACCCCTAACCCCCATATGGGGTTTCACTATATAGCTGACTATGTATTGAGCTCAATCACCGGAGGTTTCGGACACTACATGGCGCACTGTTGTGACGTCACTGCTCAGACTGCCGCATTTGAAGTTGCGGCCGTTGTTTTCACATCTCTTGAATTTTTTGGTGTTGTATAGATGTATTTGTTTTTCCAGGATGTTCATGAAATAAAAAAAATTAACAAAAAAATATATATATATTAAGAAGGCCTTATATTTTCGTGCTGAATATTGTTTGCTGCGTCATATTGTGCACGAGACTATATGATGCTCCTATGTAATAGCTCCTCCATCTTTGAATTGCCGCTGGAGACACAATGCATGATGGGATGGCCACCACCGGTGAGTGACCATCGGCTGGTCACTACATTTTGCAATGCTCTATGGGAAATTTTGAGTTGTCTGTATGGGGCACTGGAATTGATCACTCAGGTTTCAGACACCCCTCAAAATGGCGCTAACCCCAATATAGTTGCCTATATAAGGGTTAGGGATCCATTTTGGACACAGCCATAGTCAGTATGCTTTTCGATAGCTGGCATTCTGCCATGTTTTGGTAGACTATATGAATAGCCAATGAAAAGGGGAGTTGCTTTGCGCTGAACCAATCATGTGCTGAATTTGAACCAAGTAGCAAACAACTGTGTAGTAGCAGGCTGCAGCTACACCAAGGGTTGCACTCTAACAGGTGAAGCCGACAGCACTGTCAGTGAGAGAAAAAAAAAAAGACACTGTCGACAACACTGGCACGAAAACATGTGGTGTGGAGGTATTTTGGTTTTTGAGGTCGGACATGAAGTAGAGTAATGTGCACTGCAAATTATGTCGAATACATATTCTTGCAAAGCTGGGTAATACCTCAAATCTTTTTCACCGGCAGTGGCATGCGGCAAAGCACACGCAATGCAAAAGGGTACAAACCCCGAGCAGAGCAAGGAGCCCATGGCGCCTGTGCAGCCGAAACAGCCGACCATTCAGTCCACTTTCTCTAGTCGAAGAGACACAAAGACCTCACAGATGCAGTAGCTTATTGTATTGCAAAAGACATGCTACCAATAAGCACTGTTAAATTTCATTTTTTTTATATCCTGATATTTATCGATATCAACTGATATGAAAAAAAATGTATTGTGATAAACTTTTTTCCCATATTGCCTAGCCCTATACAGGAGTAGGAGTGAAGTTTCTCCATCTGTTGTCTGTGTTGGCGGTTCAAAAAGAAGATGTACATTGTGTTTCATGCTGGTAGAATACACATTTATCACTTGAGGGTGGTGGTAGCTGCCCTAAGAAGATAAGATTAGGCCGACTCACTCATCATGGGAGGAGGAGGACCATGACCCCTCTTGTGTTGCCCATTTTAAACCATCAGTGCTGACTCAAGTGGATGTTTCTATTGCCAGTCCACCAGTCAGCTATTTCTTCAGACCACTTGAACCAACAAAAAAAGACAAGCAGCTGGAGATGGGCTTTGTTCTTGCTGTCTCTGAGTGGCGGGAAATGAGCTGCCGTATTGTGGGGGGTGAGGACAATAGGGTAGGCATCCTCCCTCTTTTGGCATATGTGTTTTCGTTCTTTCAACAGTTCCCCTGAGGGTTAACATTTTAATGCCGCCTTAAAAGGGCCTTATTAGTGTCTCTTTCCTGTCACCTAGCTGCGGTTTCCTGCTCTTGTATTGTATTATCCTGATTACATCCCTGATTCTTGTAAAGCATGACAGTCTGTCCCCTGCTCCGCCCTGTGTTTGGGCAGAATTTATGTAAGAGGCAGAACTTCTGTAACAGCGGAAAACTGAAAACTGTCAGTATAGATGTGGAGAACTGAGATGTAGTCAGATCCAGAAGCACAGAGGTGTTGAGATTAGTCTTAGAGTCATAATTTTCCTTTTCTAAAGTGGAACACAAAGGATGAATTGTGACTCACCAACATGGCTGAGAAATAAAGAGTCAGTGTGTTTGCTTGAAGTGAGAATATTTAAATTAGGGGGATGAAAACTGGTCGATTCACTGTGGTGTGATCCCTAACCGTTAAAGAGACTATTGAAGAACAGCAGTCAATTTCTGACCTTAACTTCTCAGAAAAATAAAGGTCCGGTCTGTTGTTGGAGTTTTGAGCTGATTTATCCATCTCCATGACTTGCAGTTGGTCACAGCACTGGAACCCTACAGTGTTACTCAGGCCTGCTGTGTTCACTTTTTGTGACCCTGAACACCTTAATGCATCTCTGTCCATGTGGAAGTGATGAAGTGACTTTGTATGAGAGTTCTTCTTTCAACAGTCAATGTCCACTTGAAGTAGTTTTGGCTCACACTGAGATGTGGTTTCTGTATTTCTCTGAATTTGACACCACCATTTTATATAGTGCCAGTTGCAACATGAAAGCTGTTGAAAGGTTGGCAATTGTCTGTGAAACTGGCCTCCTACCAAACCAGGCAACCATATTTTTAGCCACGGTAACTGGAGCACCTATACTACTATGGCCATATTGAATCTCCATAGGGATAGTTTAGGTGATTGATGTTCCCTTGTCATTGATGGACAAGATGTATGATTAATTATTTTTGTTTTGGAATAGAAAACATCTGATTATGTTTGGAAACATATTTGCTGTATATAACTATGGACCTCACGCCTCTGTCTCATTTCTTTGTGAAACAAGTGAAACCAAAATGCTGCTGCAGTGGTCTCTGACATATGGCACTGGTGTAATATTTCAGAGCATGGCATATGCAGAAGTCATCAGGCTGGTGTATCTGTGAGATTAACTTCACACCCCCTCCTCGTAAATTAACATATTTAACGAACACATGAAATGTCAAAGATCCCACAGGTCAGTCCAGTCCAGAGGAGAACCGTGACACTTGTCCTGTCCTCTGTCCTGTCTGTTGCAATGGAGAAGGTGGACTTGATGACTTGTACTGCAGCCAGTCACCAGAGAAGGGACTGAATATTTTGGCATCACTATTCAGGAACTGTCTGGTTGTCTATCTCATACAGACATGATGGTCAGTGGAGGGTCACTGAACCCTTGTTTCGTACAGCTGTTAATGTTGTAATCCTCAGTGATGCTGCTAAAAACCTAAAGTGCAGCGTTTTAATTGAAGCACTAATCCAGCTTGATGTTTTTAATTTGGTGGCTGAATGTTTCCTCTTGAGAACTGAAGAAGAAAAGATCAGGGGTATTAGTAGATTAGGAAAGCTTAATACATGATACGATCTTGTGTGGGTTTTTTTTAGTAGTGTAATATTTCTAAGAAGCTCTGTTCTCATGTTCTCCTTCTTTCTTCCCTTTCATTGTTTGGTTATTTTTGATTTCTCTCCTTCACACAGATTGAAGACAGTCTCTCACACTGTCCTTGAAGTGTGAACGGGCATTGAGGCAGTAAAAGTCAGTGTACTGCATCGTAACTGAAATGTAGTCTTGGATGTCTCGGGCTGTTGAGCAAGCTGCGTTTTATATTTCTGCACGTATGTGTGTTGGTCATTCTAGGAACGATGTGTAATGGGAAACTTCATGCTGTGAGGCACAGATGTGAATGGCGTACAAATCACAAGTGGTCACGTTTTACGAGTCAAACATACTTTATTCAGCGTTGTGAGACAACAGGGGGATACAGATTTATCTCTGGCTATATCTAGACCAGGTCCTTAAGGACTTGTGTTCACCATAACCCAGAAATTTATCTCTTCCCTTGCAGGGAAATACAGTTTGTAAGTTTCGTAGTGCTAAGTACACTCTCTAAATTGCCCAGTCTTACATGTCCTGAATGAAAACAGGCAGATTAAACAGAAAAACTAAAAGACCTTTAATAAAGCTTGGAATATTTTGCTGCTACCAGTGTAATGAATTTGATTTAGTTTTCTTGTCCCAAGTATGAACCATTTTATTGCTCCTCATTAGTTAATGGAAGTTAATTATGATCAGGTTGGCTCCTATTTGTGAAATTACCTCTTAATTAGATTACTAGAACAGAAACCTGCAGGTCTTCATACACCCTGGACTCCAGTGTTCAGCTGGTTGAGATTGAAGTTTTCTAAACTTGCAGGTTTATTTGAATTTATGAGGTTCACGTCATAGCATATCACAACAAGCATTACACATTCTGGCATGTAGCTGATTTTGTGACTTAGGTGTTTTAAAAAACATGTTATTTATATGGTTAAAGTATTATTAATCAGAGATGATTCTTGCCAGAGCAGATGTGTTGTCTATAAGCACTGGGAACTGACCTCGAAGGAAGGTCATTCCTCCCTCGCCTCATCATATGACCAGCATCAAACTATCCTGTGGCTCAGCCTGGAGAATAAAGACAAGCCTGTTATGAAGGTATGCTGGTGAAGTAAAAACGAGTACTCTGGTCTCTTCCTATTAAGATCTACCTCTACGGTGAATGTATGCGTTAAAAAACTTCAACCTCCACTTGAAACGGAGCAAACCGCTTTCAAGTGTCACTTAAATGCCACACATACCCTGACTCTTGGCCAGTATAGAGCTGCAGATGGACGTGCACCTCCATGACACTTGGGTGCACCAGCTTTTTGTCTTTTCATTTGCCAGCTTTAAGATTGGCAGGGGGAGCTTAATGCTCAGGTGGTCCACACTGTCCCAGGTTATACTAACCCCCCATCAAGAGTAGGAGTTCATAACACAGAGCCACCGCTGCAGTTCTGTATGTGGGAAACCCAGTCTAGAATTCCAGGTCCAAGAAGGTTGTAAAAAAAATTGAAGGATTTTGAATTTTCTTTGAATTGAGTCATGGAAAACGGAAACAAACAGATTCATGAGCCAACTTGTGTTTGTCAGACTACACCAGATTTCCTTTTTGGAAAGCAAGGAGAAGCTCTTAGAGAAAGAGACAAAGTTAGGCATTGGACATAGTAGTGCCCATGGTGAGCACCGAGCAGACTAAACTGCACTTAATTTGGCCAGATTTGAACTCCGTTTTTCCTCCCTGACAGAAGAGGAAACAATAAATCGCAGCTACACCTGGTAAATCTTCTGCCATTGGAGTGCCCATTGTTCCAGTTGGATGTGGCTGAGAGAGGCTCGCTAGTAAAAGTGTCAGACCGATGCCAGACTGGAGTTTTGTACCCCTCTACTGACTACAAAGTGCCTGTGTGACTGTTTGAGTGGTGGCACCATTTCAGCACCGGGCGTCTCGGGCCAGCTGGCTCGTTCTGATGACACTTTTGGTTGAGAGTGGAATACTTTACAGGAATCTGGGACATAACTGAGTGAGTGTGCTTTAAAAAATGCCAATCAGAACTGCTTGAGGAAGGTGCGTAGATGGACTCAAGCAGCGTCTTTGGGTTTGAAATGAAATACTCCTTCAGCTGCTTGAATCCATCCAAATCAACACCAACAGTTAAAGCTCTTCTGAAGGACTTTCAACACTATTTCTATGACGCTGAGTAGTCGCCTGGAAAGATAAGTTCATCACAGATTGCCAAATACTCTGAGATCAGAACTGAATTTGTGGTTGAAGATGATAAAATTGCTCTGTAGCAAGATAAGAATCAGGATGTAACTCTGATCAAGGCTGCAGCGCTTGGCCACCTGGTCCATCTATTGCAACAACTTTTGTGCAACTCCTCCTCCTGTCTCTACAGTTGTGGTTTGTTTAACAGGACACACATGAACACTGGTGTTCGGCGGTGAACAGTTGTCTCAAGAGCTCTGAAATGCACAAGTACTGTGGACGACTATATGTTGTAAATAAAAGGTTCAAATCTCCCAGAGTGGGAAGCTGAATGTTCATGCATGTAGCACCAAATATCTTTTTTTTGTTTAATGAAATAAGATTCGATTTAGTCGGATTATGGCTGATGTTTCCAAGGTGGTTCAAATATTAATGATGATGATAATGGCGACTGTTGTGTTTGCACCACTAGCAAAACACTGCCAGGAGTAATTTAGACGCATGAGGCTCAAGAGAAGTGAGCAGCAGCCTTTCAGTAATTGTACAATACTCCTATCCCAGTGTGTGATTTTAAACATTGTTACAGAGCTGTGGAGGCCTGAGCTTCTCATGCTCATGTTTCTCCCTGTATTTGTTCCATCTTCTCAGTTCACTTTGTTACTTTTCTGGTATGACCTCCACTAGAGCGACTTTGAACTAACTTTCTGCTTTGGCGTGTTTTACATCCGAGATTATGCCTTTTAAAAAAAGACCTTACATTTGAATGGGCTTGTATGTGTGACTCTTTGTATTAAGTGTAGCAAATGCGTCACCAGCCGTATCAAACATTGGCCTCTTCATGGCCTGTCCTCCTAACAACAAGAAAACGAAACAGTGCAGTGGTATGAACGCTGCTTATTTGATACAGATGCTCCGTGGAGTTCTCTGAACATTAAAACAAGTTTTGCAATTTTAGCATGAGTCACCAGTACATTTTTTTAGGAAGTCTGACAGATCTGATGAATGCTTTTTCTTCCTCAAACTTTTGCAGTCCAATTTTTCTTCAAAGGTTTGAAGTCTACAATGTTTACTCCAGCTTTTGGACTTGGATGGATCTCCTGAGCTTTATTTCCTGCCAAACGGCGCAGAGTTTTCAAGGAGAGAATAGTCATTGATTTTTTAATTATTTTGTTTGGAGATGTGGTCACAAATGTCAGTGTGTGTTTCCTGTCAGATGCAAGGTAAAGACATTAGAGGAGCAGGTAGAGAGAGCATAATAGGATAAATCAAGAATACAGATAAGAGCTGAGTGAAGAAGAGATGAGGAATGATCAGACAACACTGGAGTAAATAGGACTGCAGAGTGAGTTGCACAACACAGGCAAGGAAAGATCCTGTCATGAAAAAATTGATTATGGAGCCACTGGAGAGACACTGTGGATGAAATGAGGTGAGAAATTAGTCGCAGTAGGAAGTGGAGGGAGAAATTGAAAAGCTGTGGGTGTCTTGACTGTAAAATAGGAAAACATGGAGGTTGGAATAGATGACAACATTTGGATACAAAGGGCAAAGACTCAGGAGCTTTGGAGAGGAAAATAATCCTACAGCTTCTTGTCTTTGCTGATGCCTTAGGATCCTTTCTCTGAGCACATTAAATGATCCAGGGAGGGTACTTGGTCTTAACTTGACCTGAAACAAACTTAGGAGCAGACAGATTTGTATCAAAAAGGCTTCACAAACATATGGAAGAAAAAAGTCTCGATCTGTAGAAAGGTCTGAAGTCCAAAAGTGAGTTTGAGGTGAAAGGAAGAGGGAGGGATGACTGAGAGATTCAGTGAGGGGGCAGGGCCCAGTGGGCAGCAGACAGCGGGGTGTCAACCCACTGAACCTCTCTGTGGTATAAAGTGAAGCAGAGCTTTTTTTTTCAGCACTTGGGCATCTGACCAGGAGAAAGCGGAGTCTGTTTAAATCCTGATTGGAGTCTGCTGTGAGTAATTGAATGAAGTCTGGTTTCTCCTAAGGTGATTGGGGTCAGCGTTTGGTGAAGTGTTTCTTGAGTAAATGTCAGCTTCTCTAGAGAAACTTGTCATGCTGATCTTGATGATTTGTGGGTTTGGGGAGGTTGTTTTCTGTAAGTTTCAGAATTGTTTAGAAACTTAAGCAATCAAGTGGGGAGATTTTTGTTCTGCATATTTGTGTGTTTGTGTGTCATCCTTCTTGCACTTTCTTTCTGACTTTGAACTCTGAAACTGGGAAGTTGAGTGAGCTGATGTTATGCTCCATCTGCTGCTTCTGAATATGAACTAACACTCAGAACAGAACAGCTTTAACAGAATGTGTGCGTTACCTCTTTTATTTACTTACATCAAGTCAATCATATGTATGCTATTTCTTGAACAGCTGTGTTGACTGAGAGCGTGTTTAAATATGTAAATACGGGAGCAGGCCTTGTATCTCACAGCTATAAATGGCGTAAATGTATGTGCTGACCTGGCACACTATAAATGCTCACAGTTTGTAAACATGTATTTGTTATCTGTGTGTTTCAGACCCTGTGCCTCCCTGATTAAACTCGACGCGACGTGTCGGCCCAGAATCATGACAGCCATCAGCGCACCTCGGGACAAGTAAGACGAGTGCTTTTATTCTATTTTAATATCAGAACAGAGAGCCGGGGACTAAACTGTTGAACTCTGTTTGTTGATATTAACTCAAACACTTGATTCATGTTCTCTAATGTAAACTTCCTCTGTCTCTTTTCCCAGATACAATGCCGTATGGATTATTTTCTTCATCCTGGGCTTGGGAACCCTCTTACCCTGGAATTTTTTCATGACGGCAACAATGGTCAGTTAGGCAACATTATGGGGCAGTTGCATTCGCCGTTAAATCCAGTTAATCCTCAGAACAACAAACAGCTGGAGAGGAAATAGAGCTCTCTTGGTGGCCTGGTGGTGGGTTGATTAAGGGGTTGAGCTCCTCTTTTAGAGGAGGGTCAGAAAAACTTGGAGAAAACAAAAGTTGTTTGTTTACTTTTCCCTCCTAAACCACCTGGTTTTACTCGGGTTGCCTGAGCTGACTCCAGCCAGGTGGATTAACTTGCTTCTCTAATCCCTGGCTTTTCTTTTTGGCTCTCAAAGGGTTAACATCTTTAAATAATGGAATTTCAGTTTCATAATCCTCGGGGAGTTGATTTGGACCTGAGGGTAAAGTTTAAACCCCCCACCACCACCTCATTTTCTCCTTAAGAGGACCTCCACTTTAAAAAAAAGGTCTTCTCAGATGTGGATTAAACAGCTTATTTTAAACAATACAATTTAACATCTACTCTTTTTTGTCTATTCTCATCACTGGTTATCTTCCAGAGAGCTGATTTACTGAGTAAACGTTCCCCCACTCTCTTTTTTTAGTACTTCACCAGTAGGCTGAAGGACCCACCCACCACCACGGACCTGTTCGCAAACCAGACGACAAATGGGACTTTGGCAGCGGATGGGGACACTCGCAACGTCCTGGAGTCAAAGTTCAACAATGTGATGACACTCTGCGCCATGGTGCCCCTCCTCATCTTCACCTGCCTCAACTCCTTCATCCACCAGAGGTATCAAATCTGCTTCATACCGACACGCCCCCACTCAACACGGCCGCTATCATGCATCTTATAGCATGAGGACAAAATCTGCAACACGTTTGTTTAAATGCAGGAATGAATACTCCAAGTCTTCAGAGAACATCTGTCTTGTCACTGTCCTGCTCTCTTTTAGCCCCCACCCCTGCTCTTTGTGACCCTTCTCACCCCCGCTCAGGTCATTTGATCCTGTTACGTGAACGTATGTCTGTATGATGTCTCCAGGATGTTTGCTTTAATTAGTGTAGGGTTTGAGAGACCTCGAAGGTGCACCGTGACCACGGCTGACTCTTTCCTACACAAACACACCCAAGAATGCTATTTATGTTCTCTGCGCCCCCTCCCCATCTTTTTCTTACCTCTCCCTGCTTCTCCTCAGACTTTGTTCTTTTCCTCCTGCTGACCCTTGTATCCTCAGTCGACTCATTTCATTTCTGCAGAACCTTTTGGTCTTCCTTATTTTTCCATCTTTTTAATACACTCCAGTTCCTCTTCCGTTTGCTTTGTCTACTCTTTACCCTTTCATCATCATAATCAGGAAATGTTTGTTTTTGCGTTTGACGATTAATCATATTCCGTTCCTACACAGCTATTTCTGTCAGGCTCAGTTAAACAGGATCCTGTTTACCCCCTGAGTTTGTTGAACACCTCTCTTCTGAATAAAGAGACTCTGCACGTGGGAAATGTGTTTGCTAGAAACCTTAAAATTAACTTGTTTACTTAAACATATTATTTCTTTTTTCTATTCAGCCTACGATAATTGAAATCACTCTCAGCGGTCCAAAAAAGGTGCGGCTGATGTCCGTGGTTTTGGTTTAGTTTGGTTGTGCAGTAATTTTAATTTCATTTGACTCTGTGTGTCTCAGAATCCCCCAGAAGCTGCGGATATCTGGTAGCCTGACGGTCATCCTGGTGGTTTTCCTGCTGACAGCAGTGCTCGTGAAAGTTGATGTTGCCCCGCTGCCTTTCTTCACCCTCACCATGATCAAAATTATCTGCATCAACTGTGAGTTTCTAAACACATCACCTTTGAAAACGACTTCATCCTTCAGTACAACATGAAGTCCAGGCTTGCATCAGATACACGAGCAGTCACTTACAGGGAAACTGAAGCATGGTAGATAAAAAAAAATATCAGTAAAGTGTTTTGGTTTGTGTCATGTGATTATATTTGTAGCATGTAAACTAAGAATAGAGAAGGTCCAAGGATACTTCCTTGATGAACCCCTTAAATTTCATTAACTTTGTACGGCATGATATCAATCAAACTTTATTTTTTAAGCACTTTTCATACAAAGAATGTATCACAAAGTACTGTCCATTCAAGCAGGATATTTGAAACAATAAAAGAAAATAAATGAAATACAAATACCAAACCCCACCCACCCTCCCAACCCCCATTCAACACATACAGCACTCACACACAGATGCATACACAAAAGACTGAGGAAAAACTGGATCTAGAACTAAAGTGATAAAACCATGATAAAATATAATAAAGGTGATAAAGCGTTAAAAGTTTATTGAATGAAACAGTCTTAAAATTAAACAGTAACAGAAAGTAAATTTAAAAAAGAGGTAATAAAACACAAAATAGGTACTCTCGAACTAAAATAGGGTAAAATCACATAACGCAGATAAAAATTAAAACAAAATTAAACTAAAAGCCGGACTAAAAAGAGTAGGTGTTGAGTTCACATTTAAAAATATGAACAGTAGTGAGGAACCTCTTTTGTAAACCCAACCCAAAGCCTGTGAGGTGTCACACTACATAAAATTCCCACCTCAGCGTAATGCAGGTAACTTTTACTGCAAGGCTGATGTATGGGACTGTTTTAGTTGCAGGATTATCTCCACCTTATTTCTACTTTGAACTCATGCAGAAGATAATCCCTGCCTGTTTGCTTCTTTGATCCTCTTCTGCATCATCCGCTGTGTTGGGAAAATCTTCCCCTTTTCTCCCTCAAACTACGCCGAGCTTCAGAACTCAGTCTGTCACCCCACAGTGAGTGTTTGTTTACAAAGAGTCACTCAGCAGCAGGGAAAAGCTCACCCCGGTCGAGATCCCCTTGGTCCGGCTCTGCCCTGACCCTCAGGTCCTCATGGTGAACAACCTCATGGGTGTTTGATTTAGAGTGAAGGGTGCCGTGACCTCAGCGCTTTGATATCTCTGTCCACACATTCCCTCATTAGATGCTCGTTTCAAGATGTGCAGCTTATTAACGTTCAAAGATGTTGTACGAACATCATTAACTGTGTGTCATGCTAGTTTACATGTATGGAAAAGCATTTTTGGCAGCAACTTTAAGTAAAATTGGATTTAAAAAAAAAAGAAAATAGTTGTATAACCGTGAACGCCACAAAAACTTCTTGGCTATCTTCACAGCTGCATCCTTTCCTGTTGCCTTGTGTGTGTTTGATCCATGTCACAGTGACCCTTTAAAGCGTAGTAAATCTCAAACATTCTTGTCTTGTGTGTGTGTTTTTTTTTTCTTTCTGTCCTCCTCCCCAGCGTTCGGTGCGATCCTTCAGGGCAGTCTGTTTGGGCTGGCAGGGATTCTGCCCGCATCCTACACCACTCCCATCATGAGCGGACAGGGGCTTGCCGGCGCCTTTGCTGCTTTCTCCATGATCTGTGCACTGGCCAGTATGTCCAATCATAAGTACACCACTTCTAGTAGAAGGAGTATAGATACACCAGTAAGCCAGAGCATTCTTAGTGTGGTATATTTTACTTGTAAGGAAGAAGCACTGATGCTAGAGAAGGAAACACATTTTTTTGTAGCTTGAATTTATGTAAGACTGAAATATTTTGCATTTGATATGAAAGTTAAATTAAAAAAAGAGGACTCATTCTTGAAGAAATAGGAACTTGCCCGTAGCCAAGACATAGGGGACGATGTTATTTAGCTGGTCCAGACACCCTCTGATGATTTTCTGTGTCTTTGTCTGCAGGTGGGTCCGCCCTACAGGACAGTGCTTTTGGTTACTTCATCACAGCCTGTGTTGTTATCCTGTTGGCCATCATGTCCTACCTCGCTCTGCCCCGCATGGTAAGATTTCTCATGCATCCAGTTATGAACCTTGTTTATTTTCTAAGTGAGTGTTTTAGCGTCTGATATTATATATAAGTCTGGTTTCCAAGAGCTGAAGATAACTTCTCATCATCTTGGTACTTCCTTGGCTTCAGTCTGTGTTTCAGAAAACACACCTTGTCATGGTATTTTGGATCTTCCCACAGACATGTCTCCTTTGTTCAGTCAAATAGACTTATTTTGGGTTTTCTTTCACGACAACAGGAGTTCTTCCAGTACTACATGGAGAGTAATGTATCCAGGCCCTCTGCTGACGAGGAAAACAAGATGGATTTACTCAGGAAAGGTAAATACAATACAATCACAGACATGCTCCATTTTTTTCATTTCCCATGAGTAAGTTACGACAGAAGAAGAACTGCACCGTTTTCTGCATTTCAGTTCAACCTCATTATTTTAGCCAAGAGAAGATCTGGAAGATAAAATTCATCCAAAAAAAACTGCAGCTCTTTGAAAATATGAACGTTTTATTTTCTTTTGTGACACTTTGTGAAAAAGTATTTAAAAAGCAGTCTTCCACTGTGTGACTCTGACCAAACAACAGGAAACCTTCAGGATGAAGACAGCATTAGTCTCTTTGCTTTGATTTCCATTTCATTCCCTCAAAGTTTTCTGATCACACGTCAACTTCTTTGGTCTGTGCAGGAAGAGCTTAAAACTTAATAACACTTTTAGAACAAGTCACTAAGTGTGTCAGACATGCCTTAATCTCAGCGCCCCTCCTCGTATCACCCTGAAGTTTGACTCGCTTACTTCAGAATTACCAAACCCTCAGACAAGTGCTTACAGCAGTCGTCTTGGTGTTTTGGTGACAATTTGCTGCCCACTCTGAGGCTGTGGCATTTATCACTACTGTCCTAGAGAGCAAAGGAAATCCTCAGAGTTGTTGTCTAACAAACAGCTACTTGAGTGTGGGAGTAATGGTTTCAACTCCATGAGTCACATGTGACCAAAAGAATGTTAAACGGCCTTTTCTCTCACGTGTTGTCAGATAACGGCGCAGAGAAGCGACCAGTGGTTAGTCTGACGGATGACGAGGCCAAACCCAGCGTGTCTGTGTTCAGCATCTTCAAACAGGTGAAACCAATCAAACATTTCCATTTCAGTCCATAACCCATCAAATTTTAACACATGTGACACTTCTGAACTTGATCAATATGAACTTTGAATTTTGATCCATTAAACCTTTTGAGGACCCCTTTACTAAGTTAGAGAGACGCAGTTTACCTGTGAGACAAACCTTTGATAACACGGTATGAATTATGCTGGTCTTGTGCTCCCTAATCAGATCTGGGTGATGGCGCTGTCAGTGTGCTTCATCTTCACCGTCACTATCGGGACATTCCCAGCAGTCACAGTCGAGGTCCAGTCCACAGTAGCAAACGGAGGCGCCTGGGGTGAGTCCCACACAATTTTGGAAACAAAACTTTGTTTGTTCCTCAGCATGGAGATGGCAGGCGGGGAGGATTTTTAACCTCCACCCTCGACACAAAGTCTTGATTTGAGACAGTTTCAGAAAGTTTTATCGAAGTTTGCCATAACTGAATGAATGAAACTGGCCGTGAAGAGGTTTTTTTTTTTTTTTTTTAAATAAAATGTTAAGAGTTTGTTTAAATTTCTCAGCTCTGAATACATACATTCAAAAAATACAAAGAGGCTGTAACTGGACTTAAAGTAATTGTTTGTTGTAATGAGCTGTTTGGATTAGGATGCATGTAGACACTTCATAATAATAATAATAATAATAATAATAATAATAATAATAATAATAATAATTAAAAAACACACCTGACACACCTTATTAATCTCTGAAGGGAAATTCAATTGTCTGTTGTCTCACATAATATGTCTCTAAAAGTTATCTACTATTTACACAAGAGTTACAAAGTCTGATGCTGTGGGTACAAAAGATCTTCTGCATCGACTCTCTTTGTTCTGAATAAAACCTTCATTGTCTCAGCATGGAAGTTTTGACCTTAACTTAACTCTGACTCACATTACCAGAAAGCCTCCACTTTAAGTTTTTCTTGTGAAGAGTCCTCTCTCAACCAAGATAGCTCAGATGTTTGACTCATGTCGTCCTGTGGTTGTAAACAGCGTTTTTGTTTTGCTGTCTCCTCAGAAACTTACTTCATCCCTGTGTCGTGTTTCCTGCTCTTTAATGTGATGGACTGGGCCGGCAGGAGTCTGACAGCCGTCTGTATGTGGGTCAGTAGTAACACTTTTTTTTTTTTTTTTTTTTACCACCACGCTCAGTCTCTCTAATCTGCTCTGAAACTTTGAGCTCCTTTGGTGAGTTTCTCAGCCGGCTTGGACTCTGTCCCAACCAGCTGTAAAGTTTCCTGCAGGTTCAGAGGATCGAGTCGGGTGAAACTTGATAGCTAATCTTGTCATAACTTGTTGCTCTTGAGTACACATGGCCTAGACTTCAGCAAAACAACTTTTCGAAATGTACAGATTTGTTGTAATGAATGTCTTTAACTGTCTAAAATGTAAACGCTCAAGTAAATCTCTGTGTGGAGAAGAATAGAGGTTGAAAGTTAGTCAGAGTTTTTAGGGAAATAAAAAAGACAAGTTGTGTGGCTTCAATCAAACTTTTTAAAGAAGAGATGTTTTATTGTATATTCCAAATTTGCTCCTTTTTAATCTTTTACATGCACATCCAAATGAACGACAACCTCCCTGAAACAATTGATTGCTCTCAAAACTTAAACCAGAAAACAGCCAAAAGGAACAAGCTCTTGTGATGCCATGTGATCAAGAGGAAATGATCAAATTGAATAAAAAGCTTACATATTGAGAACATTTGGTTAGCCCTGTACTCTCGAATAACAGTAGTCATCTGCTTCAGGAGCATGTGAGTTTGTTTATCATTATTAGGCAACAATGAAGGTCAAATGAAGGTCTCCGCTCTTGTGCTTCAGTCAGTCACGTCCCAAAACAAATTCCCCCTCCTTATTAAGAGATGAAATCATTAACCCCGTTTTTCAAAGGTTAAACATTTGCAGAGAGACACTGAAGAATTCAGTTTATTGAACTCTGCTTAACCGCATACTTGACATCAGATATACAGAATTTGAACTCAGGAATTTTATTTGGAGGGAAGCTAAAAAACAAAACAGAAAAGAGAAATGATGTTAAAAAAAAGGCTTTGCAGGTTTTTTCTACATTTCCTTTAAGCATGATGTAAACATAAACTAGCCGTTCATGCCATATATCAGTGTTAGTGTCTGGGTGTAACAAGATCTTAGTTAATATTGATACCTATTCATGACCTTCAAAAAGTAGGAGAAGTCAGAGGTGTCACTGCAGGGGCCGCCAGAGTCCACAAAAACCAATTTCACCAGTGTCGTAAATACTTGGCTGATATTGTGATTGTTTTTGTGTGGCTTAGGGTTAGAAAACTTTGCATTCCTTTGTAGGGACTCATGTAACGCCTTCAGTTCTTTTAATGGTGTTGGTTTGGCCTGGCTGTTAGATCGCTTGCCCCTCGTAACAGAGGCTTCGGTCTTAAAAGTAGGCAGACCCAGGTTGATTCCAACCTGCTGTCCTTTGTTCACTCGTTTCACTGTTTCTTACTCCGTACATTGTTGGCATGAAAGGAAAAAGGAAAAAAAAAAAGACCTATTTTGTCAGGCCAGCTATCCAAAACCATAAAAAATTTAGAAATTTTGGGAAAACTAGATACATCAGGGAGGAGAAAAGCAGCACCCCCTGGCTTTTAAAGTGGATCACACTGTCATTCCAGCTGCAGTTTTCTTCTCTTTCGTCTTCCATAACTAATCGCCCTCCTCTCACACCTTGCTGTCTGGATCTGACTGATCTCATGAGTCCCTGTCTGAGGTTCCTGTGCTTCTGTCTCCACAGCCTGGTAAAGACAGCATCTGGCTGCCCGTGTTTGTGGCTATGCGGGTTGTCTTCATCCCACTCTTCATGTTGTGTAACGTTCAGCCTCGTCACTACCTCCCTGTGCTATTCTCCCATGATGCGTGGTACATCATCTTCATGATCTTCTTCTCCTTCTCCAACGGATACCTCGCCAGTCTCTGCATGTGTTTCGGACCAAAGTAAGAGCAACACACTCACAGTAAACCTTCACGGTTAAAAGGTAAAGCACTGACTCCTCATGAATTTTGTCCCACCGCTCTCTCCTTACAGGAAAGTGTCACAGCACGAGGCGGAGACAGCCGGAGCCATCATGGCCTTCTTCTTGTCTCTGGGCTTGGCGCTGGGTGCTGCGGTCTCATTCGCTTTCCGGGCCATGATCTAAGATCTCTCTTCACAACCCTGCAGTAGATTAGACCACCTCGCCCTCCTACACTCCCCCCCCCTCTCCCACCCTGTACAGGAGAGGAGACAGCAGACGAGGAGTCTCAAGGACAGCAGTCTTCTAAAGTGTACAGCAGAGACTCGCCTCACGCAACAACCTCAGCAGCAGCATAACGCTGAAACACATCACAGATTTTAATTTAGTCTCAAACTGAGCAGCACAGTGTGTCAACGCGTGCCTGTTTAACCGGTTTCCTTTCATTGCAAACGATCAAACAGGTTTCACCTTTTAAGGTAAATCTAAAAGAAGGAAAACTCAAATCAAAAGTGTGCACACAATTGGCTGTAGTGGCTCATTTTATAACAGACAAGAATTTCAAGTATGAATGAAAAATGATCGCATAACGTCATACTTGAAATAAGCCTGGACATGCATGAGCCACATTCATCAAATTTAATGATACGCCAAATAACAAGAGAGTTAAAATTTCCAGTAAATTATGAATGAAGTCATGAGGTTGCATAAAAACATAATTTCAAGATATTTGGCTGGTTCTTATTTGGCTGGTAGATTTGTGTGTTCAGCTCGTAAGCCAGTAAATTTCATCCATCACTTGATACTGTGACACTCAGTGTGTTTATTATTTTTCTTTAACGTTTACATGTCAAATATCAAACGCCACTCTGGACTGTTACTGCTATGAACTCTGATCAAGCCAAATACAAAGAGACGACGTGGGTCAGTGATGACGATGATGAACTTTGAAGGGAGTTCATGACCCATCAGATGGCTGATAAGCAGCGTGTGAACTGCTTTGCTCCCTTGCTCTTCTTTTACCATGATGCCAAGTCATTTGTGTTTCTGTGTGTTTTAAGTTTCTTTGTAACAAACCAGTCAGTTCTCCGAAAAAGTCAGAACGGACCGGATCCAAAAGACGAGCTGGGAATGAATACTCTGGGCTACTTACAGCTGTTGCTCTTCCTTGTTTTGGAGTGTGTAGTTTAGATGAATTTGTACCAGTGTAGGTATTTTCCTTAGAGCTAAACCTTCTGACTCGATCAGGAGGTCACATTTTGTGTTGTGACTTTTAGCCCATGTAATTTATTTTTTTACTGTTACTGTTGTCCTGAAGAGAATTAGCTCTGGTGTGTTTAGCAAAGACAAAAAATATGCGGCTGTCTTGTGACATGAAACGTGCCATTGTGAGCCAGACTTGAGTCCTTTCAATGACATTTGTCATTTAACATGTACTTGAGAAGTTAATTTTTATATAAATATAGTTTGTAGTATGTTTTTCAAATTATACCACATCTATCTCTTAGTTACTTTTGTTATGAAGTGGAGGGTATGTTAATAGACCTCCTGTCATTAGTGTTACATACACAGTATATATATTTTTTGCAGTTTTGTGGCCTTTTTTAAAATAAATTTCAAAGCCTGTTTTACTTGTGCACAGTATTCATTACCACGGCTGTAATCATCCTCACAGCCTGTTTGTCCAAATGCAAAACGTTGGGTTTATTGTGTTGTTGTTCATCAAGGAGTCTGGCATGGAAATCCAAAATGTTACAAACAGTCCAGTGAATGATAAAATAAAAACTGCATTTTTAGAAATCTGGCTCCCTCTGCTGGTCATTTGTAGAAACAATGTAGATTTGAGACCAACTACCTGGCTTTTTAAAGGGATATTCCAGCATAAAATTAATTTAGGGTCAAACACACCATAACACTGAGTTAGACCGCCCGTCGAGAGATGAATGTTGCAGACCGCTTGCTTCTCTAGTTATACCAACTTTAGTGATGACCGCAGAATAGCAATACACAGCGGTCTCAGGAGCCACAAACAAACCTCAACCAAAACGCCACTCTATAGCCACAAATAATGCTCAGAACAGATCCTAACTTCAACAGTACATATAGGGTCCCAGCCATAGCCCTAGCCACCAAACATCTTTTTTACTTTGCCTGATTTCTTTAGCAAAGAGACTAAACACAACTCACCTACTCTCTTCCAGCAGCCGCTTGTTTGTAGTGAGACCTCAGGCCAGTCCATTACGGGGTACAGTGGGATGACACAGCTCAAGGAAGAAAATGTAGGATTGTTTCTTCATGGAAATGCAGCCAAACCGAAAAGGAAATGATAAAGTAATGATCATAAATGTTCTTCCTTGAGCTGCGTTCCCCTGATGCAGTCAATGGACTCACCCGGAGGAAGAGAGTAGGTGAGTTGTGTTTAGTCTCTTTGGCAAAGAAATTAGGCAAAGTTAAAAAGATGTTTGGTGGCTAGTACTATGGCTGGGACCCTATATGTACTGTTGATGAAGTTAGATGCTGTTCTGAGCATTATTTGTGGCTATAGAGTGGCGTCTTGGTTGAGGTTTGTGTGTGGCTCCTCAGACCACTATTGTGCTGTCGTTACTCATGTTGGAATAACTAGAGAAGCAAGCAGTCGGCAACATTAATTTCTCGAGGGGGCGTCTCACTCAATGGTACAGTGTGTTTGACCCTAAATTAATTTTAGGCCGGAATATCCCTTTAATAAACAATGGAAATATGATACTTGAAGATATAACGTCTAGCATACAACAGAAACTGTAAAAACATGAAAATACTTTTGTGTTCCTGGAAGGAAGTGCAGCCTGTCCTGTTTTTCTGTGCGTGTCGCTGACCTGTAGGAAACAAGGCTACTTAGTGAGAAGCTGCTCAGAGACAGCTCCTCTTTAATTTTCAGAAATGTAAGAATCAGCTTTTGAAACTTTTGGTAACATTGACATACACTCACCGGCCACTTTATTAGGTATACCTGTCCAACTGCTCGTTAACACTTAATTTCTAATCAGCCAATCACATGGCGGCAACTTAGTGCATTTAGGCATGTAGACATGGTCAAGACAATCTCCTGCAGTTCAAACCGAGCATCAGTATGGGGAAGAAAGGTGATTTGAGTGACTTTGAACGTGGCATGGTTGTTGGTGCCAGAAGGGCTGGTCTGAGTTTTTCAGAAACTGCTGATCTACTGGGATTTTCACGCACAACCATCTCTAGGGTTTACAGAGAATGGTCCGAAAAAGAAAAAATATCCAGTGAGCGGCAGTTCTTTGGGCGGAAATGCCTTGTTGATGCCAGAGGTCAGAGGAGAATGGCCAGACTGGTTCGAGCTGATAGAAAGGCAACAGTGACTCAAATAACCACCCGTTACAACCAAGGTAGGCAGAAGAGCATCTCTGAACGCACAGTACGTCGAACTTTGAGGCAGATGGGCTACAGCAGCAGAAGACCACACCGGGTGCCACTCCTTTCAGCTAAGAACAGGAAACTGAGGCTACAATTTGCACAAGCTCATCGAAATTGGACAATAGAAGATTGGAAAAACGTTGCCTGGTCTGATGAGTCTCGATTTCTGCTGCGACATTCGGATGGTAGGGTCAGAATTTGGCGTCAACAACATGAAAGCATGGATCCATCCTGCCTTGTATCAACGGTTCAGGCTGGTGGTGGTGGTGTCATGGTGTGGGGAATATTTTCTTGGCACTCTTTGGGCCCCTTGGTACCAATTGAGCATCGTTGCAACGCCACAGCCTACCTGAGTATTGTTGCTGACCATGTCCATCCCTTTATGACCACAATGTACCCAACTTCTGATGGCTACTTTCAGCAGGATAATGCGCCATGTCATAAAGCTGGAATCATCTCAGACTGGTTTCTTGAACATGACAATGAGTTCACTGTACTCAAATGGCCTCCACAGTCACCAGATCTCAATCCAATAGAGCATCTTTGGGATGTGGTGGAACGGGAGATTCGCATCATGGATGTGCAGCCGACAAATCTGCGGCAACTGTGTGATGCCATCATGTCAATATGGACCAAGCTCTCTGAGGAATGCTTCCAGCACCTTGTTGAATCTATGCCACGAAGAATTGAGGCAGTTCTGAAGGCAAAAGGGGGTCCAACCCGTTACTAGCATGGTGTACCTAATAAAGTGGCCGGTGAGTGTATTTCACATTTTAAAAGGGGTGGGGTGGGATCATGCTTTTTTTCAGACTCTATTTCGTTTTTGATACCTCTTTAATAGCTTTATGTGATTTTCGGATAAAAAAGCCTAAAATTTCCCACAGTGGTGTATTAATAAATCATTATTTCTGCCTCCATCTGAAACATTTTGTTTTAAACTGCTGTCTCTTTAAGGTCCCCCCTACACAGTCTTTCCGGAAGGCGGCCTCTTTGCCGGAAGCACATAAACCAGTATGGAGAGTCTATATTACTTACTTCAGATTAAATGTAAATCTCGCACACAAACCGCGGTCTCACATTTTCGCAGGTTTTTGAGCAGTTTACAGACTTTCTCAGACTGAAATAATACGTTTACCTTGCGATTTGAAACTTTGCATACATGTAGTATGAACCCCAAACTTTGTAACTTTGCAGTTTAAGTTATAAATGTTGAAAAGTATGATACCCCCCTCCCCCTTTAAAGATTTCCCATGACCTTTAGGTATTGTTGAACTTTCTTCCAGTCATACACTTACTTCCTTACCCCACTAAAGTACTGCCACAGAATTAAAACAGAAATGATCGTGTTTCCTCAAAGAACAGACACATAAAAGAGTCAAAAAAACTGTATCAATGATTTATTCTTAAGGTATACATTTTATTCAAAAATAAATTACCAGAGATATCTTTAAAAGGCAGACAGACAGTCTCCAACCCACTCGTCACAATCAGCAGAAGTCCCTATCACAATCTAAATATTCACATCACATTTCTAATGTCAGTCCTCATATGAGGGAGACAAAACTAGTGTAAACTCTACAGCAGCAATTTATCAATCTTAAACAAACCGACTGTTAAGCTGATCACAATAAGAGAAAAATGAACAGCCATTGTGAAATTATTAACTATAAAACGTATACAAAGTTTATTTGAATATTTAATCCAACATACAAGCCCGATTTGTTGTAATGAGTGAATACAGAAAAGGACTGTACAGTATTAGACTGGCGCTTGAGGTGAAAAATGAGGTGGATGGAATCGATGCAGCAGAGCTTAGAAATACTAAAGCTGTCAGTGAAAAAAATCATCTCCTGCTAGATAGGAAACAATAAATTTAATTTACGCAACTACAGAGAAGGGCAGACTGGATAATGTTTGTCAGTTTAGTATTAAAGGTCGTTGATTTTTTAGGTTAGGAGGATTTTTTGTCTCTATGATAGTCATGGTGCTACTTTGAGTCAAATTACAAATTTATTCAACAAAAAAAAATGTCACAAAATATAAATAACAGTTTTGTAGAGGCTGGTTAAGGCTGATTTCTGCGTTTAAACCACTGATTGATCTCAAGCCCCAATCTGAATGCTAAACTAAGCCAACCAGTTTATCTGCTGGCTCCATTTTTTAATCTTTAATTTTTTATATGAAACTTTTCATCGAACTCCCTGCAAGAATGAAAAAGAGCGTATTTCACACGATGTCAAACTCTTCTTTGAATGATGGTCGATCAGCAGAAGTTTAAAAGGACAAAAAAGGGGGCTGGTTCGACGTCAGTGAAAGGCAGCAGAAGAGCAACATTTTCAACATGACAATAAAGAGACCTGGCATAGGAAGCCCTGAGCTGGCTAAGTGCTATCAGCAAAGTGATACTATGAAGAGGGGGCATACACTAGAGAGGCAAAAGGCTGGATCATTTAAAAAGAGCATGTCAGTTCTGTAGTCGAGACAACCATAAGCAGAGAGGCTGGAGGCTTCCTACAGACCTCTTCAGGGTCACATTCACACAGTGTTAAAGGGAGACGCCTTTTCAGAGTTGATTGGTAGCTTGTGCTTGTAGGAAACGATCCGAAGAAAAAAGTAAACTGTATCATGCGACCGTGAGATGAAACAAAGAAATGCACAAAAATTAGGTTCCGTGTTTGCATTCATTGTTGTTCCAGCTGCTCACAGCTGCGTCAGTTTTCCCTGAATTACAGCTCAATCCTGAAGCGATGCAGTCTGCTGCCAGCGAACATGTCAGCGTGTCTACAGTACGCACTACAACACAGCATGTCTCTATCGCAGCGTGGCACATTGGAGGAGATGTGACAGTCTTTCAAGTCCTGGTTTGGCTTCTCTGCTCTGTCCTTTTGTGAACGTGCAGTTCCTGCTCTGAGGCACTGGGGGGCGATGATGAGCGGCACAGACAGTGAGCCTACAGGTCCTTAACAGCAAACTAAGAGGGGGCAGTGATATCTTGGGGAGAGGAAAAAGCTTTGGTGTTGAATGAGTTCCACAGTTGAAGGATCGAGCACATGGAGCGAGTGGGCAGAAGTGCGATGAACATGACAAGAGGAGGTGAAGAAAGAGGAAGAAAAGGAGGAGGAGGAGGAGGATCGTCAGTGAGTCTTTAACTTGGTGTGCTGTGAGACCTGTTCTGTCAGGCTGGCTTTGATGGAGTTCACCACCGTCTGTCTGACGTTGTCTTCCATATAATGTTCACTTAACGGCTTCAGAACCTGCAGGAGAGGAGACAGAAAGAGGATTTTATTTTTGCTGGGAGTCAAATAAACACATCCAGAACAGCTCGATTGTAAAAAAAGGGGGCAAAGAAACTGAAACAAAGAGGGTTAGGGGAGAAAAACCTCAACAATAATCAACAAAAACTGAATAAAGTCTCCAACATGCCAACCACAGAAACTCAACTAAAGCTTCTCAAGATTCACAACTGAGCAAAACCTCTTCAACAGAATAAAAACATTTGGAAATTAGACATCAGACATTTAAGACGTGTAAAAACCGTTTCCGTAGGCGTCAAGTCCACAAGATCCTGAGATGAGACGGACCTGCCAGTGTTAGAAAACACTCAGAGGAAGCCCAGGGCTAAAGCAGAAGAATCCAGCACCACTAAACTGACTGAAAAAAAACAAAACAAAGAAGAAGCCTGCGAACTGCAGAGGTGTCTACGCAAGAGCCAACTTTAAGGGTCTGACACCCGCCAGTCGTCCAGCAGCAGCTAGTTACTCCTCTTGTAGTTGTTGTTGAGAGGAGTCAGAGCTCTAAGGCCAAGTGTTGCTCCTGATGGGAGAGAAGGGAGGAGAGAGACAGGAAAGGCCAGGCGCCTCCTGACAGGCTCCAGCAGTTTGGAAAACACCTGAGAGGACAGTGAAGGGGGAACGAGAGAGTTAACAAGTCAAGCAAACAAGACAGGAGAGGAGATGAGATCAACAATGGGTAAAGTGATGGAGACAGCCAAGGAGAGATACAGCAGAAGAAAGAGGGCGAACTGTGAGTTGTAGGTTTTGAACCATACAAAAAGGAATGATGTAGAATCCAGTAGGAGGAGGTGAGGGCGGAAAAAGTAAATTGACACGAGGTAGGACATAAAAATGTCGGGCTGCAGATCAGAGAAGTGACAACTCTCACCTTTCTGACCATCTTCTGTAGAGCACAAGGAGGGAGGGAGAAAGACAAGAGCAGAGGAATAAAGGGAGACATGAAGGGGGACACAAAAGATGTATAACACATTTTAGAAACAAGCACACACTGATTTCAGGGTTCTCAGGTTCAGTCTGCAGGTCAAAGCCCAAGGGAGCGATGAATGAATGAATGAAGGGGAAATAAAAGTAGAAGAGAGGAGGAAGAGGCGGAGGTCAAACAGTGGCTCCTTTACTTAAGTCGGATGGATGATAGCATGAGAGGATGAAGACAGAGTGGAGAGGAAATAAAAACTCATGACAGGACTCTGAAAATCAAAACGGTGAAAATGGGAAAATGAAGGAAGTTTCAAAGTTAAATCAAAAGCAGAAAGTACGCAAACACAGACTTTGTGTTGATGTATCCCCTTGTAAAGAAACGCTGGTTTAAAAATATATCATTCATGTAAAAACTGTGTGTAATCTTTGTTTCCTAATCCAGCTTTGACAAAATTTATCACAGGTTCTCTTAAATCTAAATCCTCTTTAAGTGGGATCATGTTTGGCGGTATAACAAAGCCCGTCACACGAACACAACGAAACCAAAAGGACTCCAACTTACTACATCATAAGATATTAATACCTCCACCCTCCTCTCAGGTTCAACACCCACCTGTTCCCAGAGAGTCTCAGCCACCTCGTCTATCAACGTCCCCACCTCCCGAAACTCTCCGGAGTATTTCACATACGCCCAGGCGCAGAGCGACAACAGCGCCATGCCCATCACCAGGTTGGCTAACGCTGCGAAGGTGCTGAGGCCGATGAAGCCCGTCACCCCTGACACCACGTAAGTGACGAACATGACTGCGAAAAGTGTGGCGGGGGTGCGCGCGGCGTAGAAGATGTTTTTGCCGTCGTTGTGTTTGGAGAAGTTGACGTAAGCCTCGTCCAGCTCCGCCTCCAGCTGGTTCTGGTAGCGCTGGCAGAACTCATCGCCGCCCATTTTCTTTACAGAGCGGAAGAAACGGACCGAGTGCTCGCGGAACTCCCCGTGGCAGCGCTCCAGATCGGTTGGGGCGATGTACGGCTTGTCCCCGCCACAGACCTGAGAAGACAAGATAAGACAGTGTTCAGAACAGAGGAGGGTGGAGTCAGTCTTTGTAGCAACATGACACTCAAATACGACATGAATACAGCCACATATGACCATTGTTGGCTTTTTGACAACAAAACTGAACAATCAATCACTGGTGGCTTGTAAAAACTAAACTTAGATTTGATGTGAAATACACAGTAACAAATGCAATTCCTTTCCAAATCATATAGTTTTAACAGCATAAATGTTTAATGTTCATTCTAGTAATAGATGTGACACTGGGATATAAACGAAAAAGAAGAGATTTTGTCAAAAGTCTCACATAGAGAAATGTAAAATGCAAATTCCTCATCTTAGGAATAAAACTGTTTAACTAAAAGATTTTCAAACCGGCAAGACTTTCTACTAATCTTTATTTTTTTTAATCTATTAGTATGCAGCTCTCTTCATGTGTCCAAAATCATTTTCAGATGATTATTAATCTACAGTGACACCTGGTGGTCTTAAAGGGATATTCCGGCATAAAATTAATTTAGGGTCAAGCACACCAAAACACCGAGTTAGACACCCCCTCAAGAGGCGGCTTAAGGGGATATTTCTTCATTGAAATGCAATCAGACTGAGATACCAAGGCAGAAGAACTACCGCGTCTACTTCAAGGAAATGATAAAGTAATGATCAAAAATGTTCTTCCTTGAGCTGTGTCACCCCGCAGCGGTCCATAATGGACTGGCCTGAGGTCTCCGTACAAACAAGCGGCTGCAGGAAGAGAGAGGGTGAGTTGTGTTTAGTCTCTTCACTGAACAAAAATCAGGCAAAGTTAAAAAGATGTTTGGTGTCTAGTACTATGGCTGGGACCCTATATGTACTGTTGATGAAGTTAGGTGCTGTTCTGAGCATTATTTGTGGCTATAGAGTGGCGTTTTGGTTGAGGTTTGTTTATGGCTCCTCAGACTGCTGTGTATTGCTATCGTGCGGTCGTTACTAAAGTTGGTACAACTAGAGAAGCAAGCGGCTGGCAACATTCATCTCTTGAGGGGGTGTCTAACTTGGCGTTACGGTGTGTTTGACCCTAAATTAATTTTACACCGGAATATCCCTTTAAGCCGCCTTGGTGTTTTTGATGTGTTCACATCTAACAGCATGGCTTTACCTGCTCCATGCTCTTGCTGTACATGTCTTTGGCTCCTGCCACAGCGGTGAGATTGTTGGCTTCTGCAGTTGCCTGAAGAAAAAAAAAACAACACAATGAGATCAGGAGAAAAGGGTGACTCAGAAGAAATAAAACCTGTCAGTTTTGAGACAGAAACCAACCTGCAGCATGGACTTAGGGTGAGGCAGTTCCTCCCCTTGGTAGATCTTGATGTAAGCCTGCAGGGAGGTACAAACATGGATGAGGTAATCATAATCTGTTAGCTGAAAAGTTCTAAACCTTTTGCTGCGTCTTAGATCTAAAGAAGTACAGTAAGTTGACATAGCTACAGGGTTTAACTTCATTCTATCAATCAATCTGGAAACGATTCAGTTGAATGAATCCTGCGGCACCTTGAAGTACTCCAGAAGATCTCTGCAGGTGACTTTGTTGCCCCCGATCTCCTTCTCCACCAGTCTTTCTGGAGCGAGCAGCAGAGGCACCAGCTTGGCCAGGTACTTCTTAAAATCCCCGTCGATGTCTGAAACACACAGACAGACAATAACAACTTATCCTCTGCAGTCTGACAACTCTGGCGACTTCAGTAACTTTTTCTGTTCTCTGTCTTAGATTTCTCACCCTTCAGCCTGCCATCAAAGTAGGGGTTGGTGGCCACCTTGAGGCCGGGATGTGGCAGAAGGAAGCAGCCAATGTTGGAGAAGCAGGAGTGGATGTGCTTCCTCACATTCTGCAGCTCCTCGTGTTGGTTCTGTTTCACCTGTGTCAGCAGAAAACATCTCATTCTAACAAAGACAGTGTGTCTCTCTCTTAAGTGCTTTCATGTTTAAACATGTGACACGCCGAGTAAATATGCTCATGTGTCACCTAACGATGACAGAGTGCTCTGAAACATAATAAAGACTTACGGTGCGTTGAACAGGAAGAGCGAGTGTGTGAGCAGCTGCAGAGACAACTTTGAACTTGATTTTAAGTCGTAAGTCTTACCTGCAGTCTTCTGTCCAGGAAGCAGTTGCCTCCCTTCAGTCCGTATTTGTGTTCATAAGGATAACTCCAGTCTCGAATCAGGAACATCAGGGACTAAAATGCAGCAACGTAGAGACACATTCAGTTTGATACCAAGGAAATACTTAAACTGAAGACAGACAGACTAAATATTGACCGACTGTCCTACCTTCACTATTTACAGTTTAATTTGAAAATCTTTCATCAAGAACACATGACCCTCTCTTTAACCACACAAACAGAACTTTAAACAGAGCGTTACTGCTGTCACCAGTTACCAATTTTTAGATGAGGCTACTTGGACTGAAGCGGGATCACCAGTTAAATATCATGGCAAACAGAGACGCTACGAACGAAACAGAAAATAAAAAGGAAGAGGATCAAATCTTTTTGCAAATTTTTAATCGAGACCTGAACTGCTGAAAATATTTAACTTTTTTTTTCTGAGACAACCTTCAATGATTTGCAGGTTTGTTCCTTGCCAAATTTTGGAGAACCATTAAGCTCTGCTACAAAGTAACCAGCCTTAAACCTGATTTATACTTCTGAGTCAAATCCACATCAACTGAACATCGCAAACATAAAACCTGCATCTCTGACGTCTCCTGTTCTTCTTTGCGACAACTTCAGTATGATCAACTTCTGCTCAAACACTCATCAGCTCCGACTCAAACATACCTCGCCTGGTTTTAGTTCCCATGATTTATTGTACAGAAAACAAGAGACTGTAGCAGAACTGAAAACTGCTGATTCGACTAGTATTGAAATTGCAAAGTCAACCGGGGTTTAGATTGAGTATTGTAAAGCAATCCGCACAACTATGAAGTGAGATCAAGAACGCAGCTACCACATAGAGTCAACACTCAACTTTAAACCAGGATGTACTCTCATTGATCTATAGTCCCTGTGTGAAGGCAAGGTTATCTACCTGGTATCAGTGTGGAATAGTGTTGGGCTGTATGACGGTATATACTGTGTGAAGGTATAAAAGTGTCTACTGGTAGCAGATGTCTGCGCTTGCTAACAGGAAAGCCAGAGCGCGGAGATTGTGGCAAAAAAATACTATGCAAAGAGTGTCGTGTGGCTGTTGTTGCTGGAGGTAGAAACACCAGCAACCTCTTCCACCACGTAAAGATGAAACACGCCAAGCTCTATGATGAGAGCCAAAAGATGTGTGGCGCACCTGCTGCACCAAAAGCTAAAACTGCAGCAGCTCCTCTCACAGAGTGGTGGTTGAGTCCTCTCAAAGGTGACACAGAAAGCCTTGGGTCATTTTCGTTCTATCTGCTCTCTTTACCACTCATAACTGAAAATAACTTTTTTTTATTCAAAGAATCTATCGAAGAAGAAGAAGAAGAGTCTCAAAGAAACAACTGCTGTAATCACCTGGAAAGGTTTCAGGTAGATCTCCTCCATTGCCAGTCGACCATACTCTGTGAAAAGCTGCAGATGACAGAAACATTAATGGTGGTCAGACTGCAGAAGCTCCTCTGACAGACTGGAGTGCAGTGAGGAGGAGGAGGAGAATGGACACCAACCTGCAGATGCTGCAAGTCGTCTTCCTGGATGTTCTGGGAGAGATTATACACCTGAAAACAAAAAGACACACTTCATGAGACATGACTGGTGACGGAGGAGGAAGAAATGGCTCATTACCCTTATTTTTTTAACCTCTCACCTGTACAGAGCTGGTCATTGTGCTGAGGGCAAACACAGTAGCACAGTCCTTGATGGTGGACTGGCTGTCAAAAGCTCCCTGAGTGTCCACAAGGAGCACAGCCACCTGAGAAGATATGAAAGTTATCATATCGCACACTGACAAATTCAGCTTTAGGGTATCTTTTTAGCTTACTTGTAAACCACAGAACTAATGATATACTACCTTGCTGCCATCAGGCTTGTCAACCACAAAGACTTCGCTCCAGATCTGGATTCCTGTGGTCTCCCTCTCGCAGCCTCCTCTCCAAGTGAACCCTGTCAGCGGTTCATCATCACCTCCCATCCAAGAATCACTCTGCAGAAGTGGGAAAGAGGGAGGAGAGTGAGACGAGATGAAACGCTGGGAGAAAGCAAGACTGGTAGGGAGAAACCACAAAGACGGAGCAGCCAAAAGGCAAGAATGTGGTGGAGGAAGGAGGAGGTGAAAAAAGGGCTCTGTAGTCCGGCAAAGTTGGGCTAACTTGTTTTTATTTTGGGTGAAGTAAAGATTTGTTTAAAGTGATCATTGTGCCCTTATTAGTTTTTCTTTTTGACCACAAAGTTTCCACATCCTGTGCAATTTGTGAAGGATTTGTTCTGCACATCAATATTCCTGACACAAAAATCTCCACCTTTAACATGCAGTGGGATCAAAGTTAGCACTGCAAGTCGACCACACTCTGATAAACCATATATAACTAACTTCTCATCTCTAAAAGGCTGACTGAGAGAGTCTACTGTTTAGGATGGCCATCATCAGACTTTGGTTTGAAGTCTGTGCTCCTGACTTCTCCTTTGAAATTTGCGTCCTTGTAGCATTGTGCACAACTTACACAACAGTTAAACCATCAACCACATTTTGCAGAGTGAAAAGCACACTCACAGTTTAAACCACACTACTGGCAACCTTGAAGACAGAGAAATGAAGCCAAAGAAGTGCTGCCAAAAGAAAAGTGCAAACCCTCTACTGACCACTCCAGACTTTGTCCACTGGGAATTTCATGTCCTTGAACCTCATTTAAAAAATGTCCCATCTAAGTGCAGATTTAAACATATCTGCACCACATAAAATACACTGCTTTTGCTTACATAGCTAGTTTCCTCTTTCAAAGTAACAGACAGTGTAACGTTGATTTTCAATTAGAGTTGAAGGTTTTAAGTTTAGCCTAGCGAAGGGTAAAGCAGCTTTGATTCACAGGTAAGTGCTTCTCTGTGAAGCAGCCAGAAAGTGAAGTTGACATCCCAGCTTTGTTTGTGTTATTGGTGCATTGCGATATTTGTGTCTAGGGCTGGGTGATTAACAGAAATTTACCGATACCAAAAATTTTGACAATTACTGTCATTTTGCCCATTAATGGTATATTCGGTGTCAAATAAATAAAAGTTGGTTTTGGATGTGTGTGGGTAGGCTATGGTCTCATGTCCCTTTGAGACACTGTCCTACGTCAGAGACGTGACTCCACCTCATCTAGTCCATAACAAAGAGGGAAAAACAGGTGAGGAGATGGAGGACGGTTCAAAAGTTGTAGCGGCTGAAGTAGACAAAGTAAATGTGGGAGAGGGTGAGCAGCTTGTGGAGTAGTTATCACCGTGAACTGCACAATATATCGCGATATTGATTTGAGGCCATATCGCCCTGCCCTATTTGTGTCACATGAATAGGAGTTGGGTCAACTTGCAGTCAATTAAATTTGGCTACCTTTGGCCCAGGGAAAGAAAAAAAAAACTGTCAAGTAAAGAGTCCATATATGCATTTTCTATGAATTAATGAATTACTAGATTTAAATATTCATTATCTAATTAAATTGTCATATTTTATGAACTTTTGTAAAATATATATAAACACTGAGGGTAAATTTTGAGTAACACCATGTACATTAAAAACATGTCATTGGTTTTCTACAACTCTTCGTGGATTTATGGTGATCATGATATTAAAAAGAGAGCTTCATCTGCACAGCAGCATAGAAAATGCAGGCAACCCATCAGTATAAGCTTGTTTTTGCAAACTCACTAAAGGAAGTATCTTCTGGTTGAACCAGGATGAGATTTAAAGAGGGACACAGACTCACCTGTGTGTCTGCTGATGTCCTGTCCCTGCTCCAGGCTAAACATGAGAATAACCTGTATCCTGCAACACTATGAAACAAAATGATGGCTGTTGTGTCCTTTGTCTACTTTTGGAACTTTTGTTTAACCACCTGAGAGGACAGTGAGGATTACCAACTTCTAGTTATTTCGTTATTCTGGGGGTTGCTGGTTAATGAAATGAAAAACAGACCCGAGGGAGCAGTAGTTTTGTAGCACAGAGGCTTCAATTTAAGACGAAAACTGAAGCATATGAAAGAATCATCATCTGGGTTAAACAGTTTATTGTCTTTAAACCTGTAAGTCATTAAAAAACCCTCATCATAAAAAGATTTGAAACACAGATCGGTTCAAGTAAAAGCTTTGTTATTATGACCTTGTCTGTGTTTCCGACAGTGAATCAGAGAAACCACTGACCATAAGCAGGACGTGTAAAAGGAAGCTTCACAAACAAATACCTGCTTTGTTAGGCAAAGTGTGTATGAACATTGATTATCTCTCACAACCACACAAATACATGCCTCATACCACCATCCTACAACACAGCAAACGATCACTGAGGCTTTGACAGGTGATCAATAACACTGAATACTTATGATCACCAGCTCATATGAATGCCAATAGTTGTACCAGCAAACAGCTGTGAGACTGGGTCATAACAATCCTTTATTCATCCTCTGTGCGTGTGTGTGTTCAAGTGTGTGTGTGTGTGTGTGTATGCATATAAGAGTGTGTTTGTGTTGAACTGAGTATGTACAAGTGTGTGTAAGGTGATCCAGGCGGATTCTGTGTCCAGCTGCCACCAGAAAGTTGGAAGGACTAGTTGCAACTTTTGTTGACCTAAGTCACACAGTTGTCTGTAGGAGACACTCAAGAAGGCGTGTTCATGCGTCTGTGTTTTCATAGACATTATTCAAATACCAACCCAGAGCACAAATTAGGATTATTCCTTCAAACTCTTGGAGGTAATCCCTTGAACTTTGGCTCTTATCCCATAAAACCAAGTAAACCGCTCCGAGACCAGTCAATCCACTCTGTCATGTCTCACTTTCCTGTCTGCGTAATAGTCTCAGTATGAGACCAAACAGGATGCACTGGTCTTTGCCTGTCACATCCAGGTGCACATGCCTGAACTGGTTGTAATGCCATCTGCTGCACTGGATCATCAAGCCCTCCTGCTCTAAAAATCTGTTGCTGAAGAGACGGTGCCAGTGTTTGAATGAAAGATGAGCTGTGAAATGTTAACTTAGAACTTGTAAACAAACGTTCAGCAGAGGACTCTCGGATTTAAAATGTCTATTTCAATAGCTGTGCGTTTGTAAGAAGCTTTTGCAATAGTTTGACAGATCAGACTCCTCATATCTATTAAATTAACTCTGTAGCAGTGAAAGCTATCTCTAAAGATTCACCGGCTACATAAGTATTCAACCCAGGGTATACAAAGAACTAACTGGATGTTGTTGCTTTTCTTGCCGCAGGAATATCTACTCTCTTACCTGACGGTGCATGTAACGCAGCATGAAGTCCAGCAGAAAGGATTTTCCTTTGCGGAAGGCCCCCGCCACAGACACAACCACCACGTTCAGGTCCTTCACGTGATCCTGCAGCAGGATCTTCTCCAGCGCTGCAGCGTCTAGCTCAAAGCTGTGCTCATCCTCGTTGGCCAGAACAATCTGGATGGGTTTGTCCTTCTCCTCTTCGACCAAAACCTGACGACAGAGTGTGGAGTTCATTTTCGGCTTTCTCTATCATCTAAGACAGACTGATTAGATTGTGATGACATGAGCTTAATAAAGGGAGACTAGAGAGATAATAAAGGGGAGCTCAAAGTGGAGCAAGAGCTACAAGTAAATAAATGAATAAAAACCCTTTTTGTCAAAATGAGTCATCTCTTCTAGACTGAGCCGTTATGCAGCCTTGTTTTTTCTTCTTTGACTTCCATGAAATGCTATGATGGTTTGTAACTAGTGACATCCTCTACCAGCCCACTCTGCACTTGAGTTTTACCATTTTTTTTCAAGATTTCCCATTATATCGAAAACAATACATAATTTCATTCAGAAGGAAAAGTGAGTGTTTTTTGTCACTTATTTGTTGACATACGAACAGGGCCAAAGCTACTCCAATGTTAAGATTTTTAGGCTTCTTTCAGATTTTAACTGAATGCTCATAATTCTGAAAATCAATTATTCCAGATCCCTTCAGCCAGGACTTCCAAAAGGTAAAATAAAAACAGCAGTTAAAGAAACAAAACAGAGACTGTACATCATAAAAACTCTATATCTTTGGCCATTGCAGAATATAAAAACACAGCAAATCTCACCTCTTCTTCCTGAATCTCCTCATCTGGTGAGGGGGTGAGGGAGGCATTTTTGCCTGAGTTTGAGTTTGGGATCTGAGGAAGAAAATTGTCCTCGAAGTCTTCAGGCCTGGCTAAAGGAGGCCTCTGCTTATGTCGAAAAATGGGGACATCTTCCACACCGCTCAAACCTTTAGGAGTAAGCAGAGGGAGAAAGATCAAATTACACAGGTTAGATAACATCCGGCTCTGAGTTAGTGTTTAGACAAAAGCTGAAGAGGGAGAAGAAGATAAATGTGGAAAAGGGCCAAGTGGAGAGACCGTATACTATGTTTTCAAGGTATAATCTTTCCATGGTTATATATTTTTCAGCTTCAGGGGAGGGTGGCTATCATTCTGAGAGGTACAATAAAAAGTAAAACGCCAAATTTGTGGTTTGCTCGCAGACAAGGAGCTTCCTGTGCTGGACAAAAAAACTGTTATCCACTTTGGTCGGCACATCTAGGTCAAGCTCAAAAATAGCAAAGTGCAGAAAGTCACAGAGGACCAGCAAAGGGATGCTGGGAGGACGGCATATTCACATTCTTCTGCTGTCATTTCTGTGGTAGTCTGTTTTAAATCTAAAGCACATGTTTTCTGTTAAACTGCAGGATTCCTGTCTTCATGCCACAGAACCTCATGTGCAGCGTTCGCAGTGTGCTGAACCCGGAGCACACAGAACTTTAGTATGGCTTGTTTTTTCTATGCGCTCACACTGCTCACTTATAACCCCTACATTGCTTAATTGATAGATTAACTTGTTCAAAAACATCTGTAACTGGTAAACCTCCGATTGAATTCGACTGGTCTTAAACTTCAAAACTGGAAACACTGTTGTTGTTTTTTTATTTTGTTTTCTTTTTGTTTTAAGTCAAAACTCTCCAGACTTCAATGGAATAAACCAGCGTTTTACTTCTGAACTGATCCTTCAATGTGACTAAACTGCATTTCAACTTCCAAACATTTCATAGTTCACCATTATTTCTACAAGGCTGCTTGAAATAATGCTTCATCTTTAAAAAAAAATATCCCAACAAGCTGACCTTTGCAGGTACAGAGGTGACTCCCCGGTTAATGCCAGGATTAGGATGGCACTCCCTGAAGTATGAGCTGGAGATTAAAAGTGGCAAACCTTTGGCCAAAAACCTAGCTCAGAATCCACTGAACAAGTTGGATGACAATTATTAAGCATTAGTCATTTAAATATTTCATGTATTAAACATTCATGATAGACGCGGGTTCACACCAATTAACAGGACCAAGCCTTTTTTTTTTTTAAAATGACTGCCTATATGTCTGTGTTCACTGTAGGCTGAAAACTTTGACTTAATAAAGCGGTAAACAATCAGAATGATCTCAGAGACAAACCAAAAACTGTAAACTAAAAGATTAAAACTAGGGCTGGGCGATAAAATGATAACAATATATATAAAAAATTAATTTCCCTCGATATCAATATAGAACATGGTCAATATAATTTTTGATAGTCTTCATTCAGCCGTGTTTTGGTAGACTACACGAATAGCCATCGAAAAGGGGAACGAGCTGAATTAGAACCAAGTAGCAAACAACTGTGAAGTAGCAGGGTGCAGCTACACACAACTATAGCACTTTAACCCGTGAAGCCGACAGCACTGTCGGTGAGAAAAAAAAACAAAATGAGTGCTACCCTCTACAGAAATGCAGATGAAGAACATGAAATGATGAAAACATCACTTGTGTGGAGGCCTTTTGATTTTTGAGGTCGGACATGAAGCAGAATAATGTGCACTGCAAATTATGTCGAGCGAATTTCATTTAAGAGTAACAGGGAACATTTAATACTAACAAGTATTTTTTAATATCATGATGCATATCAATATTTACTGATATGGAAGAAAATATATATGACGATAAACTTCTTCCCTTACCACCCAGCCCTAGTTAAAACACAGTCACCTTTATTTACTGGCACTAGAGTTACCAGTTGCTTAAACAAAGTATCAGTAGTTCTGCCCTGAAATGCTAGTATAGTGTTGCCGGTGACCTGTTGCTGCTCTGATGCTGTAATACTCCACCACCTGGATGTAAACAAACTTAGCTAACAGATGACACAATAACACCTCAAGGTTTAGCATTTTGATCCAGTAAACAGAGATCTGGTGGTATGTAGACTGTGTTTGGTTTAACTGGGATGAAACCACTTGACTGGGAGCAAAGCTTAACCAGTACAGACATGTACTTGCATGTCAACATGTCAGGAGGGCTGAAGGCTGGTCGAACAGTTTGACATTGTTTACACACAGACTGTTTTAATAAGTTATGATCGATTCTGGCTATTTTTTTGTGTGTTTCTTCCCAACCTCTACTCTAGTAGTTCAGTCAGAATTTTAATTTCTGTCAAAACAACTCAGATATTTGTCACTCTGGGACATTACTCACAATATCAGTCACAAACAAGCTCACAGCTAACACCTTTTTTAAATCAGGTCCATGATTAATCTTTCTCCAACTAGTTATGCAAAATCTGACTTGGACTGCACCTACTTTATTCAGTTTTTGGACTGATTTACTTCAGCCTGGGGTGTTGCTCTAACTAACAGTCCAAACTTCTGAAAAGAGCAGCACAACAAAAACACTACTCTACAGCAATGAGTCCACCAATTAGATTCTCACCAACACCATCATTTAGTCACTGACTTTGTTTGGTCATTTAGTGCGAGTTTCTTGTTTTGAAGCAGACTCAGCACCGATAGCAGCTGGCACTGGATACCGTCAAAGCCCTGCACCATTTCAAGGGAGAAGGCGAGCAGTTCTGACCATATATTGAGATGAAGGATTAAGGCAGTCTAAGATAGTCCTGAAGGTGACACAACTTCCAAAGCAACAGCAGCACTGCATGTAAGGAGAGGAGGTACAGTGATCTGCTCTGCACACAAACTAGCTATGCACATTTCCTCAGCCTGTGGAGGTGCGGGGTCCCCCTAAAGTCCAGAGCAGCTCTCAGCAGGATGAAGTGGCAACTGCACTGCAGCCACAGAGGCGACCCACACAAAGACACTATTCTGCTGGGACTGCGAGGACCCTGTACCGCAGCAGAATGTGTGTGACAGACATACACAATAAACGAGCAGAGAAAAAAAACATTAACTGTGCACACACACTGCTGGAGCAACACTTCATGATAAAGTGGGCAATGCCCTGTCCTTCTCCTCAGCTTGCAGAAAATGAGGGCAGAACTAAAATTAGCTGCATTAGAGCTTATCGCAGAGTGACTCTAAGCAGAGGCTAACTTGCCAGTATGTTTTTCTTCCCAAACACGCACTAAAAAGGGACGGGGTGAATTTGTACAGTTTTTCACATAAGCAAACAATTGTGTTGAGGTTTGCATCCCCTCAGTACTCAAGGGGTCTATCTTTAACCAAGCAAGTCAGGAATAGTGTGAGTCTACCCTACATCTTAGCACTGCGTCCCAAATCAGCTCTCCCCTCCCTGGACTCCTGAGCTATATCTGAGGCACGCTTTGATAAGGCCATGGTCCACTTTACTTCACCAGCTGTCCAAATATGGAAAGTTTGTGCTTTAAAGACACTTCTTAAAGAAGTGTGCTCGCTGTGAGGCAGAGGAACTTCACAAATCTTTGGGAGAAGAACCAAGTCAAACTGGTTAGACGGAGAGAAATATTTTGCAAGCAGGATTATGATACAATATCCACGAGTGACTTGTTTGTTGCAAGAGTTCAAACTTTTTTTTAAATTTGAATTGCAAAAAACAAAACTTTTAAAAACTATTTCAACATAAAAAGTCCAATAGAGACCAGCAATCCATTAGGATGTTTTAAGATTCAGGTACACTGACATCCCTGCAAACCAGTGCTTGAAGACAACCTGATATGGCCTCCCTGGATAAGAGTCAAGAGGGGCAAATGTTCAGCTGCAACGAGTGGACCAATGAGGGAGTCCGTGAGGACAAAGTGCAGATTAAGAGCCGTCGCTGTCACTGAATGTTGCGGCTGAAGAGTCAGCAGGCTTGCATGAAAGTAAACACAAGGGTTATCATGATAAGTGACTCGGGATACGATCTCAGTGAGGAACCTTCAAGGCCGACTATTAACCATTTCATTTACAGGCTTAGACAAATTAGTGAAAGCTATGTGCAGAGTCTGGTTTGTTTGGGTTGCTCATTTCCTGCTGTTATATTGGCAGAGGAAAACTATGTCAGACTGTTTTTCTCTATTTGTATTGGCAGAGTGTAATGGGCCTGTATTGATTCTTTTTTAAAGTAGGGCACTTGCTATCTAAGTTACAACTTGTGCCAACTTTTCTGGAGAAAATCAACTAATAATCGTGTCAACAAGCCCAATGTGAAATTTAAACCAACCATCACAAAAGCAAGAGTTATTTCATGTAAAGTACAGCAAATCAAGCAGCGACTGTTTACATCCAAAGAGCAGAAAACAAAAGTTAATGACCCCTTTTGCTGGATTAGACAAATTTCAGAGTGTAGCGTGTATTTAACCAGAAGTCATGCCTAGCTCGTTCCGAGTCTAATCGGTAATCAGCCAAAACTCGCCGATTTTCGCCAATATTTTCAGAAATAAATGCGGAGAATAAGATTCGGTTTCCCTTCGAAAATGTTCTGCTATTTGAAAAGTCCCCCTACTTATCCTGTAGATGGCACAGCGACCTCATGACAATCTTCATCCACTAACTACCTCCCAGCACAGCAGAGTGACTGAGTTTCAAGTTTACAAGTTTCAGTTCAACCCACTTCACGATGCTCCCTGCTGTGCTGGTCTCGGTCACGCCGAGTAAACGGTGAAGCACCATGTAATATGCGAGCTAAAGTTAGAGTTAGCCATCTGCTATTAGCCTTGCTACACTGTTAGCCGTGCCAGTAACGGTAGAATATACAACAGTACACATTATGTGATCGAGCTACTTCTTTTACTGAGGCAGCTGCATGTCTCCAGATGAGACCGGACCGTATATGTGTAACGTGAGTCAAAACGCGGAAGCACGGATCGGCGCAGGGGGTAGTTTAAAACGCTTTTCTGGTCTGAGTTTGATCAGTCGGTCTTCCTGTTGGCGTGAAGAGCAGTAGCCTACAGTATAGTATACTTTATCTAAAATATATATATATATATATATATATATATATATATATATATATATATATATATAACTTCATTAAAAAAAATAAAAATTGTCCGATTATTCGGTAATCAGATTTTTTTCCCCCTAACAATTGGTATCGGCCCCAAAAATCCATATCAGTTGGGCCCTAATCATGCCATTACACTGCTTTAGCTCCAATGTAAGAATCTTGCTGTGACAGTTTCAGAGACTTTAGACAATTTAGGCTTGAAATCCTTTGCGAAAAAATATGTTTTACTTTATAAATCCTAATACCTGACTAAATCACATCCTCATGTCTAATCAGCCTGTCAACTTACATGCAGTGTTACCAAGCAGAAGTCAGAGGCCACAGCAACATTGAAGGGTTTATTAGCCCTGATCAGTTTTATATCCTTATTTGACACCAATAGCAAATTAAATAACTGTATTTCTTTTTAATATGAGCAATAGGAAACTAAATCCTGGAACAGCCTACACTGGACCACACCTATTTGATAAGAGGACCACAGACTTCTTCAATTTGATTTACAAGGACAGATGAGACAAGATTTATACAAAATTACCACTTTTAAGATTTTTCTTTTCATTTTTTCTAATAGATAGAAACTAACAAACAAACAGACTCGTGTAAATATTTGCAAGGGCTAGTATTTCCTTTTTAGATGAACTTGAAAAACTGCACACCTTTCTTTTCACGAGCTGTGCCTGTTACATACACAGCAATTATGTTTCAAAGGACAAAATATGCCTTGTTATTGCGTGCATAAGTCTGCTTTCGGACAGTACAGGCTAATAATAGAGTATTTAAATATATCCCAGTCATTAGTGGGATGAGAAGATTAAGGTAGATGTGTAAGTGAGGCTGAACCCCCGTCACAGGAAACTGTATTACAGCGGACAGTTTCAAAGTTCGGAAACCACGCAGCTGAAGCCAATACACGGTGACTGCGGAGAGACGAGAAAACCCGAGCAGCTGCTGGTCCTCGATGGACCGAGAGAAAGTGACATCCAGAACTAACAATTTGATCTGACAGGTGTCGGGTTCAATGAAGTATCCGGGTCACAATCACTTTCAAATAACAGCTTTTCAAGAAGAGGGAAACGTGTCTCTACTTTAAGAAAACAGACACCGGTGAGCAGGTTTCCACTTTGGAGAGTTATCGTACTGTTTTATACTTTTAAAAGTATATCCGTGAAGTGTGGGGGGACATATTCTGGCAGGGGTGCCACATTTGGCAAAACAGCGCGGGTCCCCCCCTCAACTGAAAACACCAGCGTCAGGCTAACGGAAAGCGAGAGTTTGTCACTCACAAAGACGAAGACGACAGAATTAAAAGAAAAACACTTTTTAAATCTTTCCCAGCTTCGTCCTCCCCAACATGTCACTACCACAAATCCACAGCACACAATTAAAAACATTTTACCTTCGCTAACAGCTCGGTTTTTGCAGTTGGGCTCGATGTGATTTCTGCTCCTCAACCCGCTCACCTCCGCCATCTTGGACTACTGAAACCTAACGTGGCTGACGTCAAAGAGGCTTTTTTCTTCTCACGCTGTCTGTCTGTCTGCTCAAGTCCGGGACGCCCCGAGGCGACGGCCGCAGCAGCAGCTGGGCCAAGTACAAGAGCGACAACTATTTTTTAATTGTCCAAAGGCGAAACACCTTTTCTTTCATTTGGATAAAGCACGCATTGTTTCCAGTAGACTGCAATGCCTCTATACAAGAGAACAATCATGAATTCAGGTCCCACTGAATTCAAGTTTGTTTTTCCCATGGACATGCCCTCTATGTGGAGTTCATGATAGGCCACTAAAATAAACTGAATTCACTGTGGTTTCCAGGTCCAATTTAGGGAAATAAAATGAAAAATAAATGTGGATTGAAGTTCTTGTTCTGATAGCAACAATAATATATATGTAAAGTTGAAACCAGAAGTTTACATACACTATATTAAAAGGTACATAACCTTTTTTTCCCTTACTGTCTAACATTAAATCAGATTAAACTTTTTTTCTGTTTATTTTTATATGCTAAATGCCAAAATAATGAGAGAGATAATTTTTTAGGCAACTTTTTATTATTTTCTCAAGAGTCAAAAGTTTACTTGCATTTCATTAGTATTTGGTAGCTGCCTTTAAATTGTATGACTCAAATGTTTTAGATATGCTTCCACAAGCTTCTCATAATTGTCTGTAGGAATCGTGGTCCAGAACTGCTGTTTACTGAGCCAAGTCTGTAGGCCACATTGCTTGCACATGACTTTTCAGTTCTGCCCATAAATTTTCAATAGGATTGAGGTCAGGGCTTTGTGATGGCCACTTCAAAGTTAACTAAAACTAATGCATGTTTTCATGCATTAGGGACTTCAGCACAGAAAAATATGTTTAATAGGGGATGGCGGTAAAATTGTAGGCTGTAAATTACTATTATAAATAACTGAGCTAAAACTTGATGGACAACCTGACATCAATAATCTGACATCAATAACCCTTTATGTGGAGTTCATGAAGGCTATTAAAATTAGATAAATTCACAGTGGTTTCCAGGTCCAATTTAGGGAAATAGATATGGATTTAAGTTATTGTTCTGAAAGCAAAAGAGTTATTTAAGCTGAAAAACACAACCCCACTTGCCTTTAAGTCTGTTTGTGTACTTTTAAACTAATGCCAAATTCCAGTTTTTTCTTATTAGTGTTTTTTTTTAATTATTATTATTTTTTTTTTACTTGCAGCAAAAACTAATGCACGTTTTCATGCATTAGGGACTTCAGTACAGAACAATATGTTTAATAGGTGATGGTGGTAAAACTGCAGGCTGTAAGTAACTATTATTAATAACTGAGCTAAAAATTGATGGACAACCTGACATCAATAAGGTGGTATATTTGAAGCTGTAACTCTACCAAGCTGACAGAAGCATCCCTATTTATTGCTGTCTGTTTACATGGTATTTACCATGTTACAGTTTATTTTGGTAGGTACTTTTGTCCAAAACTATATGCATATGAGACAGGCGAGGATCTTGTCAATAGGAAGAAAACTAAATGCAACTTCAAGTCCTAATTTGTCATCATGATCATGATAATAATAATCACCATTATCATTTTCAACATGAATATCCCAATCAGCATACACAACAAACTCAATGTTATCATCATGATCACTGTCAACAGCATCAGTATCATGAAGTGCAGGCCTGTTCATGGAACAGCTGTCCTTAGATTTCTCTCTTGAATTCATAGAACCACTTGCACTTCTGTTATTATCATCCACAGCGTTCGCAATCACCTGAAGAATGCAAGACAGGAATCTGGGAGGAAATTGGATCTGCTTCAGCTATGATCCAGACTGCGAGCACTCACTGTCTTATTGGCCTCTAGCAGAAGGAAAACTAGTATGTATTTTTAAATTAAGTTTAAACATTGGCACATTATTGTCATTTCCTTTCCCAACAGTCAGTTACAGTAAAAAGTCAGAATGTGGTTCAATGATGACATTGTATCAGCAGTAAACATAGTAAATATCCATGAAATATTTATGGTAAAACAGCTGAACATTTTTCATGTGCATAATTCATAACTCAAAAAGACTTATCTTGTCTTATCTGTGTTGCTATATCAGTCCGGGCCAGAATTTGGTGAGTTGTATTCTGAGTGAATTTTTAACACTTGAGTATTTTGTTGTGTATGTGCTGTGAAAGCAGCTGGCTCACCATGAGAGTGACTTTTTGACAGATTGCTGATTCAGTAACACCATCATTGACACCATGCCCTTTGTGAAGTTATATGGCATTGTATTATTCCATTTTTGAAACAGGCTTTGTTAGTTTATCCTAAGACACCAGCAAAATGTATTCCTACCAGGTGCAGTTTCAGTGTGATTATTGCTAACTAGCTATTGTTTGCATGATTACACAACCTAAACATCCACCTGTTAGCGCTTTCCTTATGGGTTTGTTTGCATATGGATATAGGCATTTAGTTCAGAGCTGCCAGTTTGACTGTTGACTGTTTATAAATCCTTAATTAAATAATCACTCATTTATTTGCTGACTTACTTACTGTTATCACTACTACCCCTTGAGGCAAATAGCATGCAAACAGTCTACGCTCTAAAGCTCGCTCCCTCCCTGTGTACTCACCACCTCGATGAAGGATCATTTTCCTGTTGACTGCTCACAGTAAAGATAAGACCTATCTTCCAGTGTGCCTATCCAGGTACCTGTGATGCAGAGAAGATAAGTTGTATCTGGCCCACAACTTTATTGTGTTTGAACTGCTCTCAGAGACAGTGTCTGCTAAACCAAGAGTCATAAGCTCTTCACCTTGATAAACTAATCAACTCACTTTATGTGTTTACCCAGCTGTTAGCAGGTTCTCTGGTGTTTCGTACGGACACTTTGGGAAGACGATCTGCAGAGGAGTAAGGCGTTTCTTAAAGACTTGTAAGCTCTTGTCAGATACCACATGGCTCCAAAGATGTAGATGTACATGAGATGTCCTTTCCTACTCAAGTGAAATATTTGCGAGTTTAAATCATACAGATAAATTAATGTTATACCTGACAGGTTTAGAAGTGTCTCGGGATAGATGTTTGAGATTGTCTGTGTAAAGTTCTGATTCAAGCCTAATGCAAACATTAGTATAACAACATGCTCACAGTGACATATAATTTTATGATTTTATTACAGGTTGGCGTTGATAATTATTATTCTACTATGCATGCAGTATCACATAAACTGTTTGGAATATCTTTTTTAAAGGGCTGACAGTTATTACATCAATCAAAATGCAACTAATAAACCATGCCATGTTGTCCCTTCAGCACATTATAGTTCATCTGGGGCTGCATGTTACTGCTGATGCTGATAGAGAACAACAAAACCACTGCACTTTTTGATTTTACTTAAAAATATTCCCAGATCACTCCGTTTACAAGTCAAAAGTAAAACATACTTCGTGTCAAAAAGAATTTTAATTACACCAAAGTAGTTTATGTCTGACCTCCCACTTATGAGCTCAGCATGCAGGTGCTTCCAATCAGACACATGTCAACAAGCAACTGCATCACGAGAGCCGGCAGAGTGCTATTTTGGAGAATGCAAATTAATACAGAACTGTGGATGAAGCTAAACTGAATAAGTTAACAGTGCTTTCAAAATGGGTGGAAACTGACGACAGGCCACTTACCATTGTGAAGGACTCATTTTAGGGACTATGGCTGGCATGTTGTAACCAATCATACGTCTTATTATTGAGGGGAACAATATAGTTTTACTGGACCCTCACAACAAAAAAAGTAACCAAACTGGAACTGTTAAAAAGTGCAAATATAGATGCATTAATTGGAGATCACTGGATGTCAATTTCTACTCAAAAAAAACAGACACTGTGTGACACAGAATCAGCACATTGCAGCAGTCCTATACCTCCACATTATGGTTTCATGGTTTTTATACCACACTGGTGCAGCAGCAGAGATATTTCTAGATGATGAATCGAGTTGATAAAAGCTAAAAGATAGAAAATAAAATCACCAAAGTGATACAAGGTACAATTTGTCCACAGGTGGTGCCAAAAACAACTTATAAAATGTTCATATCAGCAGCACTGTTATCAGTCTGTTTACATCAGCTGCAGCAGTGACGTGTGTTTACAATAGCCTATAGCTAATCTAACCTGAGCCCAAAGCTAACAAAGCGACAGTAAGGAGAAAGTATGCTGAGACTCTAAACTCAAATTGATATGACCGGGGGACACACCAACTCACACACACGCACACTGTTTACATACAGCCAAGGAGACAAACACAGAGGAAGCTCACCCTACCTGACCCTGCACACAGACCAATCAGGTTTTAGAAGACTATTTGTGATTGGATGTCTGACCAGTGCTGGATCAACACTGTCTTTCTGAGGGACAACCCCACATATGCTGGAGATCCTTCTCCATCCTGGGATTAGATGTGACATTTAAGAGTCGCAGAGGGACTCTATAGTCTTTTCTGTGCTGCTACAAAGTCAGGGTCATACAAGTGGTCAACAGGATATACTGTGACAACCAAGATAGTGAGAAAAAGAGGCTTGAGGTCATTGAGTATTTTCTGTGCTGCAGTTTAGACAGCAAGTTGACCTGTTTACATTTCAACACATGAGGTCAGTAGATAGACGCAGGAAAAGGTCAAGGCACATGTGCAGAAGGAGGAAGTTTATGAGTGGCAGATGGAAAATAATTGCTTTTTAGAAAGAGTGAGACTGAAGGAGAGACCAGCCGTGTTAATCTGTGTCAGTGCTCTTCTATTCTTAGCCGGTCCCATCAGCCGGCAGAAACATGAGAGACACACGTGATGACAAGCTTCGATAATTTTAGAGAGAGGGTCAGAGAACAGTGACAGAACCCCCAGACTAAGGTAAACTCAAGATGTGAGTGTCCGTGTGTGTGGATGTGTTGTGGTAGTTTAGAGGAGGTGTGTAGGTGTCCAAGGCTTTCTACAATGGGCCTTTAAATGGGGTATTTATCCTATACTCTCTATACTTA